AAAGGATTAAGAGAAGTATAAACTTTTGATATATAAAAATACTTTTATTCCAAAATGTATCAAGGTCTTGGACGTTATCAGAAAATGTTCTATTTGGTTATAAATATTTCAATTTGTTATATACATGTCTATAATTTATCAGACACATCAGGGGTTCACCAGTTATTTCGGTTTCTTTTTGTTTGTTTGTTTGTTTGTTTGTTTGTTTGTTTGTTTGATACATAGATTGCTTTTCAAAGGAAACTGTTTTTCAGATTTTCCTTCCTCTCTAGGACTGCTTTTATCCTATGTGAAATTTTTATTTTGATATTTCGACAATATCTTCATTATTAACCAATGACAGAATTACATAATTCTCTCAAATAAGTTTTCTTATTTTTCATTGTTCAAATTTCATCTTTAAACTTTCAGTTAGTTTTTTTCAATTTAAGTAATCAGTTGCATGAAAAGTACAAAAATTATAAAAAATATAAAAGTTTGACATTCTGGGAAGGGCTTTTTCGGATGTCGTCCCGATACATTTGCACTATAATTCTCATTTTTTGAATATTTATTTTTGGTTCATTCATGTAACCTAATTTGTATTTATGTATTGAATAGTTACGTGAACATATTTTTCTACATTAAATGCATGTATCAAATCCGACCGGCACAAAAATTGTATCACACATGAGTGTACACATTGCACTACCATGTTACACAATGATATCACACCATAATATTACACTATCATACAACACTACCTAATATATTTAAAATATCTGGAAAACAGTGATCTCTCGGATGCATTAAAAACAGCAAAATTGACTCGGATTGATTGAGTCTGTACATGAGGGATAATGAAAAAGTGCAACATCCCTCAAACCCCATAGCACCGGCTTGAGCGATACTCGAGAACAAGACTTAATAGTGCTGGACAAAATGATCCCGAAGGACCAGAAAAATATAATAACACTGAATTATGATAACATCATATACTACGATATATATAACGCTATCATGTCAAACCATCTTATAAGTCTATCATATCAAACTATTTGTTTGTTTTGGGTTTAACGTCACATCGACACAGTATAGGTTATATCGCGACGTTCCAGCTTTACTGCTGGAGGAAGACCTCAGGTGTCCTTCCGTGCATTATATCAGGCACGAATTGGCACCTTAGTAGAACCACCGACGTTCCGTAATCTAGCTGGATAGCTTCCTCACATGAAAGAATCCAAAGTCCCTGTCGGGATTCGAACCCACAGCGGTGAGGGGATCAAACTACCATATAACAAGCTCATATAAATTGCCATACAAATTGCCATACAAAGCTATTTTGTCACACCATCATAAGTAATCAGAATAGAAATGTAGACCTTTGATTTGAAAATTAACTGTCTCTGATAATATTTGGAAAAATACAGAACCACATTTAGATGAGGAATGACATAACAAAGAATTACGTTACTTATCAACGCTTTACAAAACATCTTAATGAAATGTGGTGAAAGAAGAATTACTTTTTTACTTTTCATATCATTTATCTTCATATTTGTTTTTATTTTATATATTTATTGATTAGTTTTTCATTACTGCATGGAAATAAGATAATGAAACGTATTTAGCGAACTTTAATATTGTTTCGTTGTATTAATTTATATTTATGTTAACGGGAGACAATCCATATAACATAGATACCATTCAGATGTTTGCTCCCTTTCAAAAATACAAAAAGGCAATAACGATGTATTACACTTTGCTCAAATAAAGAGACTTTGAACTTTTGTTTTTTGCTTTTTATGGACAATTTCTTCCGATTCTTGCTGCAAAGACATTATGTTCCCTATGAGAGAAAAGAATTTTATAGCAACATGACGTTAACATTATTATTTATTACAAGAACAATTTAGATGTGAGAGTAATTTCATTTTTAACTTTTAATACGAATAAAAATAGAAAATAGTTGTTTTATATTATTACTTCAGCTCAATAAGAACATTATCTCTATCCATTAAATGTTTAGAGCTGACTATCTGTCACATTTAGATAAATATAGTGTGTGACAGTTACCTTGCAATTTAAAACGAGTGATGCAAAATAATAGTATCGAGTTTTCGAGTTCCGTGTGTTTATGACTGATTTAGATCTGTTACACTGCCACATAATTTTATACCGTATGTAGAATAATTTAAATCGTGTCATGACTTTGTTTAAAGCTTGGTTTGAGCATTAGGTCTATTCATTTGACAAACACTCAATTATTATTATGTGACTTATATAAACTGTTTCAACCAAGAGAGCCTTTCTATTTCTATTTTTCTTACCTGTAGAATTGTTGCTCTCTAATGCTGAAGAAACACGAATCGTAATAAAACATGCCACTCGTATGTATTCATATTACATATACAAGTAAAGATAGTCAAATACACAATGAAATACCTGTTTCAAATATATCAAATTAAACACCCAGGTTTCTACCATCTACCAATTATATTTGCTACACAAGTACTGATTTCTTATGACAAAACATTGTTGAGACATAAACTGCTCTTGAAACTATGATCCGTGTTACGACAAAACCAACATAATGGGTTTGCGACCAGCATGGATCCAGACCAGCCTGCGCTTCCGCGCAGTCTGATCAGGCTTACAAACCGTATAACAAGTAGAGAAACTTATAACGAACAACATGGATCCAGATCGACTGCGCGGATGCGCAGGCTGGTCTGGATCCATGCTGGTCGCAGACCCATTATGTTGGTTTTGTCGTGACGCGGCTCAAAGTCTTGGTATAGAAGCAACAGCACCTCAACTATTAGACTAGTAGATTACCACTTTTGTCACTAAACTTTTATCTTTATAGATTTGTCTTGAGATGCCACATATAGACAGACGGACCAACCAACAATAATCCCGCTTCTTCAAAAAGGAGCACCCCAAGTCTTGTATTAGATACCACTTCTTATGGAAAACAAATTATAAAGACATTTCATTTACAGCTGACTTTTATTGTCCCCCGCCTTTTCGAAGAAAAAAGGGGGATATAGAAATAGGTTCCGTCCGTCTGTCCGTCCGTCTGTCTGTCCGTCACTCTTTCGTGTCCGGTCCATAACTTTGTCATTTATCAAAGGAATCTGAAATAACTTGGCACAATGTTTGTTATAATAAGACGATGTGTCATGCGCAGCAATAAGACCCGTACCTCCAGGGTCAAGGTCGCACTGGCTCAGTCAATGTCAACATTGTCTATTTGAGGGTATATTTCGTGTCCGGTCAATAACTTTCTTATCTTTGAAGGCATTTTGTAAATACTTGCCACAATTGTTCACAATAATGAGACGATGTGTCATGTGCAACAACCGATCACCTACCTCCAATGTCAAGGTCACACTTGGAGGTCAAAGATCAACATAGTCAGTTATAGAGTATATTTTGTGTCCGGTCCATACCTTTTTCATAGATTAAAGGATTTTGTAAATACTTGCCACAAATAGTCACTATAATAAGAGGATGTGTCATACGCATCACCTACATCCCTATCTCCAAGTTCAAGGTCACTCGTAGAGGTCAAAAATTAACAAAGTCTGTTTAGGGTATACTTTGTGTCCGATCTAGAACTTATTCGGGTTTTGAAATAACTTGGCACAAATTGTCACAATAATAAGAGGATATGTCAAGTAAAACACCTGCACCCCTACCTCCAAGGTCAAGGTCACACTTAGAGGTCAAAGGTTAACAGATGCTGTTATAGGGTATATTTTGTGTCCCCTATATAACTTCTTCATAGCTCAAGGGATTTTGAATATACTTGGCAAAAATAGTCACAATGATAAGTTGATATGTCATGCGTAACACCTGTGTCCCTACCTCAAAGTTCAAGGTCACACTTAGAGGTCAAAGATTTACATAGTCTGTTACAGAGTATATTTTTGTCCAGTCCATACTTTTTTCATAGATCAAGGGATTTTAAAAATACTTTGCACAAATAATCACAATAATAAGACGATATGTCAGGCGCAAAACATGGGTCCGTACTTAGAGGTCAAAGATTAACATAGTCTGTATAGGGTATATTTTGTGTCAGATCTATAACTTTTTCATAGTTCAAGGGATTTTGAAAATACTTGGCACAAATAGTTACAATTATAAGACGATATGTCATGCACTACACTTGCACCACTACCTCCAAGGTCAAGGTCACTCTTAGAGGTCAGAGCTTAACATGATAATCTTTTAAATTCCGTGTTTCATTTTATTTCTTTTAAAAAATTATTATTGCATTTGCAGATCTAGCATTGATCATAATTTTGGACTGAATATCCTGAGAGCCATACCTCAATCTTTTGAAATACCGGTAGCACAATTTTATGCTTCATATAAAACTTCCCCGAGGCGGGGGACGTTAGTAACTCTGTAACAAATTCTTGTTTATTTTTATTTTTTCGCGTAAAACTTACTTATTCTTATAAAGCACCTGATAATTGAAATAATTTTACCCCCTTTCATGTCTGGTCTTTGAAATCTAAACATCAACATTCCTTGAAAACAAATGCATACAAGACGGTCATTTAGCTTCTTTAATGACATTTGACACAATTGGATGACATGTTCTATTTTAAGTCTGCTCTATGAAAATGCTTTCTAAACACAACAAGATATATCAGGAAGATAAGTTAATAGATAGGTCAGAACGACCTTCATCTTTTATTCTTTGTTGGAAAAAACAATTCTGTTCGGCTTCAAACGACAAATTTCATTTTATACCTTTATTCTTATGATTTGACAATTATTTGAAACGATTTATCTAAAAATAACATACTTTATAATATAAAAGCTGGAGGCCGCTGTAAGATAGTTAATCGGTACGATTCGCTTTATTAACAGAAAAGCACCGCTTCCGTACAAATAAATTGTCGCTATCACAACAAATAAAAAGCTACATTTAAAACGGCGTAAAAACTGACAGTACAGTTGATGTCACACACTACATTATAATTTATTCAAATGAAAATGTGTTACATGATAGGGGCAGAAAAGAATGTTAACGACCGTTTTACAACATGAATAAAAGATCATCTGATATTACAACACAACTATCATCGTATGTCTACCGGAAAGGAATCCTATATTTTTACTGCGTTTTTATAAGATTTTTCACACCAAAGAAAAGAAATATAAACTTAAAACGTAATATATCCAGCGGATTTTTTTTCCAAATATGTAGCAAAGTTAAAGATGACATGCTGTTTTGGGTCGATTGTAACTGCGTTATAAACTAGTTTCGCAATGGATGAGGGAAAGCCTAAAAGAGTGCGGACTGCAGCTGAAAATGCCAGGACTGTAAAAGAAGATGTAAATGACTTTGAGGAAATGAGACATCAACTAACTGACATTGTGTCAAATAAAGTATTTAATAAAGGGATTATTTCACCAGATGACAGGGAGTCACTCCGGGAGTTACTACGCGAAATTAAAGATGTCATTCATGATATTGAGACAGTGGCTAATAACACATTTGATATTGTGTCCAAACAAAATCTGACCAAGAGGAAAGCTCAAACTAGGAAGAAGTACCGGAACTTGATGGATGCTTTTGACAATGATAAAAACATTGCAAGTACATTAAAGGTAAGAAAGTTACTAATATAAATATAACCCTATTAGTTTTGTATAATATATATACATGTATATAGATGCCTTATCATAGTAGCTTCAAGTTTCTTCATTTATATGGTTCTTATTATATTTTGCTTTGTTTGTTCGTTTGTTGTTTATTTATTTATTTATTTATTTATTTATTTATTTATTTATTTATTTATTTATTTATTTATTTATCTATCTATCTATTTCCATAATTTTAAATGAAATTGAAAATCTAAAACCACCCTGAATTACCGTCGTATCATAGGATCAATACACTTAATTGACAGGTTTGTGTAGCATGAACAATTATTGTTTTGATATAACATGTCAAATAGTGGGAATCTAGATACCATGGCACATATATAGAAAAAATATAGTTTAAATGAAAATTTATCAGTTTGAACAATACCAATTGTCTTATGATATTTACATTTTTCTTTTTTTTTCTTTTCTGTCATTTTTAAATGGTTATATCCGTTCTTGTTAAAGCGTTTTCTTAAACTTTTTTTCTTACATTTTTTCACCTCAAATGATACTACAGTCACGAAGATCGTATTTCATATAGGCATGAATTCAACAAAATAACAGATGCATGTATGATGAAATACTTTCTTTTGTTAAAATGATGACAAGTAGTTAAAATCAAGACCGTTTCAAACAGACAATTAACTAAAAATGTCATGTTAAGATACACGTTTAATGTTACATGGACAATATAAAATATGATTGTAACTATTGATGAAAGGTAACCGTACAAACTCGTACACTATAAAGTGGTTTAAAATCTCACTTTTAAGTGGTGAAGTCATTTTGTTAGAAAGGAAATAGATAAATGATAAACCAAGCATTGTATGAAAATATACGATCGTAAATTAACTGTTCTGTTTCCAGGACGAAGGACCAGATAGTGAATCATGTTTAACATCAACTGATCCTCTTGATCTAGACAACTCCTCAACCCATAGTACAAGCTATCGTAATACGCAGGCAAACATAAATCATGGCTATGAGAGTGACGCCAGTAACGCAAATTTTGAAGCTAAAGAAGAAACTGTTTCAGTCAACAGCAAAACTGTTCTAAAAATAGAAAATAGAATGGATGGAAGCTACAGTTCTTCAACGTCGACTGATAGTAGAAGAAAGCCACATCGAGTCTTAGCTTTCAACAAACCCGACCTATACGGCGGTTCCCCGAATTATTTTATTGACGACTACGAAGCTGCCAGTACAATTTCAGTTTCAAGTGGAGATAACTGGACGCTAAGAAAATCAACTCTTTCAGTGGATACTGAAAATGATAACAATAGCAGACGAAGTGACATCAACGGTCATTTAAGAAATAACAAAGTTAAAAGTGATGAATTTCAAAAAAATTGGAATCCCGCATCTCGTGAAGAAAGAAAACCAATGACTTCGTCCTTAGATAAAGGAATACATCACACAATTGATCAAAGTGACGAAAATGATTACGATGATACTGTACTTCCGCCTTTTGCTGATGGAAAATATGACAAAAAAGATGTAGACGATGTGCTTGGCGATTTTGATTACTTAAATGAATACCAAAGTCAATCCGATGCATCCAATGTGTCATTATGTGGCAGCGAAGAAAGTTTAAAATCTGCTGCAAAGAAAGACAAATACAAGAATCAGACTGGAAAGGCGAATACATTAGATGACAAAGACCAAAGTAATGATCCTCATAGAGATAAGAAAAGTGTAAATGATGTTCTTGGTATATTTGATTACCTAAATGATTATCATAGTAGAACAAATTCTACATCAACGGCATCTCTTTTTGATAGTGATGATGACATGGATCTAGACATCGAAATTAAACCTGCATCTCAAAGTGTAAATAAGTATAAGGACTCTGTATCTGTCAATGATAACACTAAATTGGAACTTGACAAAAGTGGTGTAAGGAAGGATACTAACAACGATCATGTGAATGTCAATAGTAGAGTATCAGAACATTTACCGGAAGAATTTATGGGTTATGGACTTATTGGGTCTGATATTGAGCTAAAACCGGACTATGAAAATACTTCCATGCTTCCATTTCATAGAAATGATTATGCCATGAACCATCAGTCGGATTACAGCAATATTAACAATGCAGAAAAGAGTGTCTCAGAAGAAAAATCACATTTAAATATTGCATACGGCATTGAAGACAAGGGCGTACGGGCATTTCAAGATAGATATCCTGCGTATGATTCTAATAGAACAGCGAACAAATATGACAGGAAAAAAGCTCTGCTGGACAAAGCACACTCTGAAGAAGTTGTTTCGGGATATACACATGGTGAATTCATATTGAGGAGAACACAATCTGAAGATCAAAATGGAGTTTTTAAACCAAAATTGTAAGTATTTAAGTTAGTTAAAGAGTAATTGTCAAATATAAATATGCACATCTAAAAGTATATATCAATAGTCACTTTAAAACATACTGTGTGTACAAGAAGACATGGGTGAACGGCTAAAAACATTTTTTTGAATAATATCGTTTCTCGTATATGGTGGGAACGAAAAGAATACAGGATACTTTTAAAAGTGCATTCGATATTGAAAAATAACGATTGAAAATTTATCTTATTCACATACAATATTGATAACAATCATTGAGTATACTGTTTTGAATTGTTCTCTTTCAGAACATCACCATTAGAAGTTGTACCAGAAAACACCTATCCAACTTCTGTGTACAATGACAATGTAGAGTATGCAAAAAAAAATTACGGGTTTTTATCATTATTTTTATTTGAATATATATTTGAAATTGAATAAATAAAGTAAATAAGAGGGTAGAAAAAAATCAGACTGATACTCGTATAATAGCCCTTTGAAAGGGACGTTATCATAAAAGTACAACATTTTCTTATGACATAAATTCAACTGGAAAATAATATTTGTGAAAAAAACAACATTAAAATAATTCTGCTTACTAAATTTGCAATTCTTTTGCTGTGTGATATATGTCTGTTTAATTATGTGTTTTCTTTTATTTCAGAAATCCGGACACAAGACGTTTTGATAAATGTGACTTTCTTATAAAATGTAAGAGTTTCTAAATTTTTATCCTTAGTTAAGTCCCTACATATCAAATGTTTATAATAACAGGATATTTATTACGTTCAACAGTTTACTGTGTAAACCATTTGCTTTTCAATTAAGGCTCATATCACCTGTTATATGACATTTGTTGTTATATACATTATTTTAATTGACTGTAGATGTAAATTTTACACATTTTTTCATGTTAAATAAGAGTTACAAATGAGCACCTGCAGTACAAATAATCATTTACAAGCCGGTAGTCTATTACTTATTCCCTGTGGGTTTTTTCCCTACGTATTTTCTACACTTATGTATGAGTTTGTTGGAAAGTTTGTATAATTACTTTATTAGATGAGCAATGATTATGGGAAAATTAAAACACATTGTTAAACTTCAACATCACTATATTATTATAATTTTCAGTTCTGATGGTCATATTGTTTGGTATAGGAGTCAGTGAAATTATCTTTGGTATGATTATTTTGTTTTATCGCTTTGAATGATCATTTCTATGTGTAAGATATAATCAGTGTACGACTGATCATTTGCGTTTCTCACATATTAATTTTGCTGTCATTCAGTTTGCTTTTTCCAGATTTTTTTTTAATTTGCAAAAATGATAAACGCTAGCTTTGAAATGTACTTTGTACTTTCTTTATTTAAGTCCTCCGGGATCATTGATTTATTACTTCAGCGTTGCTCAAGTCTTTGCCCGAAGCCTATATGTCGCAATTTGTTGTCTTGCATCAAACTGGATTTTCAGTTTTACAGAAAACTCTTTTATCAATTTTCTTTCTACTTATATATACTTGTACTTCGTTTACCGAGGTCGTATTGTCTTTTTCACTTTATTTTATTTCAAAATAAGTCTTTAACACTTTTTTATTTTGTAATAAGAACAAAAATTACCGTGTTTTGTAAAAAAGACAATCCCTTTTAAGAATAGCAATCAATTTACGTGAATCATGACTTACACCTGATGCTAGGTGTTGCTCCGTTTTCATTTTTTTCTTATTTACCGACTCAATCAAACCGAATCTGCTATTGTCATGTACATGTACATACTATTGGTTTTGTTGCTTCCAAGGGATTTCTCCTCACTAGATTCTAAATATGCACAATTTGTCTTTCGCTAAACAAGTAAAACCTTTCCATCACTTCTGTCTTTACAGGTATAGTGTATAGAAAGGATTGTAATTGGGATGAAACTGTTCCAGTCTGTGCAATAACATCTGGAGGGGTTTCCATTTGTTACTGTGCCATTTTTCTTGGAATTAATATGGTTAGAAAACGAAAAGTGAAATTGTCACCTTATTTTCGTGTTTTGATGGTGATCATGTGGTTAATATTGCTGGGAATGATAGTAGCAGGTTGGTTTTCATATGTTTTAAGTAGTTTAAAATTAAAGTTAGTTTAAAAAAAAAACACATTTTTGATAATAGTTCATTTATCAAATTTTGTTAAAGAAGCTTTTGAAATACGTAAAAAATGCTCTTGATAATATAGCTGTTTTATAAAATGTATTTATTATAAGTCATTGTATTATATTGTTGTCAATACTGTATTGTTTGTCTTACCCATACTTCACATGTATAATTTGTAAATGACCAAAGACAGTGGTTTTTTGCTGATTTTTTGTCAATTAACTTGAAACTTGGATAACATCATTATAGCGAGAATGAAAGCATTTTGTCATTATTTACATTTGAGCCGCGCCACGACAAAACCAACATAAAAGGTTTGCGACCAGCATGGATCCAGACCAGCCTGCGCATCCGCGCAGTCTAATCAGGATCCATGCTGTTCGCTATCAGTTTCTGTTCTTGTAATAGGGTTTGTAAGCGAACAGCATGGATCCTGATCAGACTGCGCGGATGCGCAGGCTGGTCTGGATCCATGCTGGTCGCAAACGCATAACGTTGGTTTTGTCGTGACGCGGCTCAATTTTATATATCTACATTATCATTACTGTCGCTTTAACTTATAATGAAAAAGTATTTGTTTGATATAATTTATGAGATAAGTAAAACATGAAATGAACATAAAGATGCTGAATTCTATTTTAAACTTTGTTGTTTGTTAATTTTAATGATGCTATTTGCAATATTATGAGTATATTATCTTTTGATATGAAGGCAGCTGTACGTGTGACATTAAGAACGCTATTAAATGCGATGACCTTTTGGTATTCCAGGTGGGGTGTTACTGTATCCAAGTATAAAGGACTACGCATTCAATGATTGCACGGGTGAACAAGACTGTTGCAGGAGGAAGCTCATACTAATTACATTTTGTGCAATAATTATTGATACTGTATGCCAAATATGCTTTGCGATAAGTATATGCTGTGTTCATTAACTGTCAAAAGGTGCAATAACTGTTGATATTGGATATATATCATTTATGCTTATTGTTGATATGCATTATTTATATGATATACATGTATATTCAATCTTTTATATGATATTATGTTGATACGTCTTAAAAATATTTATATTGTATATTTTACTTTGCAATGATACATAAGATAATTTTGAAGTTCATTGTAAATTGATAAAATGTGTCCACATTTCGCACTATTGTTTGTTTAATAAATATCGATTTCATTTCAAATTATTCTGCAGTATTTGTTGAGATATTGTATTTATATTAAATACAGTTCAGTAAGTAATTTTTGGTTAAGTTTTCGATTATGTTATTGTTGAAAACTGGTGCTTTAATTGGTGCTTAAAAACTTCACCCGTTTGTTTTTCCTATTTATGTGACAACTTGCAATGCATTGCTTGATTTCAAATGATCCGATACATGTATCTTACGCAGTAATAACAATATAGCTATAATAAAGTAAAAACTGAAAAAGATATGATATTATCATAAAGCAAGAGTTTCGTTGTGGTATTTAAAACAACTGCCATCCTGATAATGATACAAATATATTTCTACTATGATATAAATATATTTCTACTATGATATAAATATATTTCTACTATGATATAAATATATTTCTACTATGATATAAATATATTTCTACTCGACAGTGGTTTTGTTTTACTAGCCATGTAATATTTTATCAGGATACTTATCAAACTAGTTCTACTCGAAAGAGGCCATGTAATGTATGACAATGTTATCGTGATAATCATAAATACATGTATATTTATACTCGACAGCGGTTTGCTAGCCATAACATGATAATGGTCACAATATTTATACTCGACAGTGGTTTGCTAGCCATAACATGATAATGATCAAACTAGTTCTACTCCATAGAAGCCATGTAATACATGACAATATCAACATGATAATGGTCACAATATTTATACTCGACAGCGGTTTGCTAGCCATAACATGATAATGATCAAACTAGTTCTACTCGACAGAGGTCATGTAATACATGGCAATTTCATCATGATTGGACCTTTGTGAAGTTCCTAGCAGCATTAAACTGACCAGTCTGCGCATGAAGGGTCTGTACTATTGGTACCTCAACTTTAGTATTTGGATATTGAAATCCCTCGAATCCCTGGGAATTATCCATTACATAAATCTGTAGGTTGAGGAAAACAGGCTTTCTCATTACTTTATGGTATATGTTAATATTGTCGTGAGGTATTGTCATTTCATATGCCTTTATCATATAAATACCTGTTTGGTGCAAATAAATGAAAATAAGACAAGTGTTTTAGCAAGGCTTCCTTTAAACAAACATAGAAAATGGTTGGTCATATAATATGATATGTATAAGTGTGTTAAGTAGATACGAGCGTTTTATACTTTAAATAATAGGTACTCTGCTTAAGATAAACACAGTCTTTCATTTTTTGTGTCATTCATCTCTTTAAAATTACATAAAACAGGATGTAAATTTGTATAAGCTCTTCTCAATTTCAGACATTTAAGTGGCACATATATGTATTTTCATTGTCAAATTGAGCTGATTTGATTATATGTTTCAAAATATTGAGTTCCATAATCGAGAATGACCAACTGTGTGTATTGGAAAATGTTAAGGATAAAATATAAATCTACGTAAAATATAAAAAAGACTGCCCAACTCTTAATTGTAAATTGAACATCATAAGTAAATTCTTATAATTTACGGCCAACGGGGAGTTATCTTACATGGCTAGGGAAAATGGCCGACTGAAATCATGCAAGCAAGTTTGTAAGTGCATAATGTCATTGTATTATTTAATCTGAACAGTCAGTATACATTACGTTTAGAACGTTATTGACGTTGTCTTTTTTTCGCCACCACGTAAAAATTGGCACTGCCACTTTTTCATTTAGCTTGTTTGATATGTCATTTGATAGATTTGTATTGCCGTTAGCTTCACCTAAACTTCAATGATATGTAAGTTTATATATATAAAAATATACCCATTCTTTACTAGACCGCACCACTGGAGTAAGTTTTAAGCTGAGGTCTAAAAGCCTACAAACCATATAATTTTAATTTCTTAATTAAATCAGCTGGTGCACTTAAAACAGAAAAAAATGCAAAATGTAATTGAGAAATATTCTTAGAAATTAAAGAAAATTGAATGTTTGTGCTATTCTTAGCCAGATTATGAATGATTAGCATTGCAACACTTTTCATTTTTGTTGTTGTTGTTGTTTTTCTCATTAGAATGATTATTATGAAGAAAAAAAGAAATTTATAGCGAATGATTTGAAATTTTTTACACAAGTTACTTATTTTGACCTACATCAAATGAATTATTAATCTCAAAACATTATTTCCAGTCCCGTCATGTTAGAAACCTCAATGGCACCTTTAAGGATGTCAAAATGATAAACTTGCTCATTTTTGACGTCGTAAGATAACGACCGTTATCTGTGATTGGAAAATTGTGCAAAATTGCACGCACACTTGTTCTTGTTTAAAGTCGGCCTTGAATCTATAAGAAAGCTCTGTTTGCATGTGCGGTGTTTTCTATTTATTTATTTATTTATTTATTTATTTATTTATTTATTTATTTATTCATTTAATTTATTTATTTATTTATTTATTTATTTTTTATTTATTTATTTATTTATTTATATTTATATTTATATTTATATTTATATTTATATTTATATTTATATTTATATTTATTTATTTATGGGGAGGATGGGGTTGTTTGATTTTTTTATATTTTTTTTTTTGGGGGGGGCGGGGGATGCAGTGGGTGGATGGAGGAGGGGGCAGATGGGCGGCGGGGTTATACATTTGTATCAAATCTAAATCTTATTGGGTTATAGGCAGGGGAATGTTTTAAAGTAACAAACCACTACAGTGAAAATATATCTTAGGAAATATCAGTTTGCGAGAAATATAACAAAACCGTGCGTTTTTTTCTTTCTCCTTCTTAATCATGTTATCTTGTCAGATTGTAATTTGTAATTTTGACAACAATTAATATAGCGCGAAGGATTAATGTTATAACATACACGTACCACATATATATGTTATTAGTGCTCACTAACAAAATAGTACCTATTTTTTAACCATTTAAAATACCGTCTTAGTACATAAACCGACGAATTCGTCAATTTGACAAATAAACTCGGCAAATAAAGGGTTTATTAGATTTACAAGTATTATATGAAATAGAAAACACATTCAAATATCATGGAAAGAAAATAGAATATTGCCACTTATATATAACTGCTACATATAATACAGTTATGGCGTTCCATAGAAAACAACACCGGTAACATTTTCAATATGGTTGACTTACGAAAGGTATCAAGGTTTATCAGGTCAAATCATTTTGATATGAGATTGAAACTAAGACATATTTGTACACACTGACTGATAATTTACTTCACTTTGTCCTTGACGCACATACGTGAATCATACAAACGCATTTAGTGCAAAAATGGCGACCGATATCAATGTTGCGTCTGGATTTACCGATGAAGCAAACCCGAGCTGCTTCGATATCCGGGCAATGCCACCGCAACCGAAGGAGGCAAAACCGGGACAGCTGCCAGAACAAATGATAAAGAAATTTTTTGAAGACGTGAGTTGATTTTCATTTCGTTTCTAGTAATGCGATCAACATTTTACATATGAAATAATTTTCTTACAACTAGGTTACAGAGGCGTAGCAAGCGCTTAAATTGGAAAGGGCAATAAATATAAATACGGCAATCGTGAGATTATTGTAAAGTAGGGCTTGCATGCAAGTCAAAATACCGCTATGGTTACATGTTATTACCTTTTTGAAACATATTCTCACATTCAGCGCTATTTTCTTCTTGTGATTAGCATTTAAACACCCATGAGACCTAAAAAAAATCCTCTTTTTTTCATTTCTCAAAAAATTTAACAGTTTTTGTGTCCTTGTAATACTTTTCATAAGCCGAAAACATATTACTTTACTTTATTCAGTTTCTCTTACATTTGTGCAATAAATACAATTAAAGTGATCTAGTATTTTGTATGGAAGTCCAAATACCACTTTACATTTTGTTAAAATTTTGCTATATTTATAAATTATTTTACAGTCAGCGCTATTTTCTCCTACTGATAAGCATCTATCATGATTAAAATATGTTATTAAGAATATTACGGAAAACATTTTTGCCTGTTAAGGATTAAAAATTGTAGTCGTTTCCAAGACTTAACATGCCTTAAATGTATTCTTAATCCATCATTACAACATTATCAAACAGACCCGTGTCCCAATGTATTCAATTCTGAGACTTATGTGCCTTTAAAGACATTTTTTATATATAAAATATTTACTTTTGATGATACGCGTGTGGGATTGGTGTAGACACGTGTCAATCTGGTCTGGTAAATATCTGATTGTAAGTTTGTAAGTATATAAATACAATAGGAAATACATGATGTAGCAGGACTATATAAGTCCAACTAATTGTATTGTGGTATTTTGTGTATATCTCAACTGCAGAAGCGAATTTCTGACACAGAACAAACATATCTCAGAATCTAGCTTTGGCACAAAAATAAATTATGACTAGCCTATATATATGAATCCTGTTTTTTAACAATAATCAAATACAAATGACCAAAACATATGAAGCGTTGATAAATTAATAAAGAAAACTAACAAGACCCCGATTTAACCGCAAAACTGAAATTATATAAGAGCCGCGTCATGACATAACCAACATAGTGGGTTTGCGACGAGCATGGATCCGCGCAGTCTGATCAGGATCCATGCTCTTCACTATCAGTTTCTCTACTTGTAATAGGGTTTGTAAGCGAACAGCATTGATCCTGATCAGCCTGCGCGGATGCGCAGGCTTGTCTGGATCCATGCTGGTCGCAAACCCATTATATTGGTTTTCTCGTGACACGGCTCAAATTTTTTCAGTAATTTTATTTCTAAGCTCCGGCAACATGTTTCAGGGTTTTGTGATCGTGGAAGATTTTTTTGACAAGAAACTCCTAGACGACTGTAGAGAGGCCGTGAATGAGCTGGTAGAACAACTAGCTCAGAAGTTATTTAAAGCTGGTAAAATAAAAGGTATGTATTTAATTCAATGTACATGTATAGTCATGATATTTTGTGAACATTACATGTACCTTTGGGATTGGAAATGTTTTTGATGTTTAGCATAATACAAGGATTTTTACAATTAGATTAATTATTAGTATGAAAATATTGTCATTAATTGAAGATGAAAATAGTTCCTTCACTTGATTTATGAAAGTATTTCAAGTTTTATGTTTTAAGGTTTTTTGACCTGTCCCTTTAACATAGTTAAAAGAGACCACATCGCATGTGTGTCCTTCTCAAGTGAAGCATAACAGAATAGAATTGTACATATAAACACTGTATATCAAACATTTTGAATCACAATTAACATACTGTGTATCCATTTGAACAAGTAAATGTTAATTATATGGTAGTAAGTCAGTCTGTTTATATATTCAATATTGATAAAAAAAAAACTTAAATAAGAGATACTGTAAATGGATAATACTGTTAACCTCCACGCTGATAAAACTGTATAAAATGAACTTGTCCAGCTTTGTATTTGGATCTATCCATTGTTGTATAAAGGGGTGTAAATATAAAATGCAAAAATCGAGCAGCCGACAATATAAAGTTTGACCAAAGTGCAGAAGTATGGGTTTTTGTTCTTGTTCTTTTACAGATCTATACAAAGATTTCGGATTTTTCGAACGACTGATAAAAATAGAGGCAGATTTTCCTGGAGCAAATGTTATTCTGCATAAATACGGAAAACTTCCTCCGGTAATTTTATTTTTCATTTCCACTAAATGAATCATTTTGGTACAAATATTGATTTTTGAAACTCGAACACAAAAATAAATGTTCAACAAATGAAACACTTACGTATAGAAAAAAGGCAAACAAACTGTCTTACCCATGCCCTTTCTAAAGAAGTTAACATTTATTTGTTTCTGAGGTATAATGTGCCTTTAATACATACAGACTTGTTTACCGACTTAGATACTCACTCACTCATACTCACTCGACACTCATTCCTCATTCGCACGCAAGCGCGATTGCACACTCATTCACTCACAAATAGCCATGCAGTTACATCGTATTTACGCTACCTCTCCGTGTCCGTTCGTTTTTGCATCAATCATAGACTACTTTTGTGTGTCAATTTTAAGGTGAACCAAAATTCCTGCATTATAGTTGATATGATTTTTTAATTTTTGTAGGCATTCAAGTCACTCTGGACAAATGATAAACTGCTGAATGTTGTGGAACAATTGATAGGACCAAATATAGCAGGGCATCCTGTTTGGAATCTGAGGACTAAAACCCCGCAAAATGAGGCAACCACTGTCCCATGGCATCAAGGTTTGTCTTTAAAGCACCTTAGCCCGTATACATAACTGTATTATGTAAAACTCGTTATTCGATGCGCTCTGTCGGTAAAAAAAACACTTTTGAATAGTGTAAGTAATGAATAATTAATCAAAACAATAGATAAACTTCTTCAATATCAAAATAAAAAGAAGTTATGAAAATCGCACGTGTTATGGATGAATATTTGATTAAACGGACATAACAACAGAGTTGCACACATCAATTATCTGTATAGACAAGACATATGCATGTACATTGTAAATTGAACCTCTCTCAAAGCAAAAGACGGAATAATACTTTTAACACTACCATTGTTCGTGATTTGACTCTCTTGCTACGTAAACAACAAAATTAATACTGTTAAATGTCATTCAGATGTAGGGTACCTGGACAATAACTCATACAAGGTGTTACAGCCGACAGCATGGATACCACTTCTAGACACCAACGAGTTTAATGGATGCATGGAGGTAAGTTATGCACCCTTCAATGAAAAATCCTCGCTATTTTGCGCCACAAAACCACTACTGGGTCACGGCAGGGTAAAACCCCTGCTATTTTTTTCCGCTATCCCCAATATTGCATCGGAGGTAGAGACGGGGCTACCAATGGCTGGCACACTAGTTGTCACATTTAACCTCACCACATGCTGTGCTAGATGAAATTGAAATTGAATTACGTAGCTATATTGTGATTGATTATTAACATTCCGAGAAACATAAAAAGTAAACAAATAAGTTTTACATCATTAAGTAGAAACAAACAGTCATTTACAATAATTGGTATTTCCAGTTTTCATTTAACAATGGGTATACATAACAAGGAGATATACATGTGTACATGTATATATACAAGCTTATTCCACAAGTAATCCGTGTGGTGCCGTTATATTTCGCATTGACGCCCAATGTCGCACTTTCCGCTAAATGTTGTGCTATTGCCGCTAAATGTCGTAACCGCTGCTAAATGACACAAAAAACTTTGTCGCACATTTGATGACGATAAATTTCGCATTATTTTCTCTCATAGTTAAATATCATATGTTATTATTTATGATGTCAAAATATCTAAATTCACGTCATGTTAATATGAACGTCATATAAGTGATCTAGGGACCTATATCTATTTATCAGTTAGGTAAGGATTTGCCGTGATAATAAATAATTGGTTAAAATTGAAGTGATCTTTGTCGGTATTAGAAAATGACGACCATAATTTATGCCAAGGAGCCCCTTTGTGTTAAAACAGATTTACAATGTATACGTTTTTTCATGTTGTGGATACGAGCTACAACATCAGGCCGCTTTATAGAGTCGTTGTGCCTTTGCCCCGAAATGAAATTCGAAGACTCGATTAATTGGCCAATTATCGTGTCTTCGCCTAAGCCTTTCGAGGCGAAGACACGTCGACACATATAGAGTGCTGATACAAAGACTTCTATCCGCCGACAAGATGATTCCACAAAAGCAGATCTCGTGTCTTCGCCTAAATTGTATCTTTTCTTCATGTTGGCGCCCTCAAAAGTCGAAGGCGATGGCTAGATAAGTGAGCATACTTTCGTGTCTTGAATGCACGAAGACATAAAATGGCAGAAATCAGCCACAATACCTCTCTATAACAAATAGGATAAGTTGAATAAAATATGCATTTTATTTCTGAATTCTATAGTGGCTGATTTCTGCCATTTCGTGTCTTCCTGTCTCCACGTCTCAAAATTCAAAGGTGGAGACACGATAATATGCCCACTTATCGAGTCTTCGTGGAGTCTTTCACAGTGTTCGTTTTATTTACTGAATTTCATCATGAATGTGCAACTTTCGACATTTAACGGTAGTGTTGCAACAATGAACGGCACGGGAAAATCGTGCAGCATTAAACATTACTATTGCGACATTGAATTTTATCGCCAAAAGATAGTTCGACATTTAGCTGAGGTTGCGACATTTAGCGGCAAGTGGGGTATTTTGCGGCGTTGCGCCACACTCACCAAAGAAATGTTTGACCGTTAATTAAAGAGAGGTCTGAACATTCCGCGTAAATAAAACAATTTTCAATCGACTTATTTGACCTATTGCATGATCAGTAAATTCATCCCATTTTTCTTGTTCAGTTTTACATGACTGTTAGAAATAAGATGTGTCTTATATCTAATTTTCGTTTCAGCTCATGAATAAAGGTCATAGAACAGGCAAAGTCGGGACACATCAGTGTTGCCATGGCGGCACGTGGTACGTAATGCTGGAGGAAGACGAAATGAAACAGAAATTAGGTATGTAATTTTAGAAGCCGTAAGACTTCTTAAAGCAGTTCAGTTCGACAGATTATTTCACTTAATAGTAACAGTTCATTTTCATTTCTCGTTAGCACGAATCATAAAAAATGTTCAAATAAACTTTTACATGTAAATTGACCTTTACGTAATTCGATGGCAGTATTTTTTTTTTCGAAGACTCGGTCTTTTATTTAAGAAAGCATTTAAAACTTAAATGTCATGATTAAAAAGCACAAGACATTTGAACTGTACCTACCGCAGAACTGTGTGAACGAGCGGGGATTTCTACCTTCTGTCAGTCTGTCCCCACTAGCAAGTTTGTATATAGGGCGGCGCCATTATAGCGGTGTGGTGGGGATCAAGCTTACAACTCAAAGTGTGGGGCGTTTAGCGGTGATATTACTATCTTTCTGACCTAATAGGCGAGGCTTATACAAAGCTTTTGAACATCTAAAAAGACAAAGCCCCCACTATTCCCCGAATATTGAGGCAGAATTACAATGATAAGTGATTGATGCACGAGTCAAATACATTTCAGACATTGATGTTGAGAAAGATAAAGTATTATGTCGTGTACCGTATGGCGGAATGCTGTTGCTGAATAACATGATACCGCACAGAAGGTACGTGATATTCGTAACCAGAACGTAACGAGAGCAAAGTCATTGCTTTGCCAGAAATAAATAAAACAAATATCGTCATTGCTGAAACAGTAAATAAATTAAAAAAAATAAGATTATACGAAACGGGCAACAAAAAAGTACTCTAATGCTTAATATTGTGAAATACGAAGACTTTCTATAAGCCATATAGCTTGATATTTGGCCCTTCCTTTACACTCGTGTGTTCATCTTATTATACAAATGTAGTCTACCTCTATTTTAAGTAAATAACTCAAAATTTTGTTAAACTTGTATTGTATATACATTGCACTCAATAAGTATTTCTGATTTTTGCTCCGTTTTTTTGAAAATTTGAAGATCTATTCCAAATACTTACTGCCTGATTTTCTAGTTTGCCGAACGTTTCCGACCAAACACGATGGAGTCTCGACCTCCGATGGCAAAACCCGAAACTTCCGAATGGTTTCTACGGCATGAAAGAATGTGTATTGATGAGAACAGAGGATAATCCGAATCTAAAGGTTGACTGGGACAAATTCGAGGGAATAGATAGAGACACAGTACAAAGAAAGTCTGTAGAGGACATGAAAGACGTTATTCCTGTGAGTAATCTGACCTAAAGTCATTCACAAACAGCATTAACGAATCAAAAGAATTAAATTGTTACGTTAATGACATCATTCCCTTCGAAATTCAGAATTCATTCCTGCCAGCATTTATACTTATTAGAGTATATGTATTCGTAGATATTTTTCAACTTTATTGAAAAAAATTTGCATGTCAAATATTGGTATGAAGAAAAATAAAGTGTCTACTGTCTTAACACTACAGCAAAACCTATATTTGATCTTTGACTTTTGTTGAAACCATGAAAAACGCTGCTTGAAAGATCCTCATTTCCATTGCATTTTTTTAAACATGCGTCTTATTATTAATTGGAGTTATCCCATCATATAAAATATTGGCGTGGTAATATATATTAGCCAATGTACATGCGTTCACTGCAACAGTTGCTATGTTCAATGATGATTTTTACGATGTGTCAAAAGTTGTCTAACTGGACACCACTAACAAAATCATTTTATTCTTTACTCAGAAAGCCGAAGATGACGATTTTGATATCACGATCCAGGGTCCGTGGATGAAGAAATGGGAAATAGTGCACGTGAATGATCATGTCAGCAAATTGGATGCAAATAAAGATTATGCAACATGGCATGGTCACAAAGCATAAACAATCATTGAAAAATTGTGATAACTTAAACGATTTGGAAAAATTATGACCAATGATAGACACATGACCACAACTCTTGGACGACACGTTTCTGTTGAATAAACAGTTTCTTGCGTAGAAAATAAGCTTCTTGCATGATTATAGTCATTTCACAAAATTTGTAATTTGTTCATTGAAAGTTTACAATTATAAGTCTTCATAGACTATACTTTCTAGTTAAAATATCATAGTAAAAATGGCGAAGTACAGTGTAGTATAATTAGAGAAAATGTCAAAGTATATTAATAAATATCTTAAAGTGGTTTCTTACGATTTATAGATTTGCTAAAAATGCAAGTCTATTACTAATTAATAAACAAATAAAATCTAGAATAGAAAATATCGTGTATTTTATATTTGACATGTTGTTTGACAATGGAAAATGTGAAGTGAAAAATATTGAATGATGAACTCAATTCTGAGTCCGATTTATCACGTACATTTATAAAGGACTAGTTATAGTATAAAAGCATTTGTCAGTTCAGTCAATCTTTCCTTCTAATTACATATTTAGATGGTACAAGTATGTAAAGCACTAGTATCAGAAACATACAATATCTCCGCACAGAATTAAAAACCGAGTATTTACTATTTTAAGTCGCTTTCTTTTGTTTTTCCACTAACGCAGCCGTGTGGTAGTAAGAGCAGCTTACGTTCACAGCTTTGCCAATCCTACTCAATCCCTCAACCACCTTAGGTATATCACTTCTAAATAAGTACCGATGTCCTTTACCCTCTGGGTGACCTAAACGACCATCGCTGCCACATCCCCATGTGAACACGTGACCTTCTGCGCTCACTGCTGCACTGTGGATACCTCCTGCAGACACGTGTTGTATATGTTCACCATTGAAATTTTCTTGTGGTATTTGTGTAGGAACCCATCGAGAATTCTGGTCACCAAGTCCCAATTTACCCTTATAGCCGTCTCCAAACGCGAAAACTTGACCTTGCTTCGACACACATAAGGTGTGTCCATGTTTTTCACCGACGTTACAACTCACCTCCTCTATATGAGCGTCTTGCATGACGTCAACTAAAGTGGGCGTGTTCACCTGTTTACTTGGGTTAGGCCCTATACCTAAGGCGCCATCCTCGCCTTTGCCAAACATGTAAAGTTGTCCATCATTATCAACTGCTCCACTGTGAGCAAATCCTGCACTCATATGTTTGATCTTCACATTTCCATTTTTAAAATAAGGAATTACGCTCGGTGTACTTTTATCGTTGTTGTCTTCGTGTCCCAAAACACAATGCCGGCCGCAACCCCAACTATACGCTTCACCATCATCAGTCCATAAGAGAGTGAAATTGTTGCCACAAGATACTCCCGATACCTTGGTACTGAACGGTCCGTTTAGCATCAGAGGTGGGGCTAATGGTGGGAAAGATTGATCTCCAAGAACACCATGTGATTTATTGTATCCCCAGACAAATACATTGTTGCCTGCCGACACTGCTGCACCGTGCCAGATACCACATGAAACCTAGTGAAAGTAGAAAGTCAATGCTATATTTTTATTTTACACTAAGATTTGTTTCAAGCCCGCAAGGTTAGAACTCGTACGAACCGACTGTATACGAGGGATGATAAAAAATTAACCGGACTTGGTAGATAACTCTTCACCTGTTAGTGTGATTTTTCCCCTGTATTTTTTAGCCGAATAAAGGCTGTTTCCAGGAGTATTTTCGCCTAAAATGCTATTATTTGCCCCATGTGCACTTCCTCACTAGAACCATGACTTAAGAGCATCTGACTTATATCAGCTAGTAGATAAATAAAACTGACTGAAAGGCAGAAATATGTCCCTATAAATAGACTCTGCTATGTACCATGCATGTTGAATTAATTTATAAAATGTGGGAAAATTCCATTCTTAGCTGTTAGAATTTGATTTCAGATTTTCCCCTTTTCTGAGTTATCGTGCTATATTTTCCCCTTCAGAAAGCCACAGGTTATTTTTAAAATTGAAAAAATCACAGTGTTAAATACATAATTTATATAATGATTAATGCACGGAACATAACATAATGTGTATTCAAATCAACGGGAGTACTCAAGGCTGTAGCTTACACAAGATTAAGACAATCTGTTATAATAATAAAATGCTTAAAATTTCAGATAGTCGGTAGGCAAATTTAAATAAACCGTAGTAGGCTTATTGTTCATATTCAAATAAAGATGATCATAATAAGAGCAAAATTTATCATTCACTTACCATCCGGAAGATGACACTCTTCTCGGCCTTGTCTTTCACTAATATTTCTACAGGTTCTGTCCTATCTTCTTCTTTTCCTGTACCCAGTCGTCCATACTTCCCACACACAACCAAAGGTAAACAGGCGTCCGTTTTTGTTAATTACCGCAGTATAGTATCCACCGCAGTGAATATAGCATGCTTCAGTATTCACAGGTAATTTTGTACGTACAGGTATGTGCTGTGTGTCTGTCTGTCCGTTCCCGAGCTGACCACAATTACCGAATCCCCAAGTTAATACATCCATCGTATCATAAGATATTCTGAAATAGTGGAGAATTGTGAATGTTTGATGAGTAAATGAAAAATGTGGGAGTTGACAATCATTTCTATTTTTAGTAAAATTGCTCACCAGGGTAGTATACTGTGACATTACAGCGGCAAGAAGCTTACACCGATTACTTCCCTTATATAGTAATCTTGGAGATATATACTACGGAAGGGTCATTGAATCATTATTGGCGTCCGCGCCGAAGCGCGGCGCTCTTATGGAATGAAATCAGATTTTGTGAAAGGGCGACAGCAACTTCTCGAGCCTTTTAGTCGGTCATAATAAAAGCCGAAAATTCCGATCGGTATGAGGGTGCTTGATTATTAATTAAGAATGAAATGTCGCGATATGTTACAATGAATTTTCGCAATGCAAACATTTTCAAATGAAATAAATAACCTTTTTCGTCAATAAATCGCGCTCTTCGGGGTTTTTTATTTATCATTTTGTAGTACACAGTCGGTTATCATGGTATGTTATTGTTGTACATGTATCCTAGAATGATCAGTTGATGACCTAAATATTCCAAAAACCTATTTATAGATATATCTATTTATCACTCCTATCGGTAAATGCCGGTCTCTCCCGGTCTATTTTGACCAGGATTTACTAGTGACCGGCGAATAGTACCACACGTTTATTGTCCGGTCTCTCCCGGTTTTGGAGTAGATGTTTGATATCGTTACAATTAGAAAAAAAACAACAATAGCATGTTTCATTTTATCTATATGAGATAAAAACAATAAATATGTACACGGATTTATATGTAATATAAATCCGTGATATGTACAATAATTGAGAAAAAGGTACATTTTTTATGGTATTAAAATGACATTATCAACTTTGAAACATTTTATTTAATTTGTTATCCGTGTTTAGTAAAGATGCCGAGGAATTATTCAAAGTTACAAATTAGATTTTATGAATTATTCAATTGATTGATAATTTAAAAAATGATAAAGAAAAATACAATGTACATGTACATGGTTTAAGAATAAACGATATTATATATTGAAAGATAAACCATAATTTACTGACTTTTTCAAGTTAAGCTTTGACTTATAATCGTCGGTCAATATGACAATTGAATTCTTAAGATTTATTTCACAATTTTAATAAAAAAAGAGTAGTAAAAACTCAGTATTAAAATAGCGCATAAAACACAAAAAAGAATAAAAGAAAACAATATTCATAATTTTTTTTTTTTTTTTGAATTAAAATTAATAGATATTACAATTATTGTATAATAAACAATTATGCTCAACATGATCAACATGGTAATATAACCAGTGTCATATTTTTACTAACTTAAAGTGTGAACAGATACCTTAAGGGGGTCTTCGCTAATAAGCGATAACATAATAAGGATCTTACAAATGTGTGCTACGTGTTGATCATGCGTTACACATATAGATTATAAATGATTGCATACATGTATATCCGTTGCTATTAATAACCACGATCATAAAGAAATAACAAGTAATATTCTAATCTCTAGCATGCCAATCAAAGTTCATAATGAACAATGTCTTTCGTCCGCTCATTTATAAGTGATATACATTTCTGGTAGTTTATAAGAATATCTTGTCATCATATGTGTACTAGTTCATCTTCACTTGCTGCATTTCTTGCTTGGACGCCCTTTGATGCTTTGCATCAATGCTTTTCTTGTTTAACATACTGAAAAAGTTTTGCTCTTCTTCACAGTGGCTGATTTAATTCGTATTTAACATAATTGCATATTATCGCTGGATGTTCCAGATTCACGGGGGAGGAAGTGTTACACGAAGGATGGAGTTCTTATGATAACTTGTTCAGGAGTTCTACGGAGTTCGTCGGAAAACATCTGTATATACTACAAAAACACTCGTTAAAAATGGTTATTTTCATCTTTCAAAAATGAGTTTTAGGTGCTAAATTAAACTTTAATGATTAAGCTTGTCTTACATCTAGTATTATGTGTCAAAAACTAATTCACAGGCCATTTTTAATTGCCTCTTGCTTCAAATTTGGTAGTTTTCAGTAAAATTTTCAAATTATTTGCCAATTCACAAGTATTGACCTGTTTATTTCTGGTCTTCATCTTTGCCATACATTTTTACCTAAATTATAATGCAAAATTACAAACATAAAGCCCAGACTAACAAATTTATACCCGGTTTTTCAAATGTCCCGGAGTTCTTGTGATATCTCTGAAGATGTCACAGAGTTCTTATGATAACTTTTGTTATTGTCAGTGTGTTTCTTGCGCTAAATCGCGGCACGGTTTGGCGTTTTTTATTATTCAATGAGATTGTAAATCATTATGAAATGCAGTACGATCATCCTTTGCACAAAAATGTGGATAAAACGTTGGTCTTCAAGTGTCTGCAAAGGATAAATAGGTGATAGGCTATCATCTACAGTAAAAATTGAACCAGCGGCCACTGATATTCAGCAGTATAATGGCTTAAACCACAAAACAAAAATGTCTCAAAACGTACGCGTTGTTCTCAGTTTCACATGTTTTAAGCAACCATCTTTCTTAAGCAGACAATATAGACATGTTTCCTTTACCGACGGGCTAAGTATTTATATCATTTTATACCATAATAAATAAGTATATAACCAGCATAATTCCCACACCTATGTCTTAAAAAAGTACAATACATGATACAAGGTAGACTTATCACCATATATTTCTTTACCATTATTTGATTCTTTTGTTGGCTCTATTTTGAATTATGCATGTCCTGTATGGGGATTTTCTAAGTCAAAAGATATTGAAAGTGTACATCTCAAATTTTGCAAATATATTTTAGGCGTTAAGAAAAGTTCCAGCAATAGTGCTGTATACGGAGAATTAGGAAGATACCCTTTATATATAAACAGATATGTTCAAATGATAAAATATTGGTTGAAAATTTCAAATACAAATAATATTATTTTAAATACGATATATAATAACTCATTAAAACAATGTTTAAATGGTGTCAAAAATTGGACATACAATGTTAAACTAATATTAGAAAATTATGGTTTTGCAGATGTATTTTTGAAACCAAATGAAATTAATATAAATGCATTTTTGGTACATTTTAAACAAAGAGTTTTGGATTGCTTTAAACAAAAATGGCAAGCAGATTTAAACAATAATAGTGTTTTAAACACTCTTTATATTCATCTAAAAACAGATTTAAATTTTGAAAATTATTTAAATACTATCAAATCTAAATATCTAAGGAGTAGTATTACGCGTTTAAGAATTTCTTCGCATAATCTTAGAATTCAAACAGGTAGATATGGTAGGAATAGAATAGATAGACAGGAAAGATTATGCCAAGTGTGTCAATGCTCTGAGATTGAAGACGAGTATCATTTTATTCTTATATGCAGTGTTTACCATGAATTAAGAATTCGATTAATTAAACGTTATTTTTATCATAGACCCAGTATGTACAAATTCATAGAAATGCTTAAGTCAAACAATAAATCTGTTCTTAACAATCTTAGCAAATTTATTTATTTAGCCAATAAGAAAAGAAACGATTTATTGAATTCATATCCTAGGCTTTAAGACTATAATTATATTCATTATATTCTCTGTTAGACACTTTATAAGTGAACAATTGCAGTTATTCAATATCTAATTCATGTTAATAAGAGCTTATTCTCCATATTGTATAAACTGAAACATTAATTATTCTCTTTCATTTGAATACCAACCGTGACAAAATGTTTTATATGTATTGATGTATAACGAGATACATGTATATGTATAAGTTAAATAAAATTTTCTTCTTCTTCTTCTTCACGATAAAAACTCAACTGCGGTTGGTTCTAACTACCGATCTCTCGAACAAATTTGAACTGTCCCTCCAGGTTCGAGCGAACTAAGTTTGGCTATATATTTTTGTTATCAATTACAGCAAAAGTAGCAGAGTTTCCTCCCAAACATCGACAGAAAAATATACATGACAATACCATATTTGAGTATTTCAAAGAGCATTTTATCACGTACATAAATGCCCTACTTGCTTCGTAGCAGTTCCTGGCCCGAAATCGCACTTTTAAACAAATAAAATAAAAATATGTCTACCGAAGAGTGCAAACTTTGACAGAACAAAGTTAGGTACCTGTCCAGCATCCGTTCGTTCGTCTAATGCAGTCGTTTCTTTAACAAATTCATATTATCGCATATATATAGTCATTACAAAAAACAATAAATAAATGAAATTACATCCCAAGAAAAACTTGATTTAAGGATGGTATGGGTTAATTTAGCATGCGCCTTGAGCAGTTCGAACTTTATATTTTCTAAGAGTTCGAATGTAGCGTCATGAGTAATACAGAGGCTCGCATAATAAACATTTTATTCAACTCGATCGTTCTCTAAATTTAGTAATGAACCTACACGAACATAATATTCTTTATATCAAATTTCAAAAATAAATCCTGTTGAAATTGGAAAACAACCTTTTTTCATTGTATAACGCAAATGGCATCAAGTCAACGCAGTCGCAAATTTAAAATGAGTGTAGGTTTAATATACAAATGTACTAATTTTATTGCACGAGTTGAATAAAATTACCTGGTGTATACGTACTTTTCATAACATGTCCAATTTTGAATAACTTCCTTTTTTCAGTTATATAAAAAGAAAATATTCTGTATAAATTTAAAAAATTGGTACTATCTGTCTTTTCATTAACGCACTTCACTGTACTGTTAATGAAACATTAACTGATTTTAAATTATAAATCCGTGATTATATGTATACTTACGTTTCTTATATCAGAAACACTTGACATTTCTTGTTATTGAACGGATAAAGTGACCTTTTTAATTTGGACAAATAATTTTGTGTTAAATGAGTTCTACTTTCTTTTTTTTAATCTATATATATTTACTTATTTTAGATGGTTCGACAACGATGCACTTTATCATTAATTCGTCATTGTATATTTTTTCATCAAGGTGTGATAAACGAATGGCGGTGTTTTTGATTGTCAAGTAAACATGTCCAAACACATTACGACGTTTGATTCAATCATTTTAAAACATCAAACTTTCAGATTTATAACCTAGATACAAATAAAACACCATACATCATAGTTTTTCTCGGCAATTGTAGTTTGACAGTGTATAATTTCGTTGTAAATTAGCATTTAGACTTTTCAAATAGGTCTGGGTTAATGAGACGCTTATTACAAATATATGTGTTCAGACAATGACAACAAAAATCCAATAATTAAATTAACGCCTATAAAAGTGCGATTATTGGAAAAATATTAAGGACAAAGAACAATAAAAAAATAAGTTTTGCTTCTGATACTGAATATATTTAACCTCTTTTTCACTGGTTTAGATGTTACTAAAGTTTCAAATTTCATGTTTAAACTTGAATATAATATCAAATATTCTCTGCGGAATTACTTGGAGTTATTGATATAGGTGATAAAAATGTCAACCACAGTGTGTCTCTCATCTCTTGATTAACAGCAAAATGGAGTAATTGATGTGGAATATACAATCAAATTTACTGAAAAGTTTATTTGAGGTATGGATTTCTGCAGCCTTGCTTGTAAGTACTTTGAATTATGCTTTAAAATGAGGTCTGAAGTTATTGAAGCAAATCTAATTTCAGATCATAAACAAATGTCATACAGAAATGAGAACATTATACATTTTTATGTTATATATAACTATTTACGGTTGTTGATATGAATAACGCAAATTCTCAAATTATACACATTGGCAGAATTCTGAATATTGGTAGTCAAAAACATCAAATTAATGAAAACTTGAAGAATATGAACCCCAATTTCACATTTCATAATTTTCAAAAGTAAGGTCCCATGTAACGATGAATAACAACATGCATGTTAGGATGTAAAAAGAACCTGTTGGTTTTCCTAGGAGTAACACTGTACCCAATTGCTCTAAGCTTTAAAATATAAACTTGCTAAATAAATGAGTCGCCCATATGGTTCTAGCAGTGACTATAAGAGTAAAGAATATATCACACAGACGTTTGATCCCATCATGATTGTAAAAGTAACAAACAGTGTTTGAATATTGAGGGTTTGTAGTCATTTTATCATCTTAATACATTGTATCCTTAAGAGAGTGAAGGGAGACTAGTTGAGAGGGGCTATAACTGAGTGACTGGTGAATAATCAAATATAGTTTCCAGGCAAATTTGCAAATTACAATTAATATCATAATAAATTATGAGTGAATTTTATTTATTGCATTTATCTTTAGCTAGTTTTAGTTTTTTCTTAACCTCAAATTCATATTCAATGTCACTTCAATTTTATTCTATTTAATCTAAACCACCATAATCCATCATAAATGATGCATGCTACTCACACTACATTGTACAGGTCTGAAAGCTTGAACGATGATTAGGAAACTACCCGCCTATATGACTGAAATACTGTTGGAAAAAGGCGTAAAATGAAACAAACAAACAAACCTGAAAGCTTAATGATAATTTTGTGTACATGTAATCATTGTTCTCTTTCGAAGTTGTATTTTTTATGATGGATTGTAAGTAGATGCTTGTTGTAATTTTGATTGTACATGTATGTATCAATTTTTGTTTTTCAGATAGAATATAAAGATAAAGAAATACAGAAATGGCTTTAGACGATAGAGTTCATAGATTAACAGAAAATTTGGAGGTAATTCTGATTGTTAACGTATATGTATAATTTATATAATATATGGTAATATTTGGTTGTCTTTTCAAGTGTTTAGATAGAAGGATACTTAATAGTTATTTTGGATGAGTAACAAGAGTTACAATTAGAAAAGATGAGATTACCATCAGATTTAACCCTGAACATGCTTAATTTCTGGAATGGACTAATCCAGTTTCCACTTTTGGAACTGTCCATTATCAGTTTTAGGGAATATCAACTGCTGGTCAGTCTGTGCAGGCTGGTCTGGCTCCAACTTAAAGTTACTTGTACTAACTTAAGGTAATCAACAGTATAGGACCATGTCAGACTACACATATGTTCAGACTTGACTGGCTGTATACTGTAGCAAAATCCTAGTACTGGTATCTGTCCGTTCCATCAGCATTCAGTTAAGGGTTACTGTTATAATTATTCACTGTGTGGCTAGATTGAACACTTAGTGAATGGATAAATAATATATGTACATGTATACATGTATATAATTATGGTAATGTTAGTAAATGTTAGTATACCTGTAGGATATAAAAAAAAATGTTTTTAATTCTGAAAACCCCACATCTTGATTAATTTTAACTGTCAGTGTTAATACAATGTATGTCCCACTATGAATCAGATTTGTGTTAAAGTCAGCATTTCAATGTGGAATAAATGGCAGATCCCTTTTGGAGGGTCGAATTGTGTTACAATTATTATGTAGCATATTAGATTGTATTGAAAATTACTTTCACTTTAGGTAAAAATAAGTAAAACATTTTTTGACCTTTAAATAGCATTGGATTTGTAATCCAGGGGTTGTTGGTTCAAGCCGAGGGGCAATAACTGATATCAGACATTGAGTGTAACACTGATGGTCAATTGTCTCTCACCCCTGGTTCCAAAATCTTGTGGGATTTGTTGCCTGTCAGTTTTGGCAAAAATTGGTAGTTACTGGTTAGGTAACCAGGAAATCAAAGTGAATTGCCCCAGGAGATAATTTATGTCTAAAAAATGAGTTAGTTACAATATGTGTACAATAAATTAAACATTGTAGAAAGTACTGAAGTTGATGCAATTTTCCCCACTCCATGGGCCCTGCCACCATTTCCCAGAAAATGAAAAAAGCACTGTCATTTTCATGTTAAGTTCAAGACTTTGTTAAAGGACCAAACTTATACTAGCACTTATATGACTCCCTTTTAAACTAATAAATGAAATAACCGCAAGTCTCATTGTAGATTAAAAAATAGACTTTGGCCAAGAGCTTTATTTAATCATTTTTTTAATGATAAAGATATTAGATTCTATTATCAAAAAGTTTTTATTGTTATTATTTACAAATAATTATAATAGAACTACATGTACACTGTATATAACATTTTTTTAAATATTAATATTCTGTATTTCTCTGTTTTCACACCAGTCAGGAGTTAATGCATAAATCCCTATTTTTTTAGATAATCTTCTTAATTCAATCATAAATTATATAGCATGACATGTGGCCGTGGTTAATTTTCTATTGTCCTCTAATACAACAATATAAAACAACATTTAACAAGTTGATGCAAAGATTGTTTGTTCACACTTTAAGTATCCTTTTCTGTGTGTTTAACCGGGTTATAATTTATGGGAATCTAACCAAATAATGTCTTTAGGGCAGTGTAAAGGCATATATATACTGTGTAGTGCATTTTACAATAAATTACTTGAAGTGTATAGGCTACCACACTGATATCCGTAATAAAATCGTAAAACTTCTATCTGGAATTTAAATCTTGAAATTTTATATCACAGTAAAGAGGGTGTTAAATCAATTTATAAGGCTACTTGTGTATAACTACTCCAAAAACAATATAAAATTAATTAGACTCTTTTACAGACAGGTAGCTATTTAATAAAATAAGTTATTTTAAAGCTGCATAAGTTAAAGAATATATTTGCTGGTCTTATAAATTTAGTATTTCTTTCCTTTAAGAAGAAATTATCCAGTAAGTGCATTTATAATAAGACTTCCAAGAATTCTAAGAGGTGTATAATTAAAAAGGGTCATTATAAGATAATATTATATTGATATGGAACTTGTATTTGGCATTCATGGACTTTACTAGAACAGACCACGCTTGGCCCTTCCACATTCTGTGAGATCTTAATTGAAGTAAAATCCAGTTTAGTCAAATTAAAGTTCCAGATTGATATTCTCCTATAAAAACTCAATTATATACCCAAGTATCTTTTTTAAAAATTAAAAAAAATTTCTTTAAAAAGTTTGTTTGTTTTTTTTTTTCAGGAAGATTTGGTAATGAAAGTACATGTAGTATGAAAATAAAAGTCATGCTCAAAATTGTGTAGATTAGATTGTGAGACTCAATAATTACAAAGTGATACAATGTATCCTAGATTGCTCAAGATCTGAGTGACACACATAAAATAGAGATTTCCAATATGAAACGAGTATGGGTCACATTTCCAAATTACTTCAATATATCTTTTTTTCCGGAGAGTGTTACTTTGGGTCTCTTTTATAACTAAAGCAAGGGTGGATGCAATTTGATTTTACTAGTGTCAGTATGATATCAAAATATAAAGTTTTAATGAAAACATAACAAAATAAAATAATAAAATGAATAAGCTCTAAGTCTTAAAGGGACTCCAATTAGTTGTTGATTTTTTTTTTGACATTTATGAACTGGACATTTTTTTCATAGATATATTTTATGTAGGTCTGTACCAATAACATCTGTGCAAATTTACTGATCATTCCCTCAGTTTGTTTTTCTGGAATAATTGTTTTTATTGTGCAAAATTACACAAAAATGAACTGTTGCGAAGATTTTGACTCATATCAGGCTAAGAATTGCACTAACTACCGTTTTTCAATTTATTTCAGACTGTATTTCTTATTATCCTTTGCAGATTTTTCCATTTTAACTTTAGTTTAAGTGCTTCAAAAAAATTCAATCTTTAAGCTTTTGGACGTCAGTGGAGTTCCTTTAAACTGAAGCACTGGAAATAAACAACCACAGAGAAATTATTTGTTTATGTACAATAAGATTATGATATATATCTCCACCACTCCTTTCAGATATGCTTAAAGAATTACAAAAAACTGCCTAGTATTAATGAATTAACCCGATATATAATAAGAAATCATTATCTAATTTAAATAATGTGCATTTTGCTGAGCAGCTGCATTGACATCAAACTTTTTTAGCTTCCTTTTTATTTTATGTAAATGTTTAGTGATTGTTTGCAATTCAATTTGAAGATTGTTTGAATTTTTTATGACAAACATTGTGCCAAACTATTTACAGATATCTTACAACGATATAAACACTCTGAATAAGTAATCAAGCGAAAGATAAAAGTTATTGGAATAGCTGAAATTGAAAATACCCGCGATAGTAAAATGCGGTATTGATAAATGAAATGTTAATGCTCACCTTCATATTAAATCTTTCAGTTTAGATAATTGAAAAGCGTGCTCGAGAAAAATCAATCATTTAAATATTTACCTAACCTTGTTATTAATACAGGTTTATAAAGGTTGGTAAAAATCTGTTTATATCGTCAGACTATGTCAATGAAAACATCTAAATTAAGATCAATTAAATATATCGGGGCCGCTGTGTCAAAAGACATAAATAAATGATGCATAATTGACTATGAACAGTATTCTTGTCAGGGTTAATCATGTTTAGACAACATTAAATATTTATTTTTGCTGAAGACTTTTCAGTTAACTAAGAATGGGGGATGACAGGGCTGGTCTACCTCCTTTTAATTCACATACTTATATCCTAGTCACATCACTTTTTTTTTTCGATGGTTTTAGTTTAAGATCAAACATGTATAATTGGAGAAAAAGGTGGGTTTAAGTACAAGATATAAACTCTTTCTAGACAGAAACTGCAAAATCTCTGCAGCCAGTATAGAGCCAGGGACTGTGCTGTTGATTGTCAAGTTTGAGATTGTTTCAATAAGCTTATAGCTTCCAACACAATCAAACTAAAATAAATTCATATAATAAACTATAAATTAAGCTTATAATTCTTTTTATAACATCCCTAAAATTGATATTGGTATTTTCGGAATTAGAAGTTAGACAAGTTAATTTAGGAAATTTAGCAGGTTCAGGTTAAAAAAAATCATGCATAAGTAAAAAAATAGTAAAACTGGTAAATGAAAAAAAAGATGATTCAGTCATCGAATTTAGCACTGGCCAGGTGGCCCATGGCCAGTGAAAAATAGTTTGGGCCAGTGAAAATTTTAAGAAAATTTAGTTAAATATAATTATAGTAAATTCAAAACTGGAATTCGGGCTAGTAAATTCAAAATCTTAAATTCATTGACTGGATGATTGGTAATTTACTTTAATACATTTTATATTGTATTGACATATTTTCCATCCTTATGTTTTACAAAAATCTAAATTGACCTAGCACTACTATTAATGTGTATATTGACTGTTGGTTTTAGTGAAATAAGTATAAATTATATGAGCACAGTCTTGGGGAAATTGGTCTAAATGAATTTTTTTATCGATTTTAAGATTTTTCCCATCAAAATTAAAGCTCATAAAAGATGCTTTCCAGTGATATAACTCATATGTAAAACAAATTATTATTTTTTTATGTGTTTTATTACAGGGGACGAACAGAAACTTGAAGAGTTTAGATCGTATGTTGGATCAGTATCGCGATGTAAGCCGAGATCACAGACATAATGTAGACAGGGTAAATATATACAGCATGCATTGTTGAAACATTGTTACATGTTCTTCACTTCACATTTTACTGATGTTGTTACATTTCACTTCTTTATTTTGTGTTTTCGATGTTGATAACAACACAATTTTTTTGGTTGCTAATTGGAATAATTTTACTGGGTCAGCTTGATCAAAAACTGTAAATAACTGATATTACATATAGAACAAACTAAGACTCATTGACCAATTTGTTAATTATATGTAAAATTAATGGTCTATTCAACTATTGTCTGACCTGCTTTTAAGTTAATAAATTGAATTATGAGCAATAAAAAGATATGAACATAATTGGGAAGAAATTGTTAAGAAATGGGAAGTAGAGGGAGTAGGGGTGTGGATTGGAGACAATAAAGAACTGTTTAAAACTTCTTTTACATACTTGAGGGATTACCTTTTATCATTTAAAGCTGGATAGAATCCTGATTTGAATTAAGTCTGGTAAACAATGCATTGAAAAGAGTTAAAATTAACAGTAAACGATAAAGACATTGTAGACAAGTTTAATTCTATTGTTAGTGTTTTTTGTTTGAATTTGATCATATTAATGATAACAATATTAATTTTGATATAATAGTTGTCCTACAAGAGAACCTCATGCGTAATTGTTCTATTATTAGTTACGAGACGATGTTGGTCGAACTCATCAACAGATACGGGATGAGCGATACAGAGATTATGGGGTACTAAATTTTTCCGTTTAGATGTGTACATGTATTCATTAACGAACTGTGTAGTGTCTTATACAATAATGTATTGGTTTTCCTGCTGTAATTAAAACATGTCATCTGCTTGTAATATATGATCATTGGACTTGAATTTAATCCAGGTGTTTTAATTATGCATTAAACGCATTGCCAAGCATAATCGATTATGGTTATAACTTCAAAAACCAATTTAATAAATGCATGTAATAATACCAGATTAAAGCTTGCATGCAAAATTCACATTAATTTTATATCACACTTTATTTTGGTTCTTTTAATTTTGGTGATGGTAGTTTTAATAAGTCATAATATTTCTTTAACACATGTTAAAACTACATGGTGCCCATTTGTGCCTGAAATAATGCATTTTAGAAACACCTGAGGTCTTCCTTCACCAGTGAAGCAGGAAACTCGCCATATGACCTATACTGTATTGGTGCAACGAGAGCTAAACCAAAAAATAAAAATTCTGTTTACATTGGAAAAATTTTGCATTTGTTGAATTTGAATAGAGAAACATGGCATGATTGAGTCATAATTATTTCAAATAGAAATATAGTACCTACTGAATATATTTTTGATAATGTGTCAAACAATGTTATTTCATATAAATCTAGCTTACTGGAATATAATTGTTCATAGTTTGCATGCTTTAATATGAACATGTTGACCTGAAAATACAAATACTGTTTTTAAAACTCACTCAAAACTTTCATTGTTTATGTGCTACATGGAACTGAAAATGTCCAGTAGATTATGACAATGTTTAGACATGAAAATATCTAGTGCTATAATTATATAAATAGTAGGTATTGATACTTATTACACACAAAGCCTATGTTGGTTGTATGATACAAGTTAGAATCAGTATTTTTTAATCTTATATAAATGACATTGTAAAGTAAACCATGTTTTTGTGTAAAAGTGTTACATGTACTTTATTTTTCTCTTTATTCTCTTTACAAAGTGAAGCTTTTATCATTTGTCATTAATTGTAATGGATGAAAAATGAAGTTTAATTGATGAAAATTATTGTATTATAATAGAGTGATAGTGAGTATGAAGTGGCGTCACCTATATCACGGCGGAGACGTAAACCTCGACGATCTACTGTCAGATTTGCAGACGACATGAACAAAGAATTACACAGCTTACATCATGCTGTAAGAGATTTATCAAGTGATCACCTCAACTTAGAGACCAGCTTTAATAGAGAGGTTGACAGGAGGGATGGGTAAGGCTGAAATATGAAGCAAAAATTGTTATTAATGAAGTAAAGTACCCCTTTTGAAGTAGCTTCTAGTCAGACAGGCAGTAGCAGGTGTATATGCCTTTAGTATATTAGTGTAAGTGAATGCAGATAAGTAAGTTTACTGCAATATGATGATAAATGCAGTATCAACTTGATGGCACTACTGCTGTTACCTCTGGTTAAAAGCGTTTTAGGCCAAAAGATAAAATTATGAAAAGTAGATCAAATAGTAAAGAAAATCACATTTTGATCATCTATATGAGAATAAAAAACATTCTCTGGAAAGGTATTTGATCCTGTTATTCAAATGTCACATGATCTATATGACATGTTTTCTTCCTTCAGGTATGATATGGACACAAGAAAAAAAATCCGAGAAATTTCAGATGACCTCAAGAGATTTACCTCGTCAGATCCTGTATGTCATTTATTTTATGAAAATTTTATTATACCCCAACAAACGAAGTTTGGGGGGGTATATAGGAGTCAGCTTGTCGGTCCGTCGGTCAGTCCGTCGGTCGGTCCACATCATGGTATCCGGACGATAACTAGAGTTTGGAATGAGGTATTGTAATCAAACTTGGTATATAGCAACCTTATGTGAAAACTCCGGTTGGTATTGCATTTGGACCCCCTGGGGTCAAGGTCATCGTTACTAAAAATAGAAAAATGGTTTTCGGACAATAACTACAGTTAGGAATGAGATATTGTTATAAAACTTGGTGTATAGCAAACTTATATGAAGACCTTGGTTGGTATTGTATTTGGACCCCCTGGGGTCAAGGTCAAGGTCACCGTTACTAAAAATAGAAAAATGGTTTCCGGACAATAACTAGAGTTAGGAATGAGATATTGTTATCAAACTTGGCGTATAGAAAGCTTATATGAAGACCTGGGTTGGTATTGCATTTGGACCCCCTGGGGTCAAGGTCAAAGTCCCCGCTACTAAAAATAGAAAAATGGTTTCCGGACAATAACAAGAGTTAGGAATGAGATATTGTTATCAAACTTGGTGTACAGCAAGCTTACATTAAGACCTGGCTTGGTATTGCATTTGGACCCCCTGGGGTCAAGGTCAAGGTCACCATTACTAAAAATAGAAAAATGGTTTCCGGACAATAACTAGAGTTAGGAATGAGATATTGTTATCAAACTTGGTGTCGCTTGGACCTCCTGGGGTCAAGGTCAAGGTCACCGTTACTAAAAATAGAAAAATGGTTTCCGGACAATAACTAGAGTTAGGAATGAGATATTGTTATCAAACTTGGTGTATAGCAAGCTTATATGAAGACCTGGCTTGGTATTGCGTTTGGACCCCCTGGGGTCAAGGTCACCGTTATTTAATGGTTTCCGGACAATAACTAAAGTTAGGAATGAGATATTGTTATCAAACTTGGTGTATAGCAAGCTTATATAATGACCTGGGTTGGTATTGCATTTGGACCCCCTGGGGTCAAGGTCAAGGTCACTGTTACTAAAAATAGAAAAATCTCCGGACAATAACTACGAGTTAGGAATGAGATATTGTTATCAAACTTGGGGTATAGCAAGCTGATATGAAGACCTGGGTTGGTATTGCATTTGGGTCCACTGGGGTCAAGGTCACTGTTACTAAAAATAGATAAATGGTTTTCTGACAATAACTTGAGTTAGGAATGAGATATTGTAATCAAACTTGGTGTATAGCAAGCTGATATGAAGACCTTGATTGGTATTGCATTTGGACCCCCTAGGGTCAAGGTCACTGTTACAGTGTTACTAAAAATAGAAAAATGGTTTTTGGATAATAACTAGAGTTAGAAATGAGATATTGTATTCAAACTTTGTGAAAAGCAAGCTTATTTAGAGACCCCAGTTGGGATTACAATTAATTGAAATATTTCTTTGTACACAGTTGATAGTTTGTGTTCAAATTTTTCTTCAGACTACTTATTTTTCAAAAAGTCAAAGTTGCTGGTGGGGGTATTAATCACCTTCAGTGATAGGTCTAGTTTATTTTTATTTTTACACAACGGAAACTATTTATGGATAGATTTGTCACAGAATAGCTGTGTTTCAAAATTTACATAAACATGATGAAAAGAAATTCAGTATTACTTCGCACAGGGAAGCACAAAAATATAGATGCACTATGAATAAGCACATTTTGGGCTTATGTTGTATATGGCATAAGGAATATTTATCATTTTAGTCTTAGTCTAAATTTCAGAGTTTTAGTAGAATACAGGCCGAGTATAAATGTTAGCTTAAAGTTAATAAAATACATTATACATAAAGTAAACTCCACTTATAATGATGTGGCTTATAATGATATACTAAATATAAATTAGCTGTTCCTGCAGTCCTGACTTTTTGTTTCAAATTTGGTTGCCTCGCAAGATATAATGATAACAGCATATAACAATATAAGTTATGCGGTCCCCTGAATATCGTTATAATCGGTGTTTACTGTATATATCTATTTTTTGGGAATTTTGTTAACAGTGGAAACACATTTATTATGATAGATTTTGAATTTCAAGTAAAGCACACAAGTGGTGATTTGACATGTATCTTTTTGCACAATTTTGCACACAGGTGGCAGATCGTGTAGAACGTAGATTACGTATGATTCAAACAGAGTTGGAGGCCGATAGACTGGTGACTGGACGGAACGAGGAATTGTGCAATCTTTCTATGGAATTAAGAAATGTATATTTTATATTCACCATCATTACTTGTGTTTTATATGGTGCAAATTCTAATTTTTGAGCAGATGTTTAATTTAATATTAAAAGAAATCTTTGAATTAACTTTTAAATGGTCAGCTTTAAGTAAACATTTAATCTTTTGCGACTTATGAATTCTATTCTAGGTGAGATTTTTTTTTAATCTTGTAAATATTAGTTTTTCTTTTTGTATTAAAATTCTTAGCATTTCTTGATTAAAACATTGAATTTCTTCATGTTTCAATATTATTATTACACATTACATCTCTTGGAAGTTCATTGTTGTAGTGGTCACCTTTGCAATGTTTACTTTAGCACATGGTGTTTGTGTAAGCATAAGATTTGTGTGACATTTACAGGCACTACAACAACAACAAGCACATGCACAACAGGCAGCTATTGAGGACAGGGTCAGATCGTCGTATCTTACTACTGAAACACAGAGACACAGGGTGCGGGACTTTACTGTTTCTTCTGAATAAATTTTGAATTTTTAGGAACTATTGCACTAACTTTGAAGTCAGTGTCACACTTTAGTTAAGTTTTTGTGTGCAAGTTTGTATCTCATAAACTACTGGAAGTACTGAGTTGAAACTTCACGCACTTATTTCAGAGCATAATAGGAGGTCACTGACCAAGGCCAATAACTATTTTTGTTTATTTTAACAAAATTATGGCTGTTTTTGAAATTAAAAATTTCTGCATTATCCAGTCTCTCATTTTACTATCAAGCACTAGGAATAGTCAAGCAAACTGTCCTACGGGCATTTTTATTTCAAGAATTTTTTTTACCTAAATAAGTAATACAAAGTATTTTTTTTTACATAATGGTTTCTGTATGGGTTTGTTTAAATGTTATTTAAAAAAGAAATTATCTACATAATTAACAAGTGATATAATACCAATTTTTGAAAAAAGAATGTAAATATCATATATGTATGCAGCTATGTTAAAGATTGATATGAGATTCTCCCTGATTTCTGAGTGTTATATTAGAAGTTACATTTGGATAAAAAAAAATTCACTATAGAGCTTCAAGTCGTGTAGATTTATTAACAATTTATTCATATCTTTAACTTGACACTACTTTTGTTAGCTTAAAACTTCAGTGCTTAAATATGGATGAATGCATTTATGTTCATGAAATTGTAGTGTTGAAATTCCATCATGGAAAGAAGTGTACATAAGAATTTTGCTTGTTTTTGGGTCCATATATTGTGACGTAAACTGATACATGTTTGTAAATTTGCTATATTGATAAATTGTTTGATCAACAGTTGGAGACAGATTTAGAGGAAATGCGGCGGAAACTAGACATGGCGGAGGGCTCAAAGTCAGCTATGCAGCAACAGGTATGTTATACAATACAAGTTTATTTGCTTTAAACATTATAACAATGTTTCTAGCATAATAGACAGGTAACATAATAATAGCAACAATATACAAAACCAAAATGTTATCAAATCTGGAATACAATATATATGCAATAATGTTGTTTATAATACAGTGGCTGTGTTAAAGCCTTGAAGTCTGGTGTCTGATATATCTGACCAGTTCCATACAGCATTGTGAATATTTCAAAGGACTTGACTATTATAGCTGTGCATGTTTCTGGTTGCATTTGTGAAAATATGTAGTTAAAGACAGTTCTGAGTTAAATACTTACTTAATATGTTTCATGCTATGTTGGGATAGATCACGCTGTTTGCTTGCTAATATTTTTTAATGGTTTCATAGATTATTTTTACACCTATGTACATGTGTGAAAGGTGCGCATCTCATCTTTTGCCCAAAAGTTAAGCTGTAATATGTCTTAATTTCTGTTCTAGTAATGATACTCCATTTCATAGACTATATATAATGTCAAAACATGACATTTACACTTTGAGATTGTATTACTTTTACACTTGTACATTTATCAAACTTCTAAAGTTTATTTATGCAACATTATAACCTTCCGATTGCTAGCAGCTTTTATAATAGTTTACATCACTAATACAAAGCTAGGACAGTCTGTACAGTTGTGCAGTCTGACAAGGTTAACACTGCTCACTACTTAATCTTAGTATTTGATTTTGAAATCCTGTCTGCTATATAAAAACTCTTTCAGATTTAATACAGGTCAATTACGTTACACAAATGCAGCAGATAAATGGTAAACACATCCAAAATCATGTTACTAAATGTTTATTTAAGCTCCAATATAATTCAAAATGACAAGATTTTTGAGAATGATGTAACATTTTGTAGGTAGATGATTTACGTAATCAATTACGACGGATGGAGGGTGATCGATCAAGGATGAAATCTCATTTAGAAGAGGCGAGGCTGGAGGAAGAACTCCGGGAAAGAAGGAAGAGAAGATCTAGTAAGTGATTTACATGTTGATCTTTTGAAGTTGGGTATGTTTTACTTATAAAAGTGCTATCATACTTAGATGGCTCAAGCTTTGGTCATGCCTTGGATCTCCTGAATGTTCCATCTGGTCTAGAAAAAGTTTTTTGTGTTATATTGTATATAGTTCAACTCTGCATGGCTTAAATATCTGAATTAGATGATCATTTGCATTGTAAAACTTTTATAACCTGTACAACTTTTATAACCTATTTTGTAAGCATTTAAACTAATCTAAACTTATATTTTTGAGGATGCAATAGTAGATTTCACACTCTTTGAGAGGTTCCACATAAAATTCTGACACTGTCAGAAAGTCATGGAAACAATACCGCAGCATTATATTATTTGATACCACATTTACAAATGTACATTTTTTTATGGTATATTCTTTTCCCAACTTGTAGTGGAAGAGGATCAGAAGAAGAATTTGGAGCGTGAACTTTTAGAATTACGTCAACAAATGACTCGCTCCATTGGTGCTACCAGTGAAACTGAGGAATTAAGACGTGGCCTCGAGAAAAGTGAGAGACAACGGGTACAGTTGTCGGACCATATAGAGGTAGGAATAAAATCTTAATATAGCATAATACTGCTGAGCGATTCAAGATTACATAAGTGTAGAAGTGAGGGCAGAAAAAGTACAGAAAATCATGCTTTTTCAGGTCCAATTTTAGTTTAAGATTTGTTACAATGATAAAACAGATAATATCCACAGGGTGACCATGATTCGTTACCCTAAGAATTTTACAGTGCTAGTTTGATACTATATTTTCTAATGATCATAGCATTCTGTGTTGATGAAATTTAGCGGATACATCAAATTTGCTTTGATGTTAAAAAATATCCAAATGTTATCATTCTTAATAATTATTTAATGAGACTTTCAGACATACACAGTAATGGGTGTAACTCTATGACAGGGACAAATTTAGGGCACCTGACGATATTTATTCATAAATGCTTTCTTGATAGTTTTAAAGAATGCAAAATGTAACTTACAGATTTTGTTCCTTTCATTGTTTAATTATTTTTTCAGACAATAACAAAAGATCTAGAAAACAGGGAAAAGCAGACGGCCAAACTGATAAATGAACTGAAATCAGTGTCTGACAAATGTGAGGATGCAGAACGGCACAAAAATCACTTGATGGTACAAGTTGAAGACACAGCAGCTAAATTACGAGATAATAGCCGGGAATTAGATAAAGCCCTGACAGAATTAAGAAATACACAGTTAGCACTCTCAGATGCTGAGAAGAAACGTGATGAGTTTAAAGGTCGTGCTCAGGAAACAGTTAGACAGTATGTTTATGTTTTTTTCTTTCTAAATGTTTCACAGCTATATGCAACTTTATTGTGTTGAGCCAATGTAAACACTCTCATTTACTTATTAATTGATTAATACTTTAAGAAAATCTCTAAGTTTTTGTCAGGTTAACAAGTATATTTTAAAGTTGGATCAATATAGCCAGCATTTACATCAAAATTGATAAAGCTACAACATGTTGACTTAGTTCGTACAAAAAATGTCCAAAGTGTCGAATTCATACAAACATTAGCTACCAATTAAGCTGAATGGAGTCACTTTTTATTAAATCAGTTGGGAGAGACAAATGACCATTAGACTCATTGTCCGAGATCAATTGTCATGGAGAAATTTTGCCTCACCACAAGGATCAATCAAGCTACCCCCAGATTTACAAATTAGATGCTTTCCCTATTAAGCTAATTTTTGCATGACAGTGAACCAAAAAAAAATGTTAATGTTATTGTATTGTATGTATTATAGATGGAAGATGAAGGTTAAACAGTTAGAACGGGAACTAGATCGTCATAAACACGGGAACCAGCAGATGATGCAGCGTAACGAGCAGCTCGTGAAGGAGACTGAGGCAATCAGACAGCAGGGACATACGTACGGTATACAGCTAGAAAATATGAGACGAGAACTTGGAGATGCTCTTGTAAGTGCTATGTTCCACATGGTATTGTATAGTAGCTATATTTCTGTTTCATTTTCACAGATTTACTGTAAAGAGAGGCAAATTTGTCTGTTGCTTTAAGGTAGTCTAATTGTAATGCTTTCCCACCAAAAAATTTCTAACATCGGCCAATGTCATAATGAATTGGTCTTTTCTGGAACGTTATTTCTCACAATTTTTGGTATTCAATAAATCTTAACTATCTATAACCTGAATAAAGAACATATCACTAAGGAATGAGTGATAATAAGTAATCTTATATCCAAGATTTTGAGAGAAAAATATTGATCCGGAATTAACCGATTTTCTATGATATTGGCCGATGTTAGAATTTTTTTGTTGGGAAACCATTACAGTATGACTACATTAAAAGCACAAGAAAATTAGATGTCTTATTTTGGTGTTGACAAAAGAACAATTTCGAAAGTTTTTACAAGTGGCAGTGTTGCCGAGTGGTTAACATATCGGAATAGTAAGAGGCAAGCTGTTGTTTCCTTGACCAAGAAACATGACACGCATTACATTATACTAGTTGGTTCCAGGAACAAATTTTAGAGTGTTCATAAACTTATAACTTCCTATACAATCCTTTAAAAATAAATTATGTATAAACTAAATATTTTACATATATGAATGACATAAAGATAATTCTTGTATGTATTATTGCAGGCTGTTAGAGCAGCACAAGATGAACAGATTCGATTGAAGGATGTTGAAATTAACGAGCTCAAATCATTACGTATGGACCTTGATAGAGAACTCAGGGATACTCGTACTGTCTCAGAAAGGGTGAGTCCTCATTAATATTGAAATTTCACTCTCCTTTTCTTTATTATTATCATTACTAAGAGATTTCATTCAAACTTTAGCAATGATATTTTCATAATGTAAAAAAAAAATACACATTTAGGCAAGGATGCCATATTGAAATGCAGAATCCTTGTAAATTTGTTCTTCTTGAAAACACGCCTCTTGAATAAAATATTGCTACAAACATTTTGACATTTCAACAAACAAACTAAAGTTCCTTGTGTATATATTTGTTTTACACTGTTACCATTTATGATCTTCCTGTCTACCTACAGCTGGAGAACGAGTTACATAATGCCCAGTCACGTATAGCGCAGGTAACCGAGGAGAGGAACCGTTTGGACGACCGGTGTTCGGCGGTAGAGGCGGCACACTGTCTAGCTCAAGACCAGGCTGCCCAATTACAGGTTTGTTTGTTTGAACATAATTTATGTGAAGAGGTGGTAGAATGCACAAAAAGAATTTATATTAAGAGGAGACAGAAAGTGCAGAAAGACACTATTTTATCTTAAATCATAAACAAATTAAAGAAGTTCAGAAATAATAATGAAAATGTTTTGTTTTTTTTTCAATCTATTAGATTTTAACTGCATATTTTCCTAGTTTTCACCATTTTCATGTCAATGTTGAATTCAGTTTATATCTTAATAAGCTGCTGCCAAATTAATGGATCTGTAGCTGTCATTTACTACTGAAGACCGTTTTATAAACCAGTTGTATTCAACAACATTGTTTTGTCAGTGGGACAAAGTAAGTCTAAGTCAAAAAATAGCTTTCATGTCATAGAACTTCGATATAAAGTTTTCCTGTTTCCTGAACAGCCATGCCTAAAACCTTTTTTTTTTGCCATGTTGGGTAATATTTATTGGTCCAGTTTTTACTAGGTTAATTTTTATCTATGTTTGAAACTTTTGCATGCATTTTTAGCTCGACTATTCGTAGAATAATCGAGCTAATGCAGTCACCCATTTGTCGGCGTCGGTGTCGGCGTCAGCATCCCTGTGGTTAAGTTTTTGTATGTAAGCTGGTATCTCCATAACTACTGAAGGGAATGGATTGAAACTTCACACACTTGTTCTCTGTGATTATCTAAGATGATTGGCACAAGTCCCATAACTCTGATTTGTTTTTTTACATAATTATGCCCCTTTTTCGACTTAGAAATTCTTGGTTAAGTTTTTGTATGTAAGCTGGTATCTCCATAACTACTGAAGGGAATGGATTGAAACTTCACACACTTGTTCTCTGTGATTATCTAAGATGATTGGCACAAGTCCCATAACTCTTATTTGCTTTTTTACATAATTATGCCCCTTTTTTGACTTAGAAATTCTTGGTTAAGTTTTTGTATGTAAGCTGGTATCTCCATAACTACTTAAGGGAATGGATTGAAACTTCAAACACTTGTTCTCTGTGATTATCTAAGATGATTGGCACAAGTCCCATAACTCTGATTTGCTTTTTTACATTATTATGCCCCATTTTTCGACTTAGAAATTCGTGGTTAAGTTTTTGTATGTAAGCTGGTATCTCCATAACTACTGAAGGGAATGGATTGAAACTTCACACACTTGTTCTCTGTGATTATCTTAGATGATTGGCACAAGTCCCATAACTCTGATTTGCTTTTTTACATAATTATGCCCCTTTTTCGACTTAGAAATTCTTGGTTAAGTTTTTGCGTGTAAGCTGGTATCTCCATAACTACTGAAGGGAATGGATTGAAACTTCACACACTTGGTCTCTGTGATTATCTAACATGATTGGCACAAGTCCCATAACTCTGATTTGCTTTTTTACATAAAAATGCCCCTTTTTCGACTTAGAAATTCATGGTTAAGTTTTTGTATGTAAGCTGGTATCTCCATAACTACTGAAGGGAATGGATTGAAACTTCACACACTTGTTCTCTGTGATTATCTAAGATGATTGGCACAAGTCCCATAACTCTGATTTGCTTTTTTACATAAAAATGCCCCTTTTTCGACTTAGAAATTCGTGGTTAAGTTTTTGTATGTAAGCTGGTATCTCCATAACTACTGAAGGGAATGGATTGAAACTTCACACACTTGTTCTCTGTGATTATCTAAGATGATTGGCACAAGTCCCATAACTCTTATTTGCTTTTTTACATAATTATGCCCCTTGATCGACTTAGAAATTCTTAGTTAAGTTTTTGCGTGTAAGCTGGTATCTCCATAACTACTGAAGGGAATGGATTGAAACTTCACACACTTGGTCTCTGTGATTATCTAAGATGATTGGCACAAGTCCCATAACTCTGATTTGCTTTTTTGCATAATTATGCCCCTTTTTTATCTTAGAAATTCTTGGTTAAGTTTTTGCGTGTAAGCTGGTATCTCCATAACAACTGAAGGGAATGGATTGAAACTCACACACTTGGTCTCTGTGATTATTTAAGATGATTGGCACAAGTCCCATAACTCTGATTTACTTTTTTGCATAATTATTCCCCTTTTTGATTCATAAATTCGTGGTTAAGTTTTTGTGTGTAAGCTGGTATCTCCATAACTACTGAAGGGAATGGATTGAAACTTCACACACTTGTTCTCTGTGATTGTATTGAAACTTGAAGGGTTTGTACCTTTTTGTACAATTTTATGTATTCATATAGGTAAGCATTATTATACTCAATGAAACACCCTTGTGACAAATTTTCGAATAGTCGAGCGTTACTGTCCTCCGACAGTTCTTGTTAAAATGATTACATTTTATTGTAAGAAAATACCTCTCAAAATTGAATAAAATAAGACTACTTATGATGATATACGGGCTTTGAAATTTATCTTATGAAGGATTGGTAGGCTAAGAATACACAGTACACCAGCAATTGGAAAGGAACACAGTTTAATGCTTTTGCACATGTAGATATTATGGTGATTGCTTGAAAAATTGTCAATTTGTTATTTGAAATTACTCAGTTTTTATAAGGTCAATGGACAAAGATAATTATGACTGAGACAGGAAGTTCAAAGATTTTATTTTTAAAATAAACTTTCTATGCACTCCTAACAAAATGAGTGAGAGAATTGTGTTTAGATAGTTTCACATTTGCAGTGTGCTATCAAGTATTCAGTACACACTTGAGCTTACTTTCACAATAGGTTGACTGTACAGTGTTTTGTGTGCTTTATTTCTTTCCAGCAAGAACTGAAAGATCTTAGTTCAGCAAAGGCCCAGGCTGCAACAGAGTTATCTGAGGCTAAGGGGAAAATACATGTATGTTGCACATTTGTTTTACGGCACTTTTTTCTCTATTTACATTTATGTATTTCAGATGTACAGAAATTCGGTATGTGTTTCTTTTAGAGTAAATGAAAAAAAATCAACAACTGTATTCTCGTGTCTTTGCTAGACCTAATCTTGCTGTTTTTCTCCTCTTTATGAATGTACAAAGTTATTTTTCATTTAATTAAGTCTTTAATTTGATTTCTACCCATAAGATAGATAACATTAGAAATGATAATATTTTTTACTTTAAACAAATGAGGAAAATACCAAATACCACTGGAATAGTTAAAAAAAATTATTCTTTTAAAATGTGGTTCATTAATAAAAAAAATATAAGAGACTACAATGACAAAAGATGACAAAAAATGTTTACACTGTATGAATAAATCTAACAAATTTTAAATGCTAAAAACAGAATACCCCTGTAGAAAATAGAAAGTAACTAAAATTGCAGTTTCCTGATATTCATTTGGTTTTCCGTACTTTAAAATTGGTGCTTGGATGTTAAAAAAAACACCAAAACCCCCCCCTAGATGTAGATAACAATGGGAAAATAGATAGTTTAAATTTCTTATGCTAGGTTCATTCATACATTTTCAATAATCCACCCTATTCCATCCATCCCATCCTGTATCGCAGTTAGTAAAAAAGGTGTGAGGATTAGGGAAAAATGCCAGCATATTTTCAAATGTTTTAAAAGTTAATTATAAAAATAAGCTTTTCATTTTGCATGTGCCGATTCTCCGTATTTCCTGCTTTTGTTATCAAGGAAATTAAATGTTGAAATGTGATAGGCTGGTTCACAGATGATGAAATTTCAATAAATATTTTAAATGACATACAAAGAACCAGTCTATATAAATGCATGAGTGATATATATCCCGTATTGCATGAACTGGAAAACTTATTACATACCTTTCATAAAATAATCATTGTCTATCAGTTTATCATTTCTTATATAACAAAATTTCCTTTGGCGAATATTAGCATATATTTTTTTACAAATTTTTATATATCAATGAAGATATGGCTGTATAAAAATTCATAAGATGTAATTGTCCATATCGTAGATTGTAAATTTTAAATACACTGGCTGTGGAAATAAGAAAGTATCATTTTTGGTCAAAAATATTTTTGATGAGTAAAGGAAATGCATGGAAATTACATTAAATATTGTTGCATTGTTTTGTATCCTTTAGAAATGTTATAACATATATATATAAGACAATGTTCAAGAGTGCTTTGTTACAAGGAAATTAAGATATACACATGATAAACTGATTTTACAATGCTGGTAGGAAAATGATTTTATGCATGACCTTGCTATGATTAGAGAGTTGTATATTTGATGTGGTGTGAATTTATACTCAGGATATGAGACAGAGTTATATAGAGGTGCAACATCGAGAGAAGGCAGCACGAGAGGAATGTAAACTTATACAGAAACAGCTACATGATGAGAGAGACAATAGTAGGGTTGCCGTAGAAACCTTAAAACGGGAGTTAAATGAGGCCAAGGTTTGTTATCGTGTTATTGTTATCTGGCTGTGCTTATCAGTATTGATGCTCCCCATATGAAATTTTTGTGGGATTTTCCTATCTGTATTTTTATGCCATGATTTTAACTTTGACGAGGAGGAGTCATGAGGGGGATCAAATGGTATAACTGATATCATTGTATTGCTATGAGAAGCTTGCTTTTTGGTATATTTAGGTTATGGTTGAGGAAAGCTTCCTATAAAATGCATATCAGCATTCTGGAAAAGTTGACAGTTAAAATTGAAATTGTTTTGCTTGTATGAATGATTTAGTTCTTGGATATGATTAAATATGGAAGGTTCTTGAATTTTAAGAAATTTCAAAGTTTGAAAAAAAAATATACCTAAAAAAGCAGTATTTTTGTAAGACTTAATGTTCATGTTTTTTCAGGTGTCCTTTTTTGTCCAGTGACTGATTTTAGGCACTAAAATACAACTTCATTTCTAAAATCAAATTTAAGAAATCAATTCCATTGAATTTATATCCTGTTGTTTATTGTTTTTGTTTTTTTTACCAAAATGTTATCTAATTTATTTTTTTGAATTCAAACATGTTTTAAGTGCCGGGTTATTTCAAGGTTGCGTCTTCATGTTGATTTCTTGATGGAGAAATGGAAGTGCAGGATATGGAAACACTGTCAGTATAGTTTCTCTTATGAAGTATTATTGATTGTATAATTTCAGGTGAGAGAGGCCCATGTTTTACAAGATCTACAGAGAAAATTAAAGAAAGATAAAGCAGAATATGAGGCAGCTATACAAGCTTTGAAGGTAAATAATATCTTTATTTACTTGTCCGTCCATAGGGAGAGCATCGGATTTTTGATCCATGCGGGGCAATGTGTTTATTTTTCACGACAATTGATCTCAGACATTCAAAAACTATGTTGGAATAGTAGTCAGTCTATTGCAGAGAAATTGGTAATTACTGATTAGTTATCCAGTAAAGCTCTTAGGAGGCTGACAGTTGACAAATGACAAAAAAAATGTGTTTCAATCCGCATTAAAATAAAAATCAAACAACTTATCTGTATTCATTGATCTAGTGGTAGTATCAAAAAGTTAGAGAAATCTGCTCATCTATTAAGAATGATGAGTCCTTATATAGTTTCCTGCTAGATTTTAGAAAAATTCTATTATTTAATCTCCAGTAAGTATGTACAGACTGTCCAAAATTCAGGGGCAAACAAGTCCAATATAAAAATCTACTATGGGGTTATGGGTGAATCAAATTTTATATTCCATGATTTATATCATTTAATAGCTGAAACTCATGAACCCTAGGTAAGCAAAGGCCACTAAAGTGGTTTACATAATCAGAACATTTGATTTCCTAAAATGTTTCTGCAAGGTAAAAATCATTGGCAAAAGATTTGTTTAAGCTCTCTAATGATAAATATGTACTCGGCTAAAAATCAGTTTTTATAATGATTAATGTCCTTCAGGTTAATTTTATTATTAACCTTTTCATAACATTATTATTATTATCATTATTATTTGAAATGTTTTATTGTAGATGGAGTTATCTGAGGATAAATCTAGTCTGAAAATTTCGAAGAGGAATGAAGAGAAATATAGAAAAGAGGCAGAGATATTACAACAGGGTATGAATAGGTAAGTCTGACACAATCATGTTAGTGATTCTGTTATATAAGGCGAGAGGAAACTAATTAATTATTAACAACATTGAGAATACTTTAGGTACTAATGTTTCCAAAATGTAAAATGTATATGTTAATTATTTCAGCTTTGTTTTTGAAATCATTAATATTGTATGCATACTCTTACCAAAGCTGGTTGAACACAAGACTATGTTGACACATTATTTTAAGCAACTTCTTGTTATGTTAACTATATCCTCTGTTGTTATATGGATTATTAAATGTTAGATTGTTTATTTAAAGTACTTGTTTGATTGTTTATACAGGCTGGAAGAGGATAATCTGAAGTTATTAAATCGTCTTGATCATACAAAGAAAGAATTTGAAGCTCAGGTAATTTTTGTTGAAGGATGTTTTTATCATATCTTTGTTAGATATCTGAAACAAAAGCAAATGAGCCGTGTTATGACAAAACCAACATAGTGGGTTTGCGACCAGCATGGATCCAGACCAGACTGCGCATCTGCACAGTCTGATCAGGATCCATGCTGTTCGCTTATAAACCCTATTACAAGTACCGAAACTGATAGCGAACAGCATGGATCCTGATCAGACTGCGCAGTCTGGTCTGGATCCATGCTGGTCGCAAACCCACTATGTTGGTTTTGTCATGACACGGCTCAAATATCAGCAGAAGGTTACATGTGTGAGACTTTTTCTATTATTTTGCCTATTTTACTTCTTTTATTAACAACTTATGTTCACGCAATATTGAATCAGCAAATTTCCTCCAACATAGAAGTTTAATAGTGTTTATCAATATACTGTGAAAACTGCTTAGGGTGTCTAATTGTGGTCACTCGTTGGTAAGCTAATGTCTACACTCCTATGAAATTCTTGTTTATTTGCATCACATTGTATTATTATTTATTGATATTTTCAGTCACAAATGAATGAGAATGACATGTCAAGATTTAAGAAACTGGAGGACGAGATCTTCATCTTGAATTCTGAAATGAAAAAATCTGAGAGGAGATATGAGGTGAGATATTGTGTTTGACTGAAACCATTTGAGCCGCGTCACGACAAAACCAACGTAATGCGTGTCCGCGCAGTCTGATCAGGATCCATGCTGTTCGCTTACAAACTCTATTACAAATAGAGAAACTGATAGCGAACTGCTAGATCCTGATCAGACTGCGCGGACGCGCAGGCTGGTCTGGATCCATGCTGGTCGCAAACACAAAAAAAGGCAAAATAAGGACTTCTTTTGTAAACCTCTTATATGAATAAAAATTTCCCTTTGTAACCAGAATCGTATATTTTATGTATAGTTATTAAATGCCATTCTAAAGCCCTTATCTAAATGTATATGAAACTCGGGTCTCTGGTATGTGTTGTATCAGTGAGCTTTTTACTGGTGAAGTACTCAGCTCCCTGATATAAATTTTATATCATTTACTGTATGATACAAATATATATTTCAGAGTCTTGCCCAGGATATGGTGTCAGAAGTTGATGCTTTAATGGATGTAATGTCTACTGGATGTATAGAAAAATTTAAGGTATGAAATAGACATTATGAGTTGCTTTGTTTATAGGCATAGTCAAAAGAGCCTTTTCATACACATTTTTTGATATAAGGTGTTTATTATATAGACATAAAAGTAATTTAATATTCCACTACTAAGACTCTTGAATGTTTAAAAATCATAAAATTTTAGCACCTTAAAAGACTTAAAATGTCATATGTAGAGCAAATATACCATTTTGAAGTAAAGTCCATCTACCATTTTGCAATTGAGACCATTACCATTTTGCAATTAAGACCATTTACCATTTTGCAATTAAGACCATATACCATTTTGCAATTAAGACCATTTTGTAATTAAGGCCATTTATCATTTTGAAATTAAGACCATTTGCAATTGAGACCATTTTGCAATTAAGACCATTTTGCAATTAAGACCATTTACCATTTTAAATTTAAGACCATTTGCAATTAATATCATTTACCATTTTTCAATTAAGACTATTTTGTAATTAAAACTTTAATGTTTTTCATTATTTCAGACAATTAGTGCTGTAAAAGGAGCTCTGAATGGAAACTTGTTGGCAGATTTAAAGGTATGAGTGGACTGTGACCTTTTACTACAAGATATATTGAACTGTGTACAAAATTACATTTTCTTTTATCACTAGTTAAAGTTTGTATAAAGGTCCATGATTACATAAAATGGTTGCTGCAACATGTGATTGTTACCTTCTGCAAATGAATTTGATAAAAACACATACCTTGTACTTATAAGAATTATTTCTAAATTACTTAAGTACTAGTAAATAAATGTTATCTTTATCTGTTGACTTTTTCTTGAATTTAACCTTTGAGTGCTGGTAGCAATATTGACATTTCTTTAAATCCAGGAAAGTCGTCAGGTCTGTGAATTGACTGCAGTCCAACGCAACTCTGTACTGCTATTTTATAAATTTTGCCATTTTGATATAAACATCCCTCCCAATAATAATGAGACAGATCCAAATTCAAGGCAAGTCAATTCCATAACATTAACTCAATATGTTAATTGTTGAAACTGCTTATATAAAGGCTTCATGAATTTTAAAATGTAAAGTCGAGTTAAAGATGTCACCCATATTAGTTATTATTATTGATGTTATTTCATTTTATTTACATTATTTCAGATAAAGATGAAGTGGTTGAGAAACCAAGTTCGAGAAAAGATAAAGTATGAGCAGAAGTTACGCAAAGATATACGTGACGCTCTGACAGCCAATGAAAGTGACAGGAAGTACTTGTTACAGGAACTAGCAAGGCGAGAGGAAGTGTTAGATGAACTTGCCGCAGCCAAGCAAGGTAAACTTTGTCATTGATCGATATAATATTGTAATTACTTGATATAATACCATTGACACTGCACCATAAAATTTGAGGTAATGATTGTGAGTAAACAAGCATTTAACGCTGGTTGTTTTCTCTATTGACACTGCATATTTACACGCATAAGAAGTGCCATTACGTTTATAACATAAAGAAATATTTTGTGCAGAAGGGACATTACATGAAGTGTTGTCAACTTTACAACATACCTTTGATATACGAATAAAATCTTAATTTGATGGTCATACATGGATTTTTCCAAAAAAGACTTGCAGGTGCTATAAGTAAGTAGATAAAGATTACAATTTATAAAACAATTTGGCTGTCGGGGCAAGCTAAATTTTGTTTTGAAGGCTGTATTAAATTGCACTCTCAGAAAATGTTACTTGATACATTTTATGGTATTTATGGTTTAGCTAAATGTTGATGAAAGAAAACATTAATGAGTTTATTACTGTACTATTTCAGAACTTGCCCAAAGAGAGATAGAAAATTTACATTGTGTGGAAGTTTTAGAGGTAAGCGATATATTCTAATATTTTGGCTAGTTTTGTTATTTTAATTAATTATTTAAACCTCTCACATCCTTAATGAACGACAGGGCAAAATATTTGTAAACTGGTACATAAGACAAAAGGAAAATTTGCATTAGCCAAGTGCTTGAAGTGATTGTGTACTTTTGATCAAAACTTGGAACAGAATCGGAAAGAACAAAAAGAAAATTTTCATAATCCAACCATGACATGCTTGAAATGTACTGATTAGTTTAAACATATTTTATATCTCAGAATATATATACATGTTATAATTTACAATATACACAGAGCAATTCAAATATTCTTATAAAACAGGATTAGAATGAAAGACAACGTGTTTTATAAAATTCTTCTTCTGAATGTACTGATTAAATCTTGAAGAAGAAAAAAACACGCAAAGTTTGAATATCATCTGGAATTAACTGAAGAACTGAATTGGGAAAAAAAATGGAACACTCCATCCTGATATATTTTGAATAGTCGCAAAACCACTAAGGGCCAATAGAATATGTATGTCACAAAATTTTACAACAAAATAAGCCAAGTCTAAAATAAATGTGATCCTGTGACCCAGGAAAGGTCATTCCTTGCAAAATTAGATTTCTCAAATTATTACAAAAAAATCTCTTGCCAAAATAAAGCTTTACCTATCTTAAGTTATTTGTCTAAAGTATGATATTTGGAAATATTATTTACAGAAATTAGGTTATTTTGAAAAAGATGAAGATATAAGATTAGGGAACACACAGTCTGATGTCATAAAAGGAGTAAGGAGTGTGTTCTGATAGTAGATCTAGTTTCTTTTCTGTCATTTTTGATGTTTTTAACATAATGTGTTCGATGTTTAATGTGTAAAGTTAAAAAAATGTGTTTAGTTTGAAAAATGTGTAAATGAAATCAATAAGAATTATACATGGTTTCTTAAGTTAAGTTAACTTGTTTATTTTACTTTTGCTTTTTATGATGGGTTTTTTATATAAATAAAAAATTAGGGAGAAATTGTGTATAACACCCACATTGCTTCAATATTGCTGTCTTCTTTTATTTTAATCTGCTGGAACCAACCAAATGTGATTTGCATTTTCACACCAGTATTGAGCCAGGCCAGCCTGCACATTTATGCTGTCTAATCAGGCCTTACACTGTTGACAGCTCATTGTTTGTATTTTGTAAATTAAATCCCTTAAAATTGTCAAATGGACTGCTCCAGATTCTAAGCAGAAGATAATTTCACAAATTCTGCAGGTTAACCCTTTAGGTGCTGGACCCAAAAGCATAAAGCCTTTGCCACCAGTATAGAGCCAGGCCAGCCTGCACATCCGTGCAGTCTGACCAGGCTCTATACTGTTGGCTGACAAATTTTAAATATTCAAATTGATATCCCTAAAATTGATAATGGACAGTCCCAAAAATGGAAGTGGGACAAGTCCATTTAAGATATTCAGCATGTTCAGGGTTAAGGAGTTTCAATAACTAGAACTGAGCAGTTAGTAAATCATAGATCATAGATGTTATCTTGACCTTATATCATGTAGGTGGCAAGTTAAAATTACCAATAAAACAGTGTTCGATTATAGGCATAGATGTGAAATCTGAATATAGAGTTAAAAAAAACTTCTGAAGCCATGTAGCTTAGTAGAATTTTAATTATGTCATAGATTATATATATTTGTTTGTTTTGCTGCCGTGTATTTGTTTATCGAAAGGTTTTTTTTATGTTAGTTAGCAACAGTTTTTTATTATCATCATAATTTTTCCCAATACATATATACATATCAAGTTGTTATACAGATGAAGTATATACCAAATTAAGAAGTGGTGTGCATTAATTACAAATTTTATATCTAGAAGAATGATCATGGATGGTGTTTTATAACTCACTTTAGGGGTCTGCTAAACATTGCTGTAAATCCTGCCATGAATTTAGGATTATTTCATGTGAGGAAGTTGTTCCGCTAGCTTATGGAAGGTCATTGATTGAAGTAAGGGGTTTCTTTGGTTTTCTTTCACCAATAAAGCTGGACTGTCACCATATAGTATTTTATTCTTATTTTTTTCAAGGACCATATTTTGGACCTGACTGACGAGCTAGAGGTTAGAAAGATTCGAGAATCTGAGGCCATAAAACACCACGAGTTTGAAAAACATCAAATAATTACAGATATAGAGGGCATGAGGGTAAGATATTGGTTTTATTATGTTTTGATTTTAGCATGACAGTTTTTTAAAGGTTTCTATAATTATAATAATTGTAACTTTTTTTATGTTTCCTATACAAGTTGGAGAGATGTATCTTTCCAGAATTGATTCATATTTTGGGTTATCTTGACAATGTAGTTAAAGGTATATTTTTACTTTCTAATATGGATCTGTCTTTTATTAATGTAAATATGTTTTGATACAATAAGTTAAAATTTAAGACTGAAAACAAAATCAAATCTTATCTTTGCATCAATAATGACTTGTATGTGCCAACCTGTATGTCTGTGCAATATCTATCACCCCTTTATACTGCACTTTGCCTAATTTTAGCATTTAGTTATCTTAACCCCTTACAAATAAATGGATTGTTCCAAAATCAGTGCAGGACAAGTCCATTTTGCAAACTCGGCAGGATAATGGGTTAATCAGATGTATTTTTTGTGAACATGATAGGATAAAGAGAAGGCCAGGATAGAGGAGAGATATGTGAGGTTACAACAGACTATGAGGGCGTTACAGGATGAAATTAAAGTGGCCAACTTAAATCATCAACAGGTATAGTGTTCTGTCTTTATAACCTGTCCCATAATATCGCTCCAATTTATGTGGGGGGCATATAGATTTGCCCTTGTCTTTCTGCCATGCTATCCATATGTAGACCGATAAAGCAGTGGAATTTGGGGGCACCTGTGTCCTATGGACACATTTCTAGTAGAAATTACTCTGTTCAGATCCACACATTTGCATGTAATAATACTTTAAGTCTCCTTTCGCTAGTATAGCTTGGAAGTAGCCATGTGTTAGCTTAACAGTTCCTATGCCTTAAAACGTATCTCCTGAAAGAATAAAGAATAACGTTCTTTTAATATAAACCCATACACATGCGTTTACTGACTCACAGTTGCAGTGCAATATTTTAACTTTATACTTTATCAGGTAAATCTAAAGTATTACAGAACCCAAAGGTTAAATTATAAGATTATTGGAATCAGTTTCAAATACTGGGAGAAGAGTGAAGTGTTGTTCTAAGGAATGTGAGAATATAAAAAATAACTTAGTTGATTTACATGCATTAGTTTAACTTTGTAGAATAATCATGCCATTTTAAGCCCAAAAAAAGGATAATTATGTGATATTAACTATATTTTGTAGGTTATTGAATTAGAGAAGAATATTGAGAATGTAAGGAAGTCACCTGGACGGAGGAAGGTAAATAACAACAGAGTGCGTATTAGTACACCGTCAAAAAGTCCACATAGGAGACCGCAGACCCCGCCTTGTAGACTTCCAAAAGGTCATGACGATTCCATGGCACCGATGGAAATGAGTGACGAACAATTTTCTCGTAAATTTGCGCGTAGAAAATCAATTGAGGACGGAGCATTGTGATAAGATGCTCAAAAAAAGTTTCGTTATTTCTTGTCGGCATCGTGAAAACTTTCAGGAATGAAAACTAAAACAAAACAATATGTGGAAATGCTGTGATGAAGAAAGTGTTGAAGTGTGTAGTTGATAAAAAAACAAATTAGACATGTTAGATGTATCTTAACTGACCTATTTGATCATAGTTGTTTGTGCTATAACACTGTTTAAGTATTTTGTTATGTTTATATTTTGTGTGAGGTACCTGATTGTGATTAACCATTTAACCTTCAAAATTTGTACAATGGGCTTGCCTAATCTTTTATTTTGTGGGAGTCCATTGTTAGTTTAGGGTATTTCAGTATCAACAAAAAAATGTAATTGATCAAGCAAGAGTCTAGGTTATGGTCAGATTGCTTGGACGTTCAGGCCGACCATACTCTATACCTGTAACTGATTTATACTGATGACATAGCCTGCTAATATAGTTGCTAGCATTCAAGACTTGTGTACTATATTGGAAGAAAAATTAAGTTTATTTCAATGTATTTGGTTTTCACATTCCTTTTTTTTTATACTTTTCCATTCTTTTTTTTCTTCCTTAGTCTATATCTTACGTATATTCTTTTTTGTTTAGGGTTTTAAGGTGAATTATAAACTATTTATTAGGGATATAATATATTACATGATTTTAGTGTTTATTTTACAAACTTTTACATTTCCGACCAGTTTTACAAAATTTTACAAAAATCTTTTTTACTGATTTATTTTAGAATATTTTATCATACCGTCCTTGACTTTTATAAGTGTCCTTTTTTATCTTAATAATTTATTTATTTATTTATTATAAACTATTAAGTAAATACAGAAATTTATTTTTACAAATGTTTTGTCCACATTGGACATCGTACATTCTGTATGCTGTTGATTCCATTGTGAAGTCCAATATTATCTTTATACATTCATGATTATTCTTGTCTCCTGTATGTTGTACAACCATCCATATCTGTCCTAATATTTTTTTTAATTTTTTTACCACGTAAACAGTTTATACCATGTGATAGTTTGTTGTATGACATACCTTTGTATCAAATGGGATACTCTTTATTACCACAGTTACTTTTAAAGGTTATAACTATCACATGGAAGATACATTATTGACCACTTTTTGCCACATACCACAGTTTCAACCAAATGGTATTTTCTGCTTTACCACAGTTTCCTCCAAATGGTATTTTCTGCTTTACCACAGTTTCTACCAAATGGTATTTTCTGTTTTACCACAGTTTCTACCAAATAGTACTTTCTGTACAACAGTTTCTACCAAATGGAATTTTTGGCTTTACCACAGTTTCTAAAAAATGGTATTTACTACTTTACCACAGTTTCTACTGAATGGTATTTTTGGCTGTACAAAGCTTCTAACAGATTGTGTTTTCTCTTTTACATCTGTTTCTACTACCCAGGTACTCTGCTTAACCACAATTTCTGTCCTACTTTTAAGTTTTTATAGATTGTTGTTGTTGTTTTATCTGTGATATTATGATACTGTTACATTGACAGTATTATTTTGGTTTTTTTTTTATGTTCAATTGATAATCATGTACTGATTTAGTTGATCTGATGCATTTTATTAAACTGCACATTTTGATGTATAGTTATATCATTAGCATAAATTAGATTTGTTCTATATTTAGATGAACAGCTTCGTCTCTTGAGGTTTATGATATTCAAGGGTTCAATTCTACTTTGGTAGTTTAATGTTAAGTTACAAAGTTTTACCGGAAGTTGTCCATCACTGCTATGGGCTTACATCCTGTTGCAGGAAACTTTAAGTTTTTAATATTTCATGAGGGGAAACTATCCAGCTACTGTTCAGAATAAGCTTTTACGACTAATGTTTAACGATTATGCATTTAAAAGGATTTTGTGGGGAGGGGACAGCTATATCATCACCTTAGTGCAGTAATGGGTTAACTCCTTATATAATGTAATAGGACTTAACCCATTACTGCACTGAAGGGATGATATATAGAATTTCTTTGTTTATATGAATCATTAGTAATTAATTCATGTTTTCTACCCATACATTTTGAATGTGGAGGAGAATGGTTCCCAGCCTGCCAATATGTAATAATGTACATTTTAAATATGATCTTTTACTATGTAGTTTCAATGTTTTAGATATGTTTTTTGTGCTCCATTTATGTAAGACATTGTTTTTTCCTATAAAAAATGATTATTAACTATTTTCAAACTTTTTTTAAGTAGATGAAAAAATAATACTTAAGCTCTTAAATTGGATTATTGGTATTACCATAAAATAAAATGTTTGATTATTGTTAGCTGTAGAGGTTTCTTTATTGTTGTAGTTTTTTTTCTTTTAATTATTTTGTTCTTTATAGGTTAAAAATTAAAATTAAAAAATAAATGTACAATAATACATAAAAATATAAATTGGTAAATAAATTTCATAGCATAAACAAATTATTTTCAAAAGTTTTCTTGAGATTAACCGTGCGACTGATGATAGCTACAGAAACCACCCAAGCTAGTGAAGCTACCAGTGCAAACCGGGACATCTGGCACATATGTACTGCCTAGTCATGGTCTGCACTGTTTGCTGTTTAGTCAGTACTTATTTTGAAGTTTTCGCTAAAATAATGATGTGGTTCAGATTGAAAGATGCAGAAATCCATGCTTACTGTCAGTATTTGGATAAAACGGTCAAGGGCCATAACTCAAATGTGTATTTCGTTTATCGTGTGTCTTAACTATCATTGCATTCATGATAAACAATTATCATGTACTGTTTGAATGAGGGTAGTATGACTGAACTATAATAATTATATCCAACATTAGTTTGTTAGAGCATTATTTATTTAGCGTAAAAAAGTAGATGTAAAAAAGGGTCTGAAAAATAATTTATTGTTTTGAAGAAGTGATTTTTCAATTTTCTTACATATCAATCTCATTCTTAATTAGTGTTTTGTCTCTTTATATCATTTACTGTTATCTGTGATATATTTTTGAGTTACTGAAAATGTGTACAAATTTATATACTGATAAAAAGAGGGATCTTTGCTGAAATGCTTCCCAATTTTTGTATACCTTAATAAGGTTTAATAACTTAACAAATGCCACCAAATATTTTTTGGTCTGAATCAGTTAATGAAGGATTTAACACTTTTCGTTACGCCTTGTCTCTTTGATATTTGTGTTTAGAAACTTACCAGATTCCGACTTCAACACTAAAAATAATGTAAATAGTGTGGTGTAATTCAGCATTAATCTAGTATTAAGTTAATCTTTCACACTTAAGAGAGAAATGTATGGACTTTCAGACTTTTTGATAAATGATTCTTAATTTGATACATGTATATAACATAAAGCATGTTCAAAGGTCACCCACATGTACAAGTTTCTATAAACCCTGTATTACATTGTATAAGCATTTAAGAAAATGTTTTGTTACGAACTTACGAATAGAGCAGATAAAAAAGTGTCTTTTTGAATCACTTAGATTTCATAACAATAAAAACTGATTAAATGATGTAATGTACAGAATGAATGCCCATGTATTTTGAGTGGCTCTCTTAATTTCATGAATGTTATGAATCAACACTGAACCATTTTATCTTCGAGAATAAAAGATAATTATTTTGTGTTTGTAGAAGTTGTTTCACTGTAAAAAGATAACGATGAGCACATATGTACACTTATTTATATCTCAACTTTTTTGGATAGATGTCTAGAAGTTTTACACAGTATTTATATACATGTATTTTTTATATGTAACAATGATAATTGTCGCTAGAATCATTTAAATAAACTGTCTTTATATTTACTATAACTGTCTTTGTTGTGTTTATTTTCAGTGCCAACTCATGCCCTGTATATGTACATATGGAACACTTAATATTTCAATACTCCTTCATTCAAGGAATGGATCTATATATACACTAACTTGCATTTTCATCCAGAGCAGTTGAATTGTTGCATTAAGATATAATCTTTAATACAGTTCGGAATTGGAATGGCATTGATTACTGTAAACAGTCTTTTACCTTGATAAGTCTCGCGTATATTGAGACGGGTTATGTCTTTCAAACAGCGCGGACTATTTAAGTTTATGTCAAAAACGGTTTTATATCCGGGGATTTCGAGCTCTATTTCATCTATGTCCGTTTGTGAAACAGGAAACCCGTATTTGTACAACCATGGTAAAAGACACATTTCTTTTGCAATGGTGTATTTTTCAGAAGTCCTTTGAGCCTCGTAATGAGTTTCGACATCGTCTGGTGAAGTTTTATCGAATACATCGTGGCATTTTCTTTTATCATATTCTATCGCTTTCTTTATAACGTCTGTATTCGATATAATACATGGATTCTGAGATAACAATAATTTCAAAATTTTCACAACTTCTGGCATACGAGACCTGTAATATATGGCTTTAGAAATAAAACTTAATAACGCAGTTATTCCATAGTGGTCTGTACTGTCAACATCTCCACCTTGAGAAATGATTGTATCAAACACCTCAAACGACGACATATTCAAAACAGCCTCGTGCAGAACAGATTTCCCTCGTGAATTACGTGCACGGATGTCCCGCCCATTTTCGCAAAGACGCTTTATAGTTCTTTCAAGTACACCGTTCATTGCCAAAATCTCATGTAATTTTCCAATGTTAAGTAAAGCAGCAAATACGTCAGATTGGTTTACGTCACGCATGTCTGTTTTATCCACTTCATATACTTTTAGCAATTCTTTTGTGCATTCATCAAACTTTAAAGCATCTGCAAGGTCAATAACGTTGCAGTTGTGACCTAGGACAGGTACAGTGTTAACTCCATATATGTCACCCAAATTCCGCCGAAACTCCCCAAACTTTATTATCAATTTCGGTTTATGATATAGAACACAGAAAATAGGTATATGAAATACCCATCTATATTTTAAAATACTCTTTGAATTTCGCTTTGCTGTAATATCTTCTGCTAGCGTTCCAAGTAAAATATCAAAAACATTGTCGTCTGCCACAGCAATGACGTCAACACAAGCGTTTACACTCACAGCCATTTTTGTCCACAGTAGCCTGAAAATGTATAAAGAAAATGATCGAATTTGTTAACGAAAACATTTAAATCAATGTGAATATTTGTACACGTCGTAAATCTGTTTATTTATTAATTGATTTCAAATCACACTACGAAGTAGATCTAGATCTACTTGCTTCAGATTCCATGCCCAAAGTGTTATATACCACATATGTATTGATTAAATTGTTGGATCGATCTTATTCATATGTAACTCATACATTATAATATATAATACAGAGTAACATATATGTACACGACTGTATATATGTGTTCGATACGTAAATAATAACCGCAGTTCAAGCGTGACATCAGAAAGACATGTATACGCGTATATATATATGTAATTCAACAATTTCAGTAATATTTCCTTTAACGAATATCCCACCTGTTAATTATCCCACCAGAAAAACATCTGACCCGATATTGAATCGATGGTATTTACTATTGGAAATATCTACAAATAATATCGATTTTACACATATGTATATATATCAACAGTAATCTTATTATAAAAAGCATACTTATAAGCGTTTTAAAGTTTAAGCTTAATTTATCGCTTTCTAAACTGAAATAACGTTCAGATTTACATAATAAATATACAACAAATATTTTGAAAAGTCACGTGCTTACATGTCGCTGTCTTTGACGATTTTATATTATTGTACTTTTCTCATCGTTTAAAAATTATCAAACCAGGTACGTATATTAACTGCTTTTTAGTGGGTGTGGCTAGATTGTAATTACTATATCCAGTTGTTTTTATTTTAAAACATATTCTCTTTGTTGCTTTTTATACAATTATATTGAGTAAACTGTTTCACCACTACATATGTCAGTATCTTTTCATGTTCTCTTAAATGAACGTACATGTTTTCGAGAGAATAGACATAAAGGTATTAGAAATGGTAGTATCAGGTACCTGGTAGTAAAAAAAGAAATAAAAATGAAAACACATAAGTTTTGCCTTTTATTTTATAACTTGATTTAAATAAAACTTCAATAGCATCGCACTGGCTATAAAATGACTGTTTATGATGTTTTCATTTAGTGTCACTTTATTCCCGATATTTATTTGACACTTCTGGGACTCTCCTGGCACAAGCTGCAAATCTGAACTTTTGGGCTGTATCAGCATTCAGTGAAATTGTCGTGCTGATCTACCACTTGAAACCCTTGAAACACATTTGTTACGATCTGAAATAGATGAAATGACATTTAATATAAATATTTTGTTTTATCAACACAGAATAACCATGTACTAATGTTAATATACGTACCTGGAATAACTAACAAAAAAGAAGTTGAATATAACTTCTGAGTAAATGAAAAAAAAATGGGGGAAAATTCATCCATTTTCAAAAAGACATAGCATCAAAATTACTCGGCTGAAAATTATAAATAATATCATAAACCATTTACTATGATGTAGTACCAAACTTTTCAGCTTTCATTTATATTTTAAAGGTCTTTAAATACCTCTGATGCTTCGGCTAAAATAGGTCGTGAATTTAATTTTGCACCACAAAAATTTAACATTTTCCTTCAAATTCCACGCCACAAAACAATAGAACAGATGATAAGGGAGTGTTAAAAGTACTTTCACGACATACTTGAATTTATTTTAAACCGATTTGTGCAAGTTTAGTCAGTTTTCTTCGAGTGGTTTAAACCTGATGTCTCAGCAGATTTTATACGTGTTCACTCGTTTCAAACAAACTTTCCGCCATTTTGTAAATCTCATTCATCCAGAGCCAATTTACGCCATTGAAAGCGTGATCTAGTAAAAATTTACATACATAACAAAGAAATAAGACTAACCTGCCATTATTTCTTGAGTATTTTGTGCAGATGCCCATAAATTAGCGCTTAATTAACATATTTTTTCATGAACTGAAATTGTTGCCTTCCGCCATCGATTAATGTTTTTCGTAGCATGTGCGCATGCGCGTAAATGGCACGACACCAATCACGGTCTAAAATCTAGTTGCGGATACCGTTAATATACGTACCTGATCAAACTTATTACCGTTTGCGCTCGAACATGTGGTTAACATAAATGATACAATAAAAAATGCTGGTTTTTTTTTTTTTGGGGGGGGGGGGATAATTTCAGGGTCCATTTACATTACATTAGGTATAATCTACGCAAATATTCTGAATAAGTACACATGTATGTTAGTTTGTTAGATTACTTAAAATTGACATAGTAATATACATCACACACATATTCGAGACATTATAATAACCTTCATTAATGTACATGTATTTAGGTTTTCTGGACCATCCCTCTTCCAAGATATGGTTTTTATTTGTTTGGGTCGTCAGACCAAACAAATAATGGTAGCGAAATTTCAGAGTCTAATGTTCTTAATTGCAAATGCCGAAAGTAGTCCACTTTTTTTAAGCGGTTACTTCCCTTTTGTATGTACACTAAAGCCGAAAAATTCAGGGGAGATCACTGCGTAAAGATGGTCAAAGACAGGCGCATCAATTTTCAAGCAAAGTAATTCCCGAATGGTCGAAGATTTCTAATATTGTTTTCTGGTATTTTCTGATCGAAAATAACTAAATACAAAGCGGACATTCAATCTCTGACACAGAAGTTTATGACAAACCTAACAACAAGTAGTTCTCAAAACAGCTTAAAACTAGCGTTTTAAAAGAAAGAAATATTTTATTTTGTTACAAGTATCCAACAAATTACAACGCATTTAAAGTTAAACAATAGCGTTGGCTTATAGAATTGTCAATAAATGCACAATCACAAATTACGCGGATGAATATGATTTTATCAATGAAAATACTATTTTTAGCCATGTAGATTACCGAATACTACACAAACCGAGTAGTGGAATATATAGATTCTACATGTCGGACTGTTTGGGCGAGAGGATTTTCGCTAAAATATTTACTTCAATTTTAAACAACAGGTTTACCCTGAACAAAATACCTCGAAATTAATAAGGATTACAAACCTGAATGCAATGGAAGTTCTAAATTTAGAATGACTTGATATTATTCAGACAAATTGTGTATAACTTCTCCGTGGTACAGTGGTAACGCGCTCGCTTAGTGAGTGAGAGGTCTCGAGTTCGAATCCCAGTCGAGGAATTTTTTTTTTTGTTAAATTCTTTTTTTAATTGTTTTTTTCTTAAGGAAGTAGCCATGATTTACAAGGATAAAGTGTGGCTGTCGTAAAAAAAGTACATAAATGATTTTTTGATGCAACTCTAGTTATGCAGAATTCCGTATGTGCCTTACAAAATGAATTATAATACATAAAAATAAACTTATACAGGAAAATGCATACAGATATACAGTACGATTTAGATTGCAAAGATCAGAAAATACCAAAGAACTTGAAGCCCTTTGATTCTTTATAAATATACATGCTTATAGTAAGCTTCAGGATTATTTACATCTGTGTTAAACAACAGTTAAAAGTCGTTACAAGCCCTAATTTAGAATAATATGGTTTTCTTCAGGCCGTTTACATATAAATTGAACCGTGGCTGAAGGGTTTTCGGGCTCGCTTAGGAAGCGAGAGGTCTGGAGTTCAAATCCCAGTAAAGGTAACTCATTTTTTTTAAACTGTTAAAGTCAAATAAACATTGGATTGAATATCAGTGTTGCAATTAGTCTTATAGCCAATTTACTACAATTAAAACGCTGGAAAGCATTGGTGGCACTAAACATATAATCTCACAACCTGCACCTTTCTTACATTCTGAGACCCAAACAAATTCAGCGCCTTCTGTGCTTTGATTTTTTTTAGTCTTAAAAGCTGCAAGAACTCGTGGGAAACACGACGGCAATATATGGATGTCCCTGTCTGGCATTATTGAACAGTGCGAGTTCAATCCCCCGCTATGATTGCCTAGGAAACTATATACATATTTAATCTAAACTATTGACCTCAGTTCGTCACGGATCGAGATTCATTCGGAGATGTCCGTGATTTGAAAACCATCTTGTACGGAAATACCCGATATTTATCGGTGTTTAACGAAAAGACAAATAAGGAAGTCAAGGGAGGTAACCGCTTTGTTATGTAAACACATACATGTGCGCTTTCATAACAGTTTCACTTCGGCGTTACGTAAATTGTCAATTTTAACAAGTTTCTTTGCTGTTTATCTAAACAGATTGGGTTAATAAAGATTAAAGCAAGCAGAATGCACGCATTCAGCACAACTCTGTGCATTTTCTTTGTTTTTATTAATCATAACAACGGAATATTTGTGAAAGAGAACTGGCTGGATGGCATAAAGACCAATCAAAAAAATTATGGAGTAGCAGTCTCGGATGTAAATCATGACGGTAACCCGGATTTTATTGTCGCCGGATACGATGGAGCTAATTTTGTTTTCACCTACGATAAAACAACGGGAACTGTGACGAACATTGCACAAGACAACACCCCATTCGCCAGACTGAGGGATGTTCCGGGCGCTGCAATTGGTAAGTTTGTTTTTCTATATCGTAATATATAGAAAGCAATTTAAGGATGACGCTTAAAAATATTCACTTATTCACCATTTTTTGCTTTCAAATTTCATGATATCAGTCAGATACAGTTCAACACCTCATGCAAAAGTTTGATGGTGTATGCACTATTCACTGTTGTCATGCAATTATATATTTGTAACTTATTAAATTGAATTACTGTCATAACAGTTTCCACGTAATGATGGACAAACAACCTCTGAAAAGAAGATGCAAATTACGTGTTAGTGTGTTATAAACCTGCTTTTAAACTATAAAAGATGCCCTTACATATGTACAGGTCGGTTTGAATATTCTGAATAAAGTTAAAGCCAAAAAGTGATAGTTTGGCATCCACTTCAGCGTTGAAATACTTATAAATATTGAATGATTTCAAATATCTCCCAATATTCAGATAAGATACTTAATTTAGGCATTTTTAGTCATCTTCAAATGTTAGACATGTTAATCAATTCGGAATAAAACAGATCTAAGTTCTAACAGTTATATATATTTTCGTCTTTACGAAAATTTCATTGAGCTTTTTATCATTTATTCCGGAAGATTAACGTAGTCAGTTTACATTGAAATAATTTTATCATTATTTATGCAGTATTCTACACCATATTCTTACTTGAATATTTTCTTATGCAATTTATTTTTGTTATTTTCTAGGAGTTGCCGCCTGTGACATTGACGGTGATGGCAAAGAAGAAATTTACTTTCTCAACACCAACCAGGCGTATGCTGGACGAGCTGCATACGGCGACAAGATCTTCAAGTGGCGTGACAATCGTTACGTCGACTTGTACTCCGACACGGTCAATTACAATATGCCAGCCAAAGGTTTCGCTGGTAGATCAGTGGCTTGTGTAGATAGACGAGGGTCGGGAAAGTATTCCTTTGTGCTGGCAACATACTCAGCTTACGGAGAAGGTGAATAAAAAGTTTATACAATTTTATTGAAGTACATATCTTCATTGGGGTGAAAAGGTCTTGTGTTCATGTTCCAGCAATTCCATTAGAAATACAGTCAAACCCGTGAATTAATGCCATCAAAGGGAGAGACTGAACATGTCCTTATAGACAAGTGATCGTTTTTTGGACATTACTCTGTGGTATTCAATAAACGAAGGTTTGTCGAAGAGTAGACTTTATTTTAAGGATGGTTTCTATTAGGAGGTGGCCGTAATACAGGTTTGACTGAACCATGTTTTAAACTTTATTGCATTGGTTTTATTAGTTTATATTCTTTGCATATTGACAGCAAATGTCTAACAAAATTATAATGTGAATGAAGAATGACTGCGTCCTGTCGTAGGAATTTCAGACTAAAACTATTTTATGCTTCAAAAACATTTTGTTCCACTGAATATAGAAAATATGGATAAAGTTATTTAATTACTACATATATTACTTGTATATTGTAGGCCAGTTTGCATTGATAGAGATGGACGAAAGTCATCCGGAAAATGATATAAATACGGGAAGGATTGTTCTAAAGAATGTGGGAGGTCCAGCTGGAATTGCTAGAAGCACAGGTAACCATACCTATATTTCAATTGATTTTGTTCTTAACATATTAACCCTTATATTTTCCGTGCAAGACATAGAAAGTCTGATTACCCGAAAGTTTTTATCAGCTGATAGTTATTCTTTGCCTTTTTTCATACATTGCTAGCATAAACTAGACAGACCAGAAATTTTCGCCACTTGGTCTGCTTTTGATAACTGTATTTTTGTTATGTAATTATAATTAGAACAAAAAATTTAAAAAATGTATTATTTATATAACGATGCTCGACGTATTAAGTTCTTTTGAGTGAATGAATGCAAAACTATATTACTCAAAAACCTTGGGCATGACAATTTTATTGTAAACGTTAATTTTGTTTGAGGTGCATTTATTTGAAATTTCTATATTTACAGGGGGTCGTGGAATCGTTGTGGGTCCCATCCTCGGAAATAACGGACGCTCAGATATATTCTTCGGTAATGAAGGGAATTCTGGTCTTCGAAATGCTGGCGCCAACTATTTATTCATGAATAAAGGGGACGGTACTTTCACAGACATTGCTGGAGCCGCTGGAATTGCCGACGCCGACGAAAATGTGCGTGGTATCGCGCTGGCAGATTTTAACAGAGATGGTAAAATAGATATTGCATACGGAAATTGGAACGGACCGCACCGTCTGTTTTTACAGAAGAGAAATAAAGACAGTGTGACATTTACGAACTTTGCCAGTTCAAATGCTAACTATAGCATGCCGTCTTTAATAAGAACTGTAATAGCAGCTGACTTTGATAATGATGGAGTAATGGAAGTGTTACATAACAATATTTACAGCAGAGGTCGCTTACAACCAAATAAATTATTTAAAATAGTACCTGATGGCAAGGGTGTTAAAATACAAGATTTAGATATTGGTGATGCCCTTGAAGAAAATGGATATGGTACGGGTGGCGCAGTTACTGATTTCAACGGGGATGGTAAATTAGAAGTTATGCTGTCTCACGGTGAAGGAAATTCTCAGCCGTTGTCAATTTTCACAGTCAGCACGGGAGCTGGTAATAACTGGATCCGAATCCAACCTAGGACGAAATTTGGAGCCCCAGCTCGTGGATCTGCTGTCAAAGTTACAACGCAGTCGGGAACCATCCATTTACACGTTATAGACGGTGGCTCGGGATATTTATGTGAAATGGAACCTTACGCTCACATAGGTCTTGGTAAAGAGATCCCGAAAGAACTTTCCATTCAATGGCCAGATGGGACGACTATCAGTAAAGCTTTGACAAGTGCTGACTTGAACAAAGTTCATATTGTAGATTATAAAAGCAAGGTAAGTTTTGGTCAAACTTATAGTATAATATCAAACAATCATTGCAATATGTTGTCTGTTGGTCAAAAGATCAAACAAAATTCATGAATAACATGTTGCTTTAGAAAAAGGTAAACATATGTGAGGGAAAAAGTTCAACTGTTGTTTGGTAACACATGTTCGCAGGTACACGTTTTGTATTCTTTTTTCTATTTTACAGTACCCTTAGGGTTTTGGTGTAGACTTTGATATATTTTGAAGTGAAAGCTTTTGGCATGATATCAGAGGCATTACTATGTTCTAGATATTACCTGTGTGTAATATGCGTAAGAACAGAAAACAACATTTAATTATTAATTCTATGTTAAAACATTTCAGGCGCCAAACGACAAAGTCAGCGATAAAAGCAATCAGTCTGGTCCAAAAGTTTGTCCGGTAAGTTTCTGGATGCTGGTAGATGCTATACGCCGTGGTGTGTTCCGCATGTGTTTTGTATGATGACAGAAACCCAAGAAATGTCTAAATGCTGATGCAATTTTCACAATAGTATTAACTTTCTAGTCAATATTAATACCGGTGGAAGTAAATATGTTTGATGCATGTTTGAATATGTTTTCGTAATGACTTAAAAAGGAAATTTTAAAGCATGAACTGTATGACGCAATGGTGTTGGGTTGTCGAATATTTTATTTTCATATCCGTCCTCCAAGTTTATTTTTGTTATACAAATAAATAAAAAGTATTAATTCCTATCTTATTGTGTGTTTCAGTTATATTAATACAATATGCAAATATATAAATACAATATGATATGCATATAGTTTTATATGTTTTAAAAGGATGTGGAAATTGTATCTTGTAATGTTTTGAACTCTAACATCAGAGAGTGATGTCAGCGGTATCTTTACAAATTAAGTAGAATCGAAGAACGTTCATTATTTTATTTTTTGAATGTGTATAATTGTTCAACTGTCAATCCGTAATGATTATGTGAAAGTTATATGATATGGTACAAAAACAAACACACAAACAAAAACAGCATGAAGCTTTTCATTTCTACGTATTAAATGTATTATTCACTGATAAAACAATGTTTTGTAACCCTGCATAGCCATGTGTAAGCTTAGAATGTAATATGGGCGGTTAATGTAATTTCGCACATTCTGTTTGTTCAAAATGCATTTGATGTTTTATGCGTTCTCTCATACTCTAGAATGCTCTCATCAATTTGGAACGCATTATGTTTACAACATTTATATAGACATTTAGCATATCACAACAAGTCGGACTATATTGCCAATCAAATCAATCGGAAGGACTTCGGTAGTATTTATGCTGGATGTATTTTTGATGTTAAACTTTGAAAAATTCTGAAACGAAATTTAACAGACCTCGCTTCGGCTACAAAATTTTATAGATGTAAAACCGCCCAGTGTTTTTGTATTTAAAATGTGCATGTATTGTACATGTACGTTTATTATGGAAATCAGAAAATACATGAATAGCACGTTTTATTCATTTCAATTTTAGATTGGTACCTGTGATGACAAATCCGTTGAAAAGATGTTAAAATATGCCGAAGAAACGGGATCGGCACAGCATTTAGCCCCATCTTGCTTCTTGTTTGTTCTGCACATTGTCTGCTTGTGTTGGCTGTTTTGATTGGATTATTGGGATATAGACATTTTGTTTACATTTGACAAAACATTATGTTTAGCTGTACTAAAATGAAAATGCATGACTCTGTGATTGGGAAAGTTGGTATGTCGGAGGGACAATATTATTCCGCATGACGCCTTAGCGATGTAGCATACCACATAACTAATATTGTGGAAAATAGCAAGTGATGTTTGTCAACAAGGACAATAAAAGCATGTGTCTGAGAAAGACCAACAAAGCATGATAAAAACGAAACGCTGCTAGATAAAATTGCTAATGAAATTTGAAATTGTGAGGAAAAGCGCATGGTGTAGATACGGGAATGTATTGATATAGGGAATGCATTGATATTCTCGTACATGAGTAACAAGAAATGTATCAGTTAAAATGCCAAAGTAATGTGTATATATATAGCAGAAGGTTCATTATATAGTGTATGGCACTGAAATGTGGGGTTGATAAATTTCTTTGTTAATATGCAAACTTATTACTAAATTGTAAGCTGGTTTTACAGTTTTGCCATTATTTATTGAATTCCTATTACAAGGACTATTGTATCTATAAATGTTTTTGTACATTGTGTTTTATTTGCACATTATTGTTGTTATTTATTAATAAAATATAAAAGAAATTTCTGTCTCCTGATAATAGTATTCAGATCATAATTTTTATTCAAATTAAAAACTACCACTTTTACTTATAACAACAATCGTGTTGTTTCAGGTTGGAAAGTGGAAGGCAACACCCTGTAAGTATTTAGCTTATACTGAATTTCTTTAAGAATATGTAAGAAGCTAGAAGCTTATACATACTCTCGAATCTGTCCCTGGAACCAACCAGTACTGAGCAATGAATGTTAGGCTTTTACTCAAGGAAACAACGGCTTACCTCTAAAGGGGTTTGAACCCACGCGGCTAGCGATCTTGAAAGTGTTAACCAATCGGACTTGTCTCCACTTTTTTTAATCGGACTTGTCTCCACTTCTTTACAAGTATATTTAAGGAATTATATTCAACCTATAAATTAACATGCAACTACACTTAATTGAGATAAGTGACATGTACAAAATGTACATGTACAATATCGATGTTTGGCCAGAACATAACGATAAACTCTACAGTTTGAGGAACTTTGAGAATCTGAACGCTGAATGTTGAAAAGGCTGATATGCATCAATCCGCAATGATTATGCCGATACTATTCTTGCCTGTTTAAGTTGTATATTAAAACATTAGATATCCAACTTCGGTTCGTATATAGCTCGAAACAAGAGAAAGCAGGAATTAGAATTCTTTATGCTATTTTGTAGATCGTGATTTTCCTGTCCTGTGTGAAGGTGACAGGGTGACGCGTGGTCCTGGTTGGACTTGGAGAAATGAGGTAAAATAAAATATAAATCATATACTTCATTTTAACTCACAAATCAAATTGATACATTATTATTCTTGAGGTTAAGGACAACTGTTTAAAAAAACTACACAGCCACAAATATTTGTTTTTTACTTTTCTCTCCCCCACCCCTTATGAGGGACAGGGGGTTCTTTAAAGTTATATAACTGATGTCCAAGTAATGTCCCTTTCACTGAACATTTTTCAGTATATACATGTACAAACTGTTAATGTCTAAAATAATTTTTTCAAAGTTTGTAACAAATAATTTACAACAGACTTTAAACGAAGCGCTGTGGAAATAAGAACAGTTTAATATTTGTAAAATAAGTTGTGAAAAAAAGAAAGAAGTTCAAATACGATTTTAAGAAGCCCGTTTGCAACGATTCTGTTCAGAAATCTATTTATTTGTTTCTAGAACAATGGAGGACCTGGTGCTGTGGTGAACGGAGACGTTTCCTCCTACATTACCTACAATGCTAACAGAGGCGACCCCTACTGGGTTCAAGTCAGATGGGAACGGAACGGGGTTTCACTGCCGTATCGCATGGGGTCTAGAGGCGCACAGGACCTTTGTCTTTGCTCAGACTGCGGTGTGAGACCTGAATGCCAGTGTTCATGCTAGGTTCCATTAAAAATACTATCTTACTCAACAAAGTTGCAAGATCTATATTGCTTTATGTGTGCTTTGTACTCTGTACGTTTTGGCTGTATGTCAGAACTGGGAAAGGATTCATTTAGCTTCACATGACATGCAATATGTATTCAAGCCTTACAATTGCACGAGAACCCATCCGTGTTAATCACATCGCTATTTTCATCATCAGACAAGACAAGTTTTAGTTGTCAACAAATGAATAATGTAGTTTGAACTTGCTTAAGATCTGAATGTTTTGAAGTTAAATCAGATGTGATTTTTATGTATCTTCTGTGTTAGAAGGTTATATAATAATGCTGTTAAATACATGTAGGTTTTATAAAATGCTGTTACTGTAAGAAATTTTTTGTACTAAAGGGTATTAAACGTGTAATTGTGGTATAGTATCGGGCAATTTCTTTTGTATCTTATATTGAATTCCTTTGCACTGAAACAACATTATCATGATCACCATAAAATTATCCATCATCATCATCATCATCATCATCATCATCATCATCATCATCAACAACAACGTTGTTGTTACCATGGTACTGTCTCATTGATTGTGGCTTCATATCAGTGTTTAATTTACAATATTATTTTAAATACAATGTACTATTCCTTCATATATTTTATGTATTCTTTGTATTCCGCTCTTTGAATATCAAATTATATGCGAAAACGTGTACAAATTCAATAAAAAAGAAAACAATTGACGAAGTGTTCCCGTTTTATCGTTTGTCCTAAGATGTGAAAAGCCGAAGTCTTGAACTTCAACATTATACAAATAACATTTTAACTTTCAGCAATACTGAATACATATTTGGTTGTCTGTCTGTACGTTTCTCCGGGACTCAGGACTGTGGAAGGAAATGAAGGCTGAAAAGGAAACGCAATCGGTTTATACACATATACACATATAATAAATGGTTTCATAATTATATAAAATATTATGTTCTAAAATGTGTTTAGTGCAAAGCCAAAACGTAGTCCTGGGCGTTTATTTTCGTGACATGTTTTGCCACCATACTGTTAAATGATATTTTGCCGCACTACTTTTGAATTTCTTAAAAATTAAAATTTTAAACTATCAACATGCAAATGCTCCCAAAACCTTAAAAAAAATCTTCTTTTTTTTGTTGTAAATTTTGACAAAATTACGCGCGTTCAGATCTATTCAAAAACATTAGGTTTCCATATTATAGAAACATGGTAACATGCTCTTAAATGGGTAGGCAAACTACTCTATTGTCATTTTAAATAACATTAAAAGTTTACAATGTTGTTCTTATTGCATAGCGTTAAAAAAGAACAAATAGCAATGTTTACCTGGTTTGGACTATCAGGGTAATGTTGTGCTTCTAGACAGAATGCGCTCCATTTCCGGTAATTAGCGCCACCTTTGGCATTGTCAATTCCCAGGTAATAGCCAGTATAAAACTGGAAACCTGGCTCTGTTGTGTACATGTCTATCTGGCGTCCACTAGGAGTATGACGTAATCTTAAAAAATGTTGATAATGTTATTTTTAGCAGATGTTATGTAAAATGAAACAGATTTCAAACAGAACGATTGATATACACACTACATGTATTTGTTTTTGTCATTAGATTAGAAATGTTCCGAGACAAATCGTCTGAATTTATCATGAAATTAATTGAAACAGATATATATGTAATTGTCTAGAAATCTAGTCTTATTTACCTGGCAGCATGTTTGTCCCACCCAGGCTTGCCCAAAACGAAATTATGATCAAAGCCTTTATCTCCCGGTACGTTTGGCAACCTTGTAACCACGTTTGTTTCCGATGTTAGATCAAACATGGTTCCATTGACGTCGTCAATCGCACCTGTAATAGTAATATTTGTATGCCCTTTATGTTTAAGGCAATAAAGGCAAAAAAGGGGGACTTCAAGTTAGTGAAAAGAAGAAAAAAATATACTTTTAAACATGATTGCTTGGCACAAAACTAATAAATGACCTATTGCATACTATGACTGGAGTGTGACGATGCCATGGCGCAATTAATTGATAACAGTGCCCAAAAAGCGAACTTTTTATCACATAATTATCCCTGTTCTGGTTTTATTAAACCCGTTCAGGAATTCACACGGTTGGGTGGTTTTTGTTTTGTCGTGTTTGTATAAGTGAACGTAAATACATGTAAGGTGCTGTTAAAAAAGCGAAAGAAGCACCGGTCTGAATATGAGCCGAGAAGTAATACATACCAGTTGGTATACTTGTATCATCTACTGGTGTGAATTTGTCGGCTGCTAAACGTACAAAATGTCCATCCAAAGTACCAGCTGCCTGAAAATATTTTTTTGTAAAAAAAGCCATGTTAGTCACAACACATTTGCAAAACTTACAAATGAAAAGTAACGCTAGATCAGTTAAGTTATCATAGTTTGAGTAAACAGTATTCATTTGTCAATTATGGATGAAAACTTTCAAGTAACTCACATGTCCTGCTAGATTGAAGTAAGAATGATTTGTAAGGTTGATAATTGTTTTCTTGTTCGTTGTGGCTGTGTAGTCAAGAATAAGTTCATTCTGGTCTGTCAGCTGATACGTTACGGTGACCTTGACCTCTCCAGGATAGTTCTCCTCGCCGTCTGCACTAGTGTACTTTAGAACGAGTTTGTTTCCTTCTATACTAGATGCCCACAAACGCTGAAACGAGCATTATAAAATTAATGTATATACATGTACATCTATTCAATGCACATAAAGATTTTTTTCAGCTCGTTTATTCATACAAGGATAATTTCATTTTTAGAAGTTGAAACTTATAAACTTGTTTGTTTGAACGTGAACATTTTAACCTGTTAAATAGTCACAAATGCGCATCCATAAATGCGTATATGTGTAAGGAAATTGTAGCCGACATGCGTTAAGTCATATAGAACTAGTCTGTTAACTTGACACCGTTGTGTTAATGTGATAACTGACATTGAGTAAATAAACGAGAGAATAATTTGAAAGAATGTTCCCTTTTTTGTCGACGGTTTACTAATGCAATCCTACTCTTTGTATTCACATGAGCGAAGTTCAGATATACAAACAGTCTGCTTATGGCAGCGGAAGTGCAGATTGATAGCATGCACATATAGTTACACCAAGGTTGAACTTTTGAACTTCTTTTACCTTATCAAAGCCGTTTATTCCACCATGTAAAGCGTTTGGACCATTGTTGACAGCAAGCTGATGTGTAACTCCGTCTAAAGTAAACTGTCCTTTGGCAATACGGTTGGCATAGCGACCGACCAGAGCTCCAAAATAACGATTTCTTGTATCATAACCATCTGCGAATTTATAAATTTACTCAAAATTGTTTAAATCTATGTACTTTTCTGTCATCCACAGAAGAGTGTACATGTTATTTAAATATGGCACCAACATAAAAGTGTCACTTGAAGACTTTAACAGAGTTCTTATTTATTTGCACACTAAATAAATGTACTAAAATGTGTCAAAATATAAATGCAATCAATAAAAACCTTTAGACGTTTTTGTTATCTTTTTATCATTTCAAAATGAAATTAACTAAATTATTTTGAAAAAAAAAACACATCTAAAAGTGGAATATACAATGTATATGCTTATCAACTTTTAGAGCTGATATATACATATATATGTATTTATAGCTTTTGTACATAAGGCTGTTGTTTATTGTATCTTTAGACCTTGCAAAAAGATAGCCTTTTAAAGCTGAATGTGTAGGTTAGATCTATCAAACTTATCGAAAATAATCTAAATACTTACCCTTGTACGTGTCAAAACCGAGAGCTATATCCTCCATTTTACCATCCTTGTCAGGAACAAAGATGTTTGTGATGATTCCGCCATAATCAATGATCTTCACTTTCATACTACCATTTGTAAGACTATAACTGAAAGTTCATCAAGACAACTCTTGAAGGCTTATTAAAACCCAAAAATTAATGTTCTGTGATTTTTAGTTTTTTAAAAGCTTTTAAAAATTTTGGTGTTCTGTTACTGTTTCCCGAAACATTCCTCATTTCCAATATATTACATATTGGTTATTAGTTAAATTAAAGTGACGGTCTTAACAGTGGATAAGCGGGGTCGTCCTAATTGTGGATCATGTTACCATTGACATGAAGACCAGAACATTCCATGTTTTTTGTTGTTGTTTTTTTAATGGTCTTAATAGAGCTTAATGGAGGAGTGGTCTTTATTCCTGGGAGTTCTTTAGTAGGGTTTCTACTGTATCATTTTGTTCACGTTTCGTGCTTATATGACAATTGTTTTCTGTTGCTTACTGATGAGCATCTCTAACATGCTCTTAATCAATTATTAAACCATTATAAAACACAGAGTTGCCCTTTATTCAGAAAAAGTAATATTTATTTCTAGGGTTTAAAGAAAATAAAGATGCATGTTATTTCCTATATGAAAAATGAACTCTTCTTTTTATAACGTCTGAAAGAACTATACCATTTTATTTATCAAGGATCACGTTATATGTATAGTTCTGGCTGCAAAATATCGCTGGGAAGGAAGAATGATGTTTGCAGTTGAACTCGGATATTTGTAAACCTTTTGGTACTTTTTATTTATTCCAGCTCACACTGATCATGTCAAAACCTAGTTAAGTTTAAAGTTAAGGGCTTGACTTGGTGTGAAATTTCAACTTGCCATTGTTACTCTGTGCTGTTTCAATATCAAATAGCTGAAAGATCAAAAAGTCAAAAACTGTTTAGCTAACAATGTAAAGCAAAGTCAGACTGCACGAGAATTGCTCTATATAATAATACTAATAAAATAGGCAAGGCAACAGGTCCGCCAATAGGCCTGACAGTATTTAAAGTGTTTAAAATGACCATTTGCAATATGGAGCTAAAACTTACTAGCGTATACTGTTTCGATAAAGTCCCCTACATATGGTCTTGCATATGAACACATATATCTACGACCTTGAACTAACTGTACCACAAAATGAAAAGAAGCACACTTGTACTTACATTGAAATGTAGTGTCCATCGCTCGTCTTATCGTAAAATTCCTTGGAAATTGGCATACTTGCTGCACCAATGGGTAAGATATCGCGATTTAGTTAATATTTAAAAATGAATTTAACGCACACAGACAATGTATTATTTAAGCAGTCAATGTTATAGGTGAGATAACAGTAATGTTGAAGTATCAAAGATAACATTATCTTAAACGAAGTCACTTCATGACGATAAGTGAACGAGCGAGTGTCCGAACGCAAAACGTGGACGTGTCCGTACAACTGATTAATGTACTTATTTTACTGGTCCGTATATTGGTGGGGGTGGGGGTGGGAAAGCTAATTTTTCTTCTTTTTTTCATTCAAATTTGTTTCGGCGAAAGAAAACAAGTATTGGTAACCTGTAATAACCTCTTGCCTTTACTTGGCATTTGGACGTTGTGTTACGTATGAATTCATTATCGTGTGGAAATTTTTCTTTTAACAACAGTACAAATGATTCAGTTTAACTATACTGCAAGACTAATACGATGAATTGTCTTAGGCGTTGTTGTTTTTTTTTAATTTCACTTTCGAAAGCAATATTGAGACCAATTCCTATAATCAATATAATCACTTTTAATTAAGGTCCATTATCAAAATTTTAAGATCGACATCATCAGTGTCATAGGCTGCTATTGTAATAAAAAGCTTGGTCACAACATCATCGACTGTACTGTAGTGTCATCTTCAACATTAATAACAGTACATGTATCATCATTGACAACTTTACCATTGATTGGTGTTCAACATGATATGCCGACCAATGAACACTAAGTAATTAAGTGAACAATTTGACAATTAAGAACCAACGGCCGCTCCCTAGCGCGCGGTCGCTTCCTTTTTGGTTCTTAATTATAATTAACACTAACATAATTATTAATAACATTCATGTTTTACTCACAACAACACACTCATTACCGACTAGATCTACATCATCATTAACAAAATAATCATTTTTATCACATACCCGTGCCGATTTTGCGACTCTGTAAATATGGTATTGCACGGCCGTGCATATATTTTGACGTGACGTCATTAGCGTTATACAAACATAGTGTAAAGACGCGCTAAATGTTAGCGTTATACTATAGGCGCGTCAATGAAAAATGACTCTTATTTCACTTTTTTAAAAACGGTCTTTATTTTTGGTATGTGATAAATAGAATATTAAATTCGTGTAAGTTCATTACCGAATTTATAGCACTCGTTGAATAAAATAATATTATGCTCGCCAGAGGCTCGCATAATATAATTTTATTCAACTCGTGCAATAAATTTAGTTTTGAACTTACACTCATTCAATATCCTCTATTCACTAAAAGTATCATAGACATTTATCAACAAGTCTCTCGATTTTTTTGTAAAATTTTTTATTATCTTTTGTACAATTGTATTTCTAAATTTGTTATGCTAAATAAGAAACATAACAATTCCATGATATGTAAACATACCCACAATATACCGGATTCCCTGCTTTACAACATTTCATAAATACAACATTTGATCAACAAACATCACATCAACATTTTTAAAAATAGCACATAATTCAATTCAATTCAATTCAATTTAAACAAATTCAAATATTTGCGCCATATTTGCGTAAAACTAATCTGTAGATACCAAAATTCGATGTACAATGTATATGTGTATGATAGCACAAGAAATGTTCAAATGTAAATTATGAAATTATGCATAGATGCAAATGTATATGAAAATTAGAGACAGTTATAGACAATTTTTCAGTACACATTAAGTGTTGGCAACACTGAACACATATTTTGTCGTCTGCCTGTAGGTTTCACCGGGACTAAGAACAGTTGTAGGAAATGAAGGCTGAAAATAAAATTGTAAATATTAGATCAATGATTGTTAAACCATTAATGTGCTGGAACCGAAATCAACTAGCCTTTCCGACCAGTAACGAGCCTGTACAGCCTCCACATCTGTGTAGTCTGTACAAGCTTTTTACTGTTGGCTTTCATATTCTCAAAATTGATAATAGACACTAACAGATATGCAAGTTGGACAAGTCCGTTTAAGATATTCAGCAGTGTAAATAAGGATTAAAACCAAAATAGTAATAATTGAGCCGCGCCATGACAAAACCAACATAATGGGTTTGCGACCAGCATGGATCCAGACCAGCCTGCGCATCCGCGCAGTCTGATCAGGATCCATGCTGTTCGCTATCCGTTTCTCTTCTTGTTATAGGATTTGTAAGCGAACAGCATGGATCCTGATCAAACTGCGCGGATGCGCAGGCTGGTCTGGATCCATGCTGGTCGCAAACCCATAATGTTGGTTTTGTCATGACGCGGCTCATATGGTGATTTTAGGCATAGCCGTTAACAATCATTTTGCGCAGTTAGGAAAAATATAATTTCAAGCACATGGGGTTTGTTTGTAAAATGGTGAAAAGTTTTAAGAAGGAAGTCGCCAAGTGTAAGTGTGATCCATTGGTTAAAGTATCGGTGTCTCAACCTGGGGATTATGGGTCCAAGTACGACGGAGGTTTTGATCCAGATTTCTTATTTGACACTGGTAGTGGTTAGTCAATGGAAGCACACTTTAAAGTGATAAATGTAAAATTGTAAGGACTTATTTCCTATCAAGCCCAGATAATTTTTCATGGAATAAACATTGAGATTTCAATTTTCAAAAGTATTTTCTGCTTATAAAAAGTAAAATAAATAAATAATTTCAGTGGAATCAAAAAAGACGCCAATCTACCATGTGTTATAGTTTATGAAAGGATTGATTTTTGTTATATTGTTTTCCAAATGGTTATTATTTTCGTACCTGGTTTGGACTATCCGGATAATGTTGTGCCTCCAGGCAGAAAGCACCCCACTTGCCATAAGTTGCTCCGCCCTTCGCTTTAGTTTCATTCAAATAAAATGCAGTGTAGAACTGAACTCCTGGTTCTGTTGTGTACATGTCTATCTGACGTCCACTAGGCGAGTGACGTAACCTAGACAAATAATAAACTGTTAGATATTTCATTAGTATGACATAGTGCCTGTATCTATATCTTAATACATACACATTTATATATACAAATTTTGTTAGAATTTATTATCATTATATTATCTTTAACCGGTGGAGGACAATGTTGAGATGGCATTCAGTTTATTACTTCAGGCACGAATGGTCATCTATAGGTAGAATCACCGACTTTTGTATGATATACTTTATAATAATTAGAATAATAATAATAAAATCTTTATTTACTTAAAGATGTTAACACATGAAGATATAACATCGTCAAAAAAGCAATTATATATCTTATTTTTAAGTGTGGCCTTCTAAACTTGCGGTATTACTCCCTCATACATACAAAGTAGAAATTTGTCGCCCTCAAAACATTTGTAATTGCTTTTAGTATGATAATAATACTAACAATAATAATAATAATAATAATCATAATAATAATAATTAATCATCATCATCATCATTATATCGTCATCGCACACATGATAGTAATGTAGTGATTTCAGTAAGGGAAACTTTACACTAGAGTATACAAGAATAACCCACATGGCAGCATGCTTATCCCAGCCTGGTTTCTCAAAGACAAAATTGTGATCGAACCCGATACCCCCTGGTACATTGCGTATACGATCGACCAGGTTCGTTTCTGATGTCAGGTCGAACATTGTCCCTGTTACACTTTCAATCACCCCTGAAAATAAAATGTGGAAAAAAAATAAGCACTGGGTATCAAATATGCTAACATGAACAAATATGCTAACATCACACATATGCTTACATAAATAAATATGCTTACATAAACAAACATGCTAGCATAACAAATAATCTAACATCCTGATCATGGTCTGGATCCATGCTGGTCGCAAACGCACTATGTTGGTTTTGTCATGACGCGGCTCATTTTGCTCATTTTTTTTCTTCTTCATATAAGACAAATGACGTTTGAATGTAATTTATGTTTGTTTTATAACTGTTGTGCTCTTGCATTATTTCTTTGATGTTTGACAACTTCTCAGTTTATAGTAATTTACTTTTAAACAACTCAACTCGAAATTTCAAAATCAGTATGTATTAATTTGATTCAGTATTCATTTTTTGAAAATTTAGAATCATTTTCAGATTTGTAATACATAATAACAGCATGAAAATTATGTTTATGTTGTATTATTTACCTGTTGGAATTGAAGTGTTATCGACTGGGGTATATGTTTCGGCCGCTAAACGAACTGTGTGTCCGTCCAAACTTCCAGCTGCCTGTGGAAATCATACAAAATGTATATAGTAACCAAAATACAGATTGCTCACTTGTTGAACTTTATTTTTATTTAATTAACTATAAAATTTATTGTCCGATTCTGCCTAAAATAAAAATCATTCAAATCAATTGGAGGTCCACAATATTTCAACATTCACCCTAATACTGAATGTTTGGACTTAGAAGTCCTTAAATTTATAAATAAATATATATTTGTTTGTTAACGCATTCCAGAAAACATTTAAGGTGTTGTTGTTTTTGTTTAAATTTTTTGCGAGGCCGTTATGCTTAATATGAATTTTCTTAACACGATAGTTCAATACGATTTTAAAAATACATGTCTGATATGGACGATATGACAATTGGAAACACAATACTTACATGCCCAGCCAGATTAAAATATGCATGGTTTGTTAAATTAATGACTGTTTTCTTCTTTGTCGTAGCATTATAATTGATAATCAGCTCGTTTTGGTCGGTTAATTGATAAGTGACCGTGACCTTGACCTCCCCGGGATAGTGCTCTTCACCGTCTAAACTTGTATACTGAAGGACAAGTCGATTTCCTTGAATGCTTGAAGTCCACAGACGCTATAAATAGAATGCTAGTGCAATTATATTTGCCTTTCTTCAGAAAAGCTTAAAATTACAAATAAAATGTTATTTTCAGGACAGTTTAAAACTATGACGTGTATGTTCATTGTTATAAGATTTCAATGGAATCTTTGTCATTATTTAATACGGAAAATACTTTGTTTCGGAAAACAAATGTACGAAAGAGGTTTTCGTTTTACACGTAAATTTTAGATACTATTTTAGTCATTTTCAAAAATCTTTGTATAATAATTCTATTACAATTGACAAGTATAATTCTCCTGAAAGATTCCTAAATTTAGTCAAGTAGAATTGCCACAGAAGTTTTGTATCAACTCCAAAAGACAGATTTTGCTTCACCGACCGACTGCAACCACGAACCAGAAAATGTTTCTTTTTGCAATTGAAAGATTTCAGATTATGTTCAAATAGATTTTTTATAATTTTAAAATATTGCAATCTAAAATCAGCAAACCCAATGTGTACATGAATTACAGATTTTTTTGTAATTTTATTCAATACCTTGTCAAAACCTCTTGTGCCACCATGAAGGGCGTTTGGACCATTGTTGACAGTAAGGTTGTATGTGACCCCATCCAATGTGAAATGACCTTTGGCAATACGGTTGGCATAGCGACCGATTAGAGCTCCAAGATATGGAGGATTTTTGTCATAGCCGTCTGAAAAACAAAGAAAACAACATTTGTCATTATCTTTTATATTATGGTTTCTACTGAAAGGAACAAGGGCTATTTTATATTAATTACAACAGCGGTAGTTCTGGCTTCCATTACTTTATATGTCGCTTTTATTTTGACGCTGTGCGACAGTAAATAGCAGTATATTATTAATTAAATCTGTTCGCTGAAGTCTCTTTAGCTACAACAGTGGCAATGTAGCTACAACAGTGGCAATGTAGCTACTGGCAATGTAGCTACAACAGTGGCAATGTAGCTACAACAGTGGCAATGTAGCTACAACAGTGGCAATATAGCTACAACAGTGGCAATGTAGCTACAACAGTGGCAATGTAGCTACAACAGTGGCAATGTAGCTACTGGCAATGTAGCTACAAACAGTGGCAATGTAGCTACAACAGTGGCAATGTAGCTACAACAGTGGCAATATAGCTACAACAGTGGCAATGTAACCTCAACAGTGGCAATGTAGCTACAACAGTGGCAATCTAGCTACAACAGTGACAATCTAGCTACAAAAAAAAACAGTGGCAATGTATTAGTCAAATGCTACCTGGAGTCTAAAACCCACGACAAAAACAATATAGGAGTACTATGACTTGAAATTTAAAACGTTTCTCCTCTCAAGTAAAATGAAAAGACTTCTATTGAAGCCAGTTTGATATTTACAAACAATATTTAAGACATTTGTCTTCAGTATAAAATCAAACCCGTACAGACTGACCAGGCTCTTTATATATTGGATGCTTAATTTTAATACTCTGATACAAAACTTATCCCTCAAGTTAACAATATATTCCCAAATTTTAAACAAAACAAGATTATCCATTTTAGACATTAAGCAAGAAATTGAATTGCCTCAAATTAGTTATAAATAATAGTGCTGGTCCAAAAAGATGTAACGTTAAGATAATCATATTTAAAATTTCAATATCGAATGTTTTGGTTTTATCTTAATTGATATCAAGAACAGTGTTATATGACATATCCTATTGAGGTTTGTTGTTGTTGTTTTTGTTTTAATTTATCAATTTTTATGTAAGAATTCTTACACTGTGGGAGAAATTACAATAAAACAATTTGAAATCAAATATAATTATCAAGATGCCCAATAATAAATTTAAATGGCACGTAAATGTGAATATGTAACCATTTTAAATTCAAATTCACGTACAATTTAATTATAATATAAATTGGTTAATACATTGATTAACCGGTAAAAGTAACATTTACATAATGCTAGACCAAGTGACCTATTTATGTGTCCAATAAAATAAATAACAAAATAAGATAAATGCACCATCACAACGTTTTCTTCTACCCTGTCTACATAAAAATTATATTTATGTTGAAAACATTTTTATTTAGAACTATTAATAAATTAATCATATTTACCACATACCCGTGCCGATTTATCGGCTCCATCAAAATAGTATTGCACGGCCGTGCATATATTTTGACGTGACGTCATTTTTGTTATACAAACGTAGTGCAAAGACGCGCTAAGTGCTAGCGTTATACTATAGGAGCGTTCTTTTGCACTTAAAACAATCTTTATTTTGAGTTTGTGATAAATAGAATATCCAATTCGTGTACGTTCATTACTGAATTTTTTTGAATTCGTCGAAAAGGCTCGAATAATATAATTTTATAAAACTCATTTAATCAATTCAGTATTGAACCTACTGTACACTCATTCAATATGTGTGTTTGCGACCAGTATGGATCCAGACCAGTCTGCGCACTGATCAGGATCCATGCTGTTCTCTCACCAACCCTTTTACAAGTAGAGAAACTGATATCGAACAGCATGGATCCTGATCAGACTGCGCGGATGCGCAGGCTGGTCTGGATCCATGCTGGTCGCAAACGCACTATGTTGGTTTTGTCATGACGCGGCTCATATGTGAAGATACCTTTAAATGCGTCAAAACCAAGCACGATGTCTTCTGGTATCCCGTCCTTGTCCGGTGCAAAAATATTCGTGATGATTCCTCCGTAGTCAATTATCCTCACCTCAACTTTGTCATTCTTCAAGGAGAATCTGTAATTTTAGATTAACTGTATCAGCAAGATTTGTTTTTTCTTGTGTATAAAAGATAACACATACGAAAAAAGGACAGTTAAAATGCATTTTATAGTTTTGAAAACGGAAGCTTTTCAGACACTTTAAAATTCTCATTAATGTTGTTGTTTTTTCTTTTCTTTGTTTTTCTTTTTTTTCCACTGAGTATATATATTTTATTTTCTCAATTTATTTTCCAAAATACATTGATTACCATTATTATAACAGTGACTAAGTAAAAGATACCGAGTTCGAACTAAAACATGAATTTAAAAATTAATAAGAATAGAATTAAAAGTTAAATAAGCGCAATCAATATATATACCCTAACCGAGCAAGAAACAAATAATTTTTCTAGCTTTATCCTATACGGTCAATAACGGTGCATTCTGTACATTACTGTAACAAGCGACAATATAAATCCACGTCTCTATTATATCGTTTAATTCTATGTCAAACAATTAACTACAATTGCAACAAATATTGAATGTACGCCCCTAAAACAAAATCCTATTACCGCCCCTGCATTGGTAAATACAGTCATGTACATGTATATACAAAAATATGTACACAATCAGAAATATACATGTATTAATTAATCGATTACTTACATTGAAATATCCTTCCCGTCACCCGTTTTGGCGTAGAATTCCTTACTTATAGGCATAATAGGCGTATCTAGAATACAAAATATAAATTATATTGAAATAATAATAACTAAATCAATGTAGAAAGACGCTCGATAAAGTCCAAAGAATGCAAAAGTTCTCGCCAAGGTTAAGCGTCACAACGACCTAAATATTTGTTTCTTATGCCTATTTTATCGATATCCTTCAGTAGCTATAAGGATGAGTAGGGAAAGCTATTAAATGCTTGTTTCTCTGTGCAACATCTGGTCATAGGAATACTGTAGCACATGTTTTATATGAGAAAGAAAAAGGTTTTTAAAAATTATGCTGCGTTTTTAGTTACCTCGTCTGTTTATGTCTGTTATTAATAATATATAGAGGATATTCAAGTTTTTTCTATAAATACATGATTAATTTTCAGCGAGTGGTATGAAAATAAATATTTTATGAGAGGCGGTAGCCACGAGTGAAATATGGTAATTTTCATGCCACAAGATGAAAATAAATCATGTATTTATAGAAAAAACTTGAATTTTCTGTTTATTATATACATTTTTCTCTTTCTGGACATTAAAATGTGAAAGACTTTCTCTTAAATTTTGAGTACTGGCAGAATTTAAAAGAAAGTAGTCCGACAAGACACCAGTGAAAATACGGAAAATATGTTTCACTGCAGTGAAAAATAAATTTTTACAGTGAAAATACGGAAAATGAAAATACGCATTTTATTTCATCAATATTTCTCAATATTTCATTTAAAAGTATATAATAAATTACAATATTTTTTTCACGATAGAATGTTTGTTAAAATGATTATGTTGAACACAATTATATCAAGTATGCTGGGTAACTTTCTATCTAATATTTCACCTTTGATAAGGTTATTTGGTTAGATTAATAAAAAGTTTATGGAGTAAAAAAAAGAACATAAAATAACACAGCAATGAAAATACATGATACACGTGGATGATATTGTTGGATATGGACAGATGACATTGATATAAAAATATGAGCCGCGTCATGACAAAACCAACATAATGGGTTTGCGACCAGCATGGATCCAGACAAGCCTGCGCATCCGCGCAGTCTGATCATGATCCATGTTGTTCGCTATCAGTTTCTCTACTTGTATTAGGGTTTGTAAGCGAATTGCATGGATCCTGATCAGACTGCGCGGATGCGCAGGCTGGTCTGGATCCATGCTGGTCGCAAACGCACTATGTTGGTGTTGTCATGACGCGGCTCATATCTTTATACCTTCCACGTAGTGCACTAGTATTAACTCTACAGTTACCTTTTATTATTATTAATTTTATTATGTAAGTATTTTAGTTAAAATGTATTCTCAAAATATCAAATTCTCTTCAATTTAGTTGACCTTTCTTAGCCTTGCATTAACTTCTTTTTTAATAAGTGAGGTAGCTATTATTCAGGGTATCATAACGCCAAACATAAAAAGAACAATGAGTTGTCTTAAGGTATATGCATAACTGATAAATGAAACATTTCATAGAATTGTAACAACCTTATCCTTTAGCATGCTAGCGGCATGTGACCAGTGCTAACCAAGATCAGTGGGCACATCGATGCCGTGTGGTCTGATCAAGATCTGCAAAAGTCGCACGTACATATTTTGAAAAAAAAATTCCCTAAAACGATTAATTGTCCAGATTGAAAGATGGATAAGTCCATTTCTTATATATTTAGCGGATCGAAGGATCAAACCTTTGCATAAAACATGTATATGAAAGACATTAGTATAGATGTGAATTTGAAAAGAAAAAAATAAGATTTCTTGTTTATTCTTAGTATTTTTTCAACAGTTTTTATGATAATTGTAAAAATACTAAAATCTAAACAATACTATACTTCATATAAGGTTTATCACAATATATACGAGTACTACTTCTTGTATCATAAGTTTTTATGTTTGTTTATTAATCAAGTTCTATGTTCGACTATCTAACTCTGGCTAAAATGTGACCAAATGTGTGGCATTACTAGTACTATTAAATCAGCTATTTGAACATTTTCTACAATGTACGTTTGATTAACTATGACCATCAATAAGAAATAGGACACCAAGACCTACTTTGATAATATCATGGTTTTGACATACATCTTCAGATCAGGTTAACTTGACTGTTCACATTTTTATATCTAATGTGTAATACAAAGACATTGATTGATCAAAAGAACGCACCAGTTGATGTTCAATATTTTAAAAGATATATCGTTATTTTAAAGAACTGCATCACAAAATTATGCAAAATACCCAAATACCCATTGAGAGGGAGGCATACTTATTATTCATTATTTTTATTTTCAGTATTAAACAGTTGTTGAACATTATTGACACTGTCGTTTTTAGTGTCATATTTGTGTAATATATCATGTTGAAACCATTGATGCATGCATTTGATGAATATTTCATCATATCGTACAAAAAGTATGTCGACCTGACACAAGTTTTTGGTCATAGCGTCTGCCGTGTATGGAGATTGTTCTTTTTCTGATGGAACCATTTTTTTATTTACCTTTAAAACCCCAATTTTGGCGTTCAGTTATGATTAGAATTTGGCTCATTTTAATATATCGTAACCTTGTTATACTTGTCAACAATACTTCTCGGCTAATTTACTGTAATTTATAACACTTCACACCACACAGTATCTGAATTGTAGGACTATAAATTGTATGTATATAATTTTATGTTGAATAAAAGATATGTAACCACTTTTCCACTCACAGATAATTTTGGGCACTATTTGCCACGCTGGCCGTATTTTGCCATAAAAGAAACAAAGGGTACCAAATTGACACAAGCGGTGGAACTAGCTACTGGCCAATGTACATACCGCAACGAATTAACAACAATCATTTCCATTATTTTGATTGTGCATTTAATACGAAAGAAATTGTAAGGCCATTTCAAGAAACGGATTGAAAATCGGAAATATCTAAATAGATTTTTATTTTCAAATATCACTGGCAGTTTTGGCAATGTGGACCTCAGTGTTTTCTAGAAGGCCAAGAGGAAAGACGTCGCCCTACATTTACCGGTTGTACTTTCGGTTTTGGTATTTTGATTGTTTGAAGAAAATTAAACATCGCCAGTTATAAAAAAAGGATGTCTTACCTTCGCAGTCTGGTCTGGAAACAGCAAAATATATTGTAAGCACTAGCAAAACTAATGCAATCAAAGAAATTGCAGTGATTGCAATACATATCGGCCTTTGTCCGCCCTTCGCCATCTTTAAACGTCCTCAAATTTATAACAATAAAATGTTAGTCCAATTAATAAAATGTAAAAATCAATCTCCAAATTATGTTTATGCAACACTTACTCAATATTTAAAAATTAAGATAAGTCCAAGTGTTTGTTACAGAGTGGCCGGGTAGCACCGATTTCTTGTTCGCAATTTGAGCGGAGGTGACGCGCCGCTAGTTCAGTGACCTAGTGTGTGTCAACGTAACATTATGTGAAACACACACATAAAGTACATGATAAGACCAAGTTTAAACAAAATAAAAAAACACTTAAGTCGCTGTAAAGCGATAATGAAAAAGTACATTTGAAATTAGAACACACAAGTTTAAAAAAGGGTTGTTTAAAAGAAATTTTGTGAATAGTAATTACATGTAAAACTGTTTACTTAGTCAGACTCACATATAAAAATCAAATTTAGCAAAAAGCTAGATACTTTACCAATTGAAAAGACATCATGCATCGATGAATAAGCTCATAAGAGTAGGCTACATAGCTGATCCAGTGAATAAAGAAGGTCTGCGTGTTGATGCATATCGTTAAAACATTACTTTGACGTAACTAAAATTACAATAAATTAAGAGGGAAAAGTAGATCTATCCTTTATTTTCAGATTTGAAAAATGTTAGACAAGGAAACTTTTGCTATTTAACACAATTCATATAGTTTTAATGCCCCCCCCCCCCCACATTCTATATATCATTAAAGATTATTTTATAAAACACGACATTTAAGAAAATTGTTACAAGTTTAAGTGTTTGTGGTATTGCAAGATAATTATGTTTTGCGGGAAACTTTATTATGTTCATGATTTATGTCATTTAATAAAACTATGGCATTTTATATAAAATGGCCTTTTTTTCATTCCAACATAATTATCATTTTTGTTTTCCTTGCATCCATACAGGTTCGTCCTTGCTGTGACTCTTTCCATGTACAAAACTGTCAAAATATGATAAACAAGATCAACAAGGAAAGGCGGCGTTCAATGAAAGCAACCCCCACACGACCCAGCAACAAGAACCAGTGGCAAGGATCCCAGGAGGACCCCAAACAAAAACAGGACAGGGCACAAGGCAAAGCACGGACAGGCTAATCACTAAAATGATATGTTAGAATAAATAATTTGTAACTGATAATTTAAGGAATTCAAAGAAAACAAAGAAATGATTGAGTTAAATAACAAAGTATGTAGAGCTATAAATCTATATACGCACCCTGTAATAGCTTCGCATCCCCCTAACCCTTTACCTTATATACACGCGAAACAACGCACTTTTCTACCCCACCCCCCCACATTTTAAGGTCTCAAATAGTGAAAAAATGTCCTATTTAGGCCCCAAACACTTGTTTTCGTTAGAGAAATGTTGTTTAAAAAAGTGATCACTTTTTCGGCGCCACCCCCTATCAGAAAGACACATCAGGGGTGCCAGAGGGGGGTGTGTCCCCTTCTGCTTTGGGGTTTGAAGGGTGCAGCAGCCCCACTCATGATCGCCAAGAAGATTTTGGACCTGTGAGAGGCTAAAATTCGCATCAGGTTGATCAGAAGGTACTAGTAACGTGTAACCAACGCTGAAGTCTTCGACTCTATCTCAATCCATTGAGAAGTTGCAGCACTTTGAAATAGTGATTTTTTGGCAATAAGATGTCCCCCTCGTTGTCATGGTAACAGGAAATGCAAGATTAAGCATGCCGTTACAAAGGCTATGGTGCAGTCAACATGTGTGCCAAGTTTGATAAACATATTGAAGCATCTTTTATAGTTTCATAGCAATCTGAACTTGTAACAGGAGGCTTAAAAAATAAATAAAAACCGCCTATTTTCACAAAATGCTCATGCAGTAATGATTTAAAATCGTATGATTATATATTTTATTTAGATCAAGCACCGTTTTCTATGGAAATACACGATAGTTCTTCAATTCACCGCTGATTTCATGAATGAACGTAGTAATTATGTTCTTATATATGCAAATATTCTACTTCATTCAGTAATCTATGATTATCTTCTTTCAAACGTTGATTTCAAGCGGACGATATCTTACTAATGATCAACTACATAAGGATAATTTAATGAACTATTCATAAACTAATGTATGAATTTTATTTTTGAGCCATATTCCGTGAAGTGTCATTAAAAAATAAAGTTCAATAAAAAAAAACATTGGCATAGATTTTCAACTAAACATAAAATTATCACGTCATTTATTACGCTGTGCTAAATGCAGTATTTGTATTATGTACTATGGACGCCGTGTAAAAGCATGTGTCACAGATTTGAGTAGATTTTATTTATCCTTTTTAGTAAGTACTTTTTAAATTTCAATTAGATCTCCAATTGTTTTCGCCAGCTCTAGATCTACAGTACAATAATTATATCTAGAAAATAAAAAGCTCAGATATTATCCTTAAAAGGTCGTTCAGCATGACATTATTCATGTGTTTGTGATATTAAAAATAGCTTATTCTATTTGACGGTTTCAGTATTTCTACTTTAATACAGAACAGTACTGTATCTATAGATCTAATCACAGTTAAGACAATTTGCTTGCCTTATAACGACTTGTCTAGATATGAAATTGTTGAATTCTGCTTAAGTCGGTGTTAGGGGGCGTGATCGGTAGCTTGCAATCACCAATACCGTCCATGAACAGGCTTTCAATACCGAGCCTGCGATATTTTCAATTTTGTCGTGATGGGTTTCGTTAGGGATTTTGTTTTTCTCTATTTCTATTTTTTAAATTCCATTTTAGTTTCCTCTAATTGTTTTCTCGTCTACTGTACAAGTATTTATTTTCATTGGGCAAATACGCTGCTTTTTATTGAATAACACGAACGTGTCATAGTATAGACCGCCGCTTCGAATGTTTCTAAAAATAACACCATTTTCATGTTTAAATGTTGTTCAGATTTAGCCGGTGCTATGGGGTGTGGGCGATAGCTTGCACCCTATGAACAATATCGATCAAACCAAGCCTGAAACATTTTCAGTTTTACCGTGTTGGATTAATTTCTTTCTTATTTCAGAACTACGTGACAATACAGAGGTCTTATTTAACATATATATATCGATAAGTGGATTTGTCTGGCAATGCACCGGATTTTGTGATTTCCAAAACAACTCTTCGTTTATGGACGAAGCTGCTTAAGCGCTGCCTATTTCGTAAACTTTAAAGACTAACCCTGCTTCGTTGATAGATCTGGTGTGAGTGTACAAGAGACATAGACCTTCAGTCATACATACCCCTGAATCTTATTTGAATATGAAATAGATCTATATCGATCGTTGTGTAGCAAAATAAAAATAAATAAGAGGTACAATCTTATTCCAGATCTAATTCTATTTTTGAAGAATGGTTCGAAATTCAAAACGAAGGAGTAGATCTTCTACTAAGGCCTATCTAATATATATGGGAAATATATATTCGTGTGAGTGAATTAATGTTTCCAAAAAAGAAACACAATGCCTTTTATCAGCAAAAACGATTCTGACTGCATGCGTAACAGCATGTCCTCAAGATATTAAGATGCAAAATAGCTACACGTGCAGAGCTGGACTCGTCCGCAGCGGTTTTCCTCAAATACCACATGCCGTCGTTTTAGCCCAGCACTAATGGAGAGGATGTGTAACAAAATCTCTGTCGAGCACCAAAAACCAAATACATGAAGTTTTTTATCAGACATACCTTGTCGTCATTTGACTGTTTCCTCAAAGAAAGACTTAACTTATAAGTAAGCGATGTTTGCCAATGAGCTGGCAGCTATTGCTTGTCTTCAGAAAACACCATAATACATAGGACTTAGTATATAGCAGTCGGCTGATGACAGATCTCGTCTAATCACCGACAATAAAATAGAAACGGATAAATTGTTATTTAAGATTATTTTTTGTTTTTGCTTATAAAATTATGTCAAATGTTATAACTAAGGCAAACTGCAATTTTGCTATCATCAATATTGTTCCATTTTTTGTAGTTTATTTTAGTTATTCATTTGTAAGGCAATATGGATTATAAATCAATAAGACTTTCTATCACATTCAATCAAATCAAAATCCAAAACTTTGAGGTTTTTTGTTCAACAAAATATTTCCAATCCAAGTTATGTGATACTTGTGAAATTAATAACCACTTAGCCTATACTTTATAGGTATAACTTGGAAAGAAAACAACTAAATATAACTACCTGTTATGGACACAATTACAAAATCCAGCTTGTATTTTGCAAATATTTTTGGATAATAAAATGTTACGATACTCGTAAAAAAGTTACAATATAAGATCTTAATCTTTTTTTTTATATTTTATTTACAATAAAAATACGAGTACATGTACATAATGAAAATAAACTGCAATAGCAGTCTATTCCAAAATAATTTGAGTTTTTACATCTCCGTTCATACTAGGCTTATTCACTCTACATGTAGAAAGGAAGATCTATTGAAATCCATTCTAAAACAATACTGATAACTTCTTCAGAACTGACACTGTAAAATACATATTATATATTGAACTTTTGTCCTGGTGAATAAAATATTATATTTGAAATATGAGTGACATACTCATTCAAGTGATGTTTCAATGCTGGTAAATTCAGATATGTTCAATGTTTCTGGCCATCATGTAAAGATAAATAGGGTCCTTACTCGTTATACAATCTGGCAGGACATTCTAATATAGACAGCCCATGTGTATGTTTTGAATTGTCTTCCTTATGAAAGTTGTATATATACTATACCAGATTCATTCAATTTGATCTATACTTAATTGCTTGCAAAATACAAACTTTTTTCTGATGCCTGTTAAATCAATAAATAATTTAAAACCTAAAATATGTTTTAACTCTAGACCATATTTTTCTTGGAATACTCCGTCTTATCTCCGCAACAGCGTCCATGCGGTCTTCTACGTGATCCTGATTGTCGTCTGTCTTCACACTACAACAGCAAAAGCGCTTGAAAAATCTGACAAATCCACAGTCATTCTCTTTAATATCTTTTTCTTGTTCAGATGCCGCACTATAGTCGAGTTCTATGTTCCGAACGTTTACTGCCCTTGTGATCTTTCCAAAGCTATTTTCTGACACTTGACCCGGAAGTACATATTCTGGTTCCGGTGGACGCTCCGCTGCAAGTCCGTTAGATGTTAAGTCTTTTCGACATTCAGATACATTTGCATTTCCCTTAGACTCTAGAACTTCACTGACTTTTAAGATCAAATTATTATTTGGTTTAGTGTATATGACTGAACTGCTTATGGTATTTGTGGCAGTATTGTTTGGGACTTTTTCTTTCACTTCTTCGATATTAATAGGAGGTAACCGAATTGACTGCAATGGTTTAAAATCTTTTGGAAATGACTCTGCAGGCATATGCGGAATGCTGGTGGTATGAGATGAACTGAGATCATGTTTTAAAACTGATGGATTATTTTCTATTTTTGATGTTGAATTTCTGTTTTCTTTCAAAAGATCTTTAGATGAAATACCGTCAATTATTTAATCTACATGTATTTCATTTACAGCTACGTCAGACTTTTTAAAACGCTATCATTCTCTTTCTGTTGTTTCGTAACTGGATGATCGGTTTTTTGTGTAGCTGTTGTCAAATCAATGTCAACATTTGAACTGGTAACCCATTTTGCTACTGCGTCTATGTTAATTAGCCCATATTTATCAAATGCTTTAACACACGTATCCTTGCGTGTTTTGTTCCCTAAATTCTTAATTGTTCCTGGCTCATTAGTAATTTTAACTCTGTCATGTCGGTGCATTGCATTTTCAATTCCAAGCTGAACAGTACTTGGTCTGAACTCCACTTTACTAATCTTAGGTTTGATAGCGTCATCAATCTCGTGCAGAAGATCCTCGGCTGTCAACAAAATATCCTCACTTACTTTTCTTTCTTTATCGCTACGGTCTGTTTTCCTTCTATCTGTCTGAAAGTTTGGAATGCCATATTTAACTATTAATTAATTGTGTTACAAAAAATAATCAAAGTTTGAAAACAAGTGTTTTCAAAAAGTAAGCAATAAAACTTAATATCATATCATAAAGTATATGTGATATCTTAATTTGGCTATGTGCATCTTTTTGAAAGAGAAAAGTAGTATTATTTCATAAAGAAAAGTAAACAAGTGATTGATATAATATAGTACTGTACAGTTATAAAGTTAAGAATGAAAGTATAGGGTAGGAAAAGCAATACGGTACAAACTGGGATACCTTTTTACTTGACCCTGATTCGACAACAGTGAAATCCTCTCCTGTACCTCCATTGCTATTTCTAGTAAGAGTTGTTTGGTTTTCTGGCATTTCAAAAAGAAGTAGTTTACTCTGTTGGATGATAAAAAAATATTATTTGTCAAGAGAACAACACGTAACGCAGCATGCTTCCACCATATTCTTGCTAATTTACATGAATATTTATGCTAATTTTCTTAATTTTTTTCAAGAATGTATTTTAAAATTAAAACATTGTAAAGTGAACTAAGAAAGTAATTTACACATTGCAAAGGGTACTTAATTACAATCCACGAAAAAATACCAAAAAAGAGGCCAAAAGGTGCAAAAATAGCCCTTCCTGCGTTAGTCACGCAGTAGAAATATGGTGAAAAATACTGCTACATCAGTCATTAATCGCACAACCTTGTTCTCAAGTTTGATTTTCTTGAAATATTTTGGCTCATCTGGAGAGGCAAGCAGCTTTAAAATTGTTTAATAAATTTTAATATTGTATTATGTCAGATGTCTTCCCATATACATGTAGATTCAACTCCTTTTTATCATAATAAACAAAATTCATCGGCTTTTATCAACCTCAGATTTTCTTCTATAGCAAATAATTAAAAAAAAAACTCATATTCCAAGTGAAAAATGAAGAAGTGCTATTTGTAGCAATCAAAAATATCTTAATCATATAAGTCGAGTTCATAACCACTGTAAGGTTTATATGCCGGATTTATTTTAGTTCGATTGTGTAGGAAGCTATGAGCTTATAGACACACTTTCCAATCCGTTCCTGGAACCAGTACTGAGCAATGAGTGTAAAGTTTCTTGCTCAAGGAAACAACGACTTGCCCCAGACGGGGTTTGAACCCATGTCGTAATTATTCGATGCAAAGATCGGATCATTTAAGGCTGTGCACATCCAGACCGTCAATATTTAGACAAAGGGAAGAAGTACAATAACTCTCTGTCTTTATAAAGGAAAGTACTTTGTACGTACTTTATTCACCCAAAGTAAACTTAAAGCAATTGAAATGTATGCTATATCCCCCCCCCCCCAAAAAAAAAAAGAACAACAACAAAAACAAAACAAAAACAAACAAAAAAAAACCACCATAAAAAACTCACTTTTATATCAACAAAAAAAAACAACAACAAAAAACACAACAAAACAAGTATTGGCTATTTATATAAGGGCAATTTTGTCAGATCAAAACTATTATGATAGTGATATTGAATTTATTCTCTCTTTCCAAAATCAATGAATGAATACATCTTTTTGTCAGTGGTGGTGCGATAGCTCAGTTGGTTAAACCATTGATTATCACGGGACCTGAGGTCCCGGGTTCGATCCTGGGTTTCATCCTTGGGATTTTTCAGAGACACTTTCAGTTTTTCCCACCTACCTAGAGGTGTACTGGTAAGAAATCCAGGTAATCCTCGCATGTATCAGTGCTATACACTGGACATGTAAAAGAACCAAGGGGTCTATTCAATAAGAGCTAGGGACTGGTTCCCGGATTCCCTTGTATCTTATAGCTGTCTCTTAAATGTAAACAATGTATACCTGCTTAGAGTGCTCGTAATCGATCTTAAAGCAGTATGATGTGGAAGAAGTAGAAGTAGAAATTCTGTCATAACGACCAATTAACAATTAATGGAGTTTTCCCTGATTAGTCAGATAAATTTTAATAAGTTAAATATTAAAGATACATACATCTAGGGAGTAGGCTTATCATGGAAAAAGAGCAAGTGAATAAATGCACTAGTTCTACGACTAGTTAAGCGTCGAATCTTTGTTTATTTGCCTAAATGAATACATCTTTTTGCCAGTGTAAAATATTATGCACTTTTCTAGAAAATCAATAGATACTTAAACAAAATATAATTTAAATTACCTTCCATGATGTATACATATCTGCTGCGTGTCGTTGGCGCCAACGAAACTTTGCTCCTCGTTTCTATGTGACGTCATAAACAGAAGATTTCTAAAATTAAATCGTTTTTCATTGGACATTATTAGTCATGTAAATAATTTATTGCCATGTAGATTCTGGCCAGTCACCTTTAACCCTTTCGCTGCCAGAGGGTTATTTATTTATTGATCATCTATTTGCCTGAAGGTTTTCTAAGAAATTACTATATTATTAATTAATATAATTTTTTTTATTATTATTTGTTATTAGTAATATAATAATTATATATGTTTCCAAATCTGCTAGTATAATAATAATTAGTGTCGATGGTATAATTATCTATATATTTATTATGATTATTATTATAATTATTATTATCATTATTATTATTATTATTATTATTATTATTATTATAGAAACGGCAAAAGCCGTCCATATGGCAAATACGCCGAAAATAAAAGGGACGGCATATGCCGTCCCTATGGCAGTGAAAGGGTTAATGGAAAACGCAAGTTCCTTTTATAAATAAAACCGTATGAGCGCTATTCTATGACCGTTTTACATGATAGTCTACGTATACAATCATGTTAGATCTACATCTAAAACTTTTAAAATTGAAACTAGAGTTGATTTCTATATTCAAACTTACATTATTAATTGCTATGCAAAAAGTAGGCTTCGCGGCCACGAGCAAACTATAACGTATGCCGGGGAAAAAACCTAAACTCATAAGAGTAGGCTACATAGCTGATCCAGTGAATAAAGAATGTCTGCGTGTTGATGCATATCGTTAAAAACATTACTTTGACGTAACTAAAATTACAATAAATTAAGAGGGAAAAGTAGATCTATCTTTTATTTTCAGATTTGAAAAATGTTGGACGAGGAAACTTTCGCAATTTAGCACATATAATGTTCTAATGTCTCTCCTAACATTCTATATATCATTACAGATTATTTATTAAGCATGGCATTCAAGAAAAAAAATGTGCATGCTTTGTGGCATGGCATTTTATATAAAATGCTTTTTTTTGCAGTAGGGAATTTAAACTGTCTGTCAGAACGAATATGGACTATTTGTAAACGAATGTATTTCATTTTTGAGCCATATTCAAAGAAGTCTGATAAAAGTTCAAAAAACATTGGCATCATAAAATTATCACGTCATTTATTACGTCATAAGTAAAAATGTGTGCTGGTGCAGTATATTTGTAGATCTAATTACAAATTGGCGCCGTGTGAAAAGCCCATGTTACATTTTTTTTACAACAGCTAGATTTGTCTGTAGATTTGTGTAGATCTTAATGGTCTTTTTAGTAAGTAATTTTTAATTTTCCATTAGATTGTTGCCAGCTCTAGATCTAGATCTATATCTACTAGAAAATTAAAAAAAAAAGAGCTCAGATATTGGATAGAGTGGTAAATATTTTGTCGTTTAGGCTTTAGGATTCTGTTTCGCCGTATTCTATTTGTGCATCAGCTTTTTTGTGATGTGTCACTGTGGAGGCCTTTTAAATGACAATCAGAGATGTTTTATTTTCGATTCTAAATGGTCGTTCAGCATGACATTGTTAATGTATTGGTGATATTTTACCTTAATTCTATTTGATGGTTCCAGTATTTCTACTTTAATACGGTACAGCACTGTATCTATAGATCTAATCACCATTAGGACACCTTGCTTTACTATTAATTCTGTCTTACAACGGCTTGTCTAGATCGATATGGACTTTTAAGCCGGTGCTAGGGGGCATGGTAGGTAGCTTGCAATCACCGATACCGTCCATGAACAGGCTCTCAATACCGAACCTGCAACATTTTCAATTTTGTCGTGATGGGGTTTCGTTAGGGATTCTGTTTTTTCTCAATTTCTATTTTAAATTCCATTTTAGTTTCCTCTAATTGTTTTTTCGTCTAGGGCAACAAGTATTTATTTTCATTTGAGACACTGTTTTTTTTTTATGAAATGGCACGTACGTGTAATAATATAGAATGTTCTATTTTAACCGCCGCTGCGGATGTTTTTGAAAAATAACGCCATTTCCCTTATTATGCTGTTCAGCTTCAGCCGGTGCTAGGGGGTGTGGGCGATAGCTTGCACCCCATGAACAAGATAGATCAAACCAAGCCTGAAACATTTTCAGTTTTACCGTATTGGTTAATTTCTTATTTATTTTAGAAGTAAGGAATGCAGATTACTTGACAATACAGAGGTCTTATTTAACATATATAGATCTAGAAGTGGATTTGTCTAGCAATGCAACGGATTTCGTGATTTCCAAAACAACTCTTCATGAAACAGCTTAAGCGCTGCCTCCCTAGCTAACTTTTAAAACTAACCCTGATCTGGTGACATAGACATTTAGTTAAATCAACTGTGAATCTTATTTGAATTTGAAATAGATATCGATCGTTTTATAACAAAATAAAAGGTACAATCTTATTCCAGATCTAATTTTATTTTCCATATTTTATATTTCAGTCTTTGCAGAATGGTTCCAAATTCGAGATCATCTATTAATAAGGCCTATCTAATACACATGGGAAATATATATATTCATGTAAGTGAATTCATGTTTTCAAAAAGAAACACAATGCCTTTCATCAGCAAAAACAATTCTGACTACATGCATAATAACTAACATTCTCTCAACATGGTCTCAAGATATTAAGATGCGAAATAGCTACATGTCCAGAGCTGGACTCGTCCTCAAATACCACCGACAGTCGTTTTCGCCCAGCACTGATGGGGAGAATAGGTAACAAACATCCTTTCAGCGCCAAAAAACAAAATACATGTATTTTTTTTAGCAGACATGCCTTTATCGTCGTTTAACTGTTTTCTCACTTGAAAGTAAGCGATGTTTGCCAATGAGCTGGCAGCTATTACTTGTACTCAGAAAACACCATAATACATAGGTCTAAGTATATAGCAGTCGACTGATCTCGTCTAATCATAAACAATAAAAGAGAAAAGGAAAATTGTAATTTAAGAATATTTTTTGTTTGTTTTGTGTGTAGTTGCTCACAAGCTTATAAAATTATGTCAAATGTTGTAACTAAGGCAAACTGCAATTTTGTTGTCCATAATATTTTCCCATTGTTTTTTGTAGTTTATTTTAGCTATTCATTTGAAAGGCAATATGGATTATAAATCAATAAGACTTTCTATCACTCCAAAACTTTGAGGCTTTGTGTCCAACAATATATTTCCAATCCGAGTTTTTTATATGTGGTACTTGAGAAATTAATACACACTTAGCCTATACTTTATAGGTATATGACTTGGAAACAAAACAACCAAATATACATATACATGTTATGTATTGCATTTTAATGACACAATTACAAAATCCAGCTTGTATTTTGCAACTATTTTTTAAAGTAAAATGTTACGATACTTTTAATTAAGTTACAATATAAGATCTTAATCTTTTTTTTTATATTTTATTTACAATAAAAATACGAGTACATGTACATAATGAAAATAAACTGCAATAGCAGTCTATTCCAAAATAATTTGAGTTTTTACATCTCCGTCCATACTAGGCTTATTCACTCTACATGTAAAGAATGGAAGATCTATTGAAATCAATTCTAAAACAATACTGATTAACTTCTTCAGAACTGACACTGTAAAATACATATTATATATTGAACTTTTGTCCTGGTGAATAAAATATTATATTTGAAATATGAGTGACATACTCATTCAAGTGATGTTTCAATGCTGGTAAATTCAGATATGTTCAATGTTTCTGGCCATCATGTAAAGATAAATAGGGTCCTTACTCGTTATACAATCTGGCAGGACATTCTAATATAGACAGCCCATGTGTATGTTTTGAATTGTCTTCCTTATGAAAGTTGTATATATACTATACCAGATTCATTCAATTTGATCTATACTTAATTGCTTGCAAAATACAAACTTTTTTTCTGATGCCTGTTAAATCAATAAATAATTTAAAGCCTAAAATATGTTTTTAACTCTAGACCATATTTTTCTTGGAATACTCCGTCTTATCTCCGCAACAGCGTCCATGCGGTCTTCTACGTGATCCTGATTGTCGTCTGTCTTCACACTACAACAGCAAAAGCGCTTGAAAAATCTGACAAATCCACAGTCATTCTCTTTAATATCTTTTTGTTGTTCAAATGCTGCACTGTAGTCGAGTTCTATGTTCCGAACGTTTACTGCCCTTGTGATCTTTCCAAAGCTATTTTCTGACACTTGACCCGGAAGTATATATTCTGGTTCCGGCGGATGTTCCGCTGCATGTCCGTTAGATGGAATGTCTTTTCGACATTCAGATACATTTGCATTTCTCTTAGACCCTAGAACTTCACTGACTTTTAAGATCAAATTATTATTTGGTTTAGTGTATATGAATGAACTGCTTATGGTATTTGTGGCAGTATTGTTTGGGATTTTTTCTTTCACTTCTTCGATATTAATAGGAGGTAACCGAATTGACTGCAATGGTTTAAAATCTTTTGGAAATGACTCTGCAGGCATATGCGGAATGCTGGTGGTATGAGATGAACTGAGATCATGTTTTAAAACTGATGGATTATTTTCTATTTTTGATGTTGAATTTCTGTTTTCTTTCAAAAGATCTTTAGATGAAATACCGTCAATTATTTGATCTATTTCATTTACAGCTACGTCAGACTTTTTAAAAACGCTATCATTCTCTTTCTGTTGTTTCGTAACTGGATGATCGTTTTTTTTTGTGTATCTGTGGTCAAATCAATGTCAACATTTGAACTGGTAACCCATTTTGCTACTGCGTCTATGTTAATATGCCCATATTTATCAAATGCCTTAACACACGTATCCTTGCGTGTTTTGTTCCCTAAATACTTACTTGTTCCTGGCTCATTAGTAATTTTAACTCTGTCATGTCGGCGCATTTCATTATCAATTCCAAGGTGAACAGTACTAGGTCTGAACTCCACTTTACTAATCTGAGGTTTGATAGCGTCATCAATCTCGTACAGAAGATCCTCGGCAGTCAACAAAATATCCTCACTTACTTTTCTTTCTTTATCGCTACGGTCTGTTTTCCTTCTATCTGTCTGAAAGTTTGGAATGCCATATTTAACTATTAATTAATTGTGTTACAAAGAATAATCAAAGTTTGAAAACAAATGTTTTCAAAAAGTAAGCAATAAAACTTAATATCATATCATTAAGTATATATGATATCTTAATTTGGCTATGTGCATCTTTTTGAAAGAGAAAAGTAGTATTATTACATAAAGAAAAGTAAACAAGTGATTGATTTATTATAGTACTGTACAGTTATAAAGTTAAGAATGAAAGTATAGGGTAGGAAAAGCAATACGGTACAAACTGGGATACCTTTTTACTTGACCCTGATTCGACAACAGTGAAATCCTCTCCTGTACCTCCATTGCTATTTCTAGTAAGAGTTGTTTGGTTTTCTGGCATTTCAAAAAGAAGTAGTTTACTCTGTTGAATGATAAAAAAATATTATTTGTCAAGAGAACAACACGTAACGCAGCATGCCTCCGCCATATTCTTGCTAATTTACATGAATATTTATGCTAATTTTCATAAATTTTTTCAAGAATGTATTTTAAAATTAAAACATTGTAAAGTGAACTAAGAAAGTAATTTACACATTGCAAAGGGTACTTAATTAAAATCCACGAAAAATACCAAAAAGAGACCAAAAGGTGCAAAAATAGCCCATCCTGCGTTAGTCACGCAGTAGAAATATGGTGAAAAAATACTGCTACATCAGTCATTAATCGCACAACCTTGTTCTCAAGTTTGATTTTCTTGAAATAGTGTGGCTCATCTGGAGAGGCAAGCAGCTTTAAAATTGTTTAATAAATTTTAATATTGTATTATGTCAGATGTCTTCCCATATACATGTAGATTCAACTCCTTTTTATCATAATAAACAAAATTCATCGACTTTTATCAACCTCTGTTTTTCTTCTATAGCAAATAATTAAAAAAAACTCATATTCCAAGTGAAAAATGAAAAAGTGCTATTTGTAGCAAAGCGTTTAAAAAAAAAAATCTTAATCATATAAGCCGAGTTCATAACCACTGTAAGGTGTCGTAATTATTGGTTTATATGCCGAATTTATTTTAGTTCGATTGTGTAGGAAGCTATAAGCTTATAGACACACTTTCCAATCCGTTCCTGGAACCAGTACTGAGCAATGAGTGTAAAGTTTCTTGCTCAAGGAAACAACGACTTGCCCCTAACGGGGTTTGAACCCATGTCGTAATTATTCGATGCAAAGATCGGATCATTTAAGGCTGTGCACATCCAGACCGTCAATATTTAGACAATGGGAAGAAGTACAATAACTCTCTGTCTTTATAAAGGAAAGTACTTTGTACGTACTTTATTCACCCAAAGTAAACTTAAAGCAATTGAAATGTATGCTATATCCCCCCCCCAAAAAAAAAGAACAACAACAAAAACAAAACAAAAACAAACACAAAAAAAACACCATAAAAAACACACTTTTATATCAACAAAAAAAACAACAACAAAAAACACAACAAAACAAGTATTGGCTATTTATATAAGGGCAGTTTTGTCAGATCAAAACTATTATGATAGTGATATTGAATTTATTCTCTCTTTCCAAAATCAATGAATGAATACATCTTTTTGTCAGTGGTGGCGCGATAGCTCAGTTGGTTAAACCATTGATTATCACGGGACCTGAGGTCCCGGGTTCGATCCTGGGTTTCATCCTTGGGATTTTTCAGAGACACTTTCAGTGTTTCCCACCTACCTAGAGGTGTACTGGTAAGAAATCCAGGTAATCCTCTCATGTATCAGTGCTATACACTGGGCATGTAAAAGAACCAAGGGGTCTATTCAATAAGAGCTAGGGACTGGTTCCCGGATTCCCTTGTATCTTATAGCTGTCTCTTAAATGTAAACAATGTATACCTGCTTAGAGTGCTCGTAATCGATCTTAAAGCCGTATGATGTGGAAGAAGTAGAAGTAGAAATTCTGTCATAACGACCAATTAACAATTAATGGAGTTTTCCCTGATTAGTCAGATAAATTTTAATAAGTTAAATATTAAAGATACATACATCTAGGGAGTAGGCTTATCATGGAAAAAGAGCAAGTGAATAAATGCACTAGTTCTACGACTAGTTAAGCGTCGAATCTTTGTTTATTTGCCTAAATGAATACATCTTTTTGCCAGTGTAAAATATTATGCACTTTTCTAGAAAATCAATAGATACTTAAACAAAATATAATTTAAATTACCTTCCATGATGTATACATATCTGCTGCGTGTCGTTGGCGCCAACGAAACTTTGCTCCTCGTTTCTATGTGACGTCATAAACATAAGATTTCTAAAATTAAATCGTTTTTCATTGGACATTATTAGTCACGAAAATAACTTATTGCCATGCAGATTCTGGCCGGTCACCTTTAACCCTTTCGCTGCCAGAGGGTTACTTATTTATTGATCATCTATTTGCCTGAAGGTTTTCTAAGAAATTACTATATTATTAATTAATATAATTTTTTTTTATTATTATTTGTTATTAGTAATATAATAATTATATATGTTTCCAAATCTGCTAGTATAATAATAATTAGTGTCGATGGTATAATTATCTATATATTTATTATGATCATTATTATTATATTTATTATTATTATTATTATTATTATTATTATAGAAACGCCAAAAGCCGTCCATATGGCAAATACGCCGAAAATAAAAGGGACGGCATATGCCGTCCCTATGGCAGTGAAAGGGTTAATGGAAAACGCAAGTTCCTTTTATAAATAAAACCGTATGAGCGCTATTCTATGATCGTTTTACATGATAGTCTACGTATACAATCATGTTAGATCTACATCTAAAACTTTTAAAATTGAAACTAGAGTTGATTTCTATATTCAAACTTACATTATTAATTGCTATGCAAAAAGTAGGCTTCGCGGCCCCTAGCAAACTATAACGTATGCCGGGGAAAAAACCTAAGCTCATAAGAGTAGGCTACATAGCTGATCCAGTGAATAAAGAATGTCTGCGTGTTGATGCATATCGTTAAAACATTACTTTGACGTAACTAAAATTACAATAAATTAAGAGGGAAAAGTAGATCTATCTTTTATTTTCAGATTTGAAAAATGTTGGACGAGGAAACTTTCGCAATTTAACACATATAATGTTCTAATGTCTCTCCTAACATTCTATATATCATTACAGATTATTTATTAAGCATGGCATTCAAGAAAAAAAATGTGCATGCTTTGTGGCATGGCATTTTATATAAAATGCTTTTTTTTGCAGTAGGGAATTTAAACTGTCTGTCAGAACGAATATGGACTATTTGTAAACGAATGTATTTCATTTTTGAGCCATATTCAAAGAAGTCTGATAAAAGTTCAAAAAACATTGGCATCATAAAATTATCACGTCATTTATTACGTCATAAGTAAAAATGTGTGCTGGTGCAGTATATTTGTAGATCTAATTACAAATTGGCGCCGTGTGAAAAGCCCATGTTACATTTTTTTTACAACAGCTAGATTTGTCTGTAGATTTGTGTAGATCTTAATGGTCTTTTTAGTAAGTAATTTTTAATTTTCCATTAGATTGTTGCCAGCTCTAGATCTAGATCTATATCTACTAGAAAATTAAAAAAAAAGAGCTCAGATATTGGATAGAGTGGTAAATATTTTGTCGTTTAGGCTTTAGGATTCTGTTTCGCCTTATTCTATTGTGCATCAGCTTTTTTGTGATGTGTCACTGTGGAGGCCTTTTTAAATGACAATCAGAGATGTTTTATTTTCGATTCTAAATGGTCGTTCAGCATGACATTGTTAATGTATTGGTGATATTTTACCTTAATTCTATTTGATGGTTCCAGTATTTCTACTTTAATACGGTACAGCACTGTATCTATAGATCTAATCACCATTAGGACACCTTGCTTTACTATTAATTCTGTCTTACAACGGCTTGTCTAGATCGATATGGACTTTTAAGCCGGTGCTAGGGGGGCATGGTAGGTAGCTTGCAATCACCGATACCGTCCATGAACAGGCTCTCAATACCGAACCTGCAACATTTTCAATTTTGTCGTGATGGGGTTTCGTTAGGGATTCTGTTTTTTCTCAATTTCTATTTTAAATTCCATTTTAGTTTCCTCTAATTGTTTTTTCGTCTAGGGCACAAGTATTTATTTTCATTTGAGACACTGTTTTTTTTTTATGAAATGGCACGTACGTGTAATAATATAGAATGTTCTATTTTAACCGCCGCTGCGGATGTTTCTGAAAATAACGCCATTTTATTATTATGCTGTTCAGCTTCAGCCGGTGCTAGGGGGTGTGGGCGATAGCTTGCACCCCATGAACAAGATAGATCAAACCAAGCCTGAAACATTTTCAGTTTTACCGTATTGGGTTAATTTCTTATTTATTTTAGAAGTAAGGAATGCAGATTACTTGACAATACAGAGGTCTTATTTAACATATATAGATCTAGAAGTGGATTTGTCTAGCAATGCAACGGATTTCGTGATTTCCAAAACAACTCTTCATGAAACAGCTTAAGCGCTGCCTCCCTAGCTAACTTTTAAAACTAACCCTGATCTGGTGACATAGACATTTAGTTAAATCAACTGTGAATCTTATTTGAATTTGAAATAGATATCGATCGTTTTATAACAAAATAAAAGGTACAATCTTATTCCAGATCTAATTTTATTTTCCATATTTTATATTTCAGTCTTTGCAGAATGGTTCCAAATTCGAGATCATCTATTAATAAGGCCTATCTAATACACATGGGAAATATATATTCATGTAAGTGAATTCATGTTTTCAAAAAGAAACACAATGCCTTTTATCAGCAAAAACAATTCTGACTACATGCATAATAACTAACATTCTCTCAGCATGGTCTCAAGATATTAAGATGCGAAATAGCTACATGTCCAGAGCTGGACTCGTCCTCAAATACCACCGACAGTCGTTTTCGCCCAGCACTGATGGGGAGAATAGGTAACAAAACATCCTTTCAGCGCCAAAAACAAAATACATGTATTTTTTTTAGCAGACATGCCTTTATCGTCGTTTAACTGTTTTCTCACTTGAAAGTAAGCGATGTTTGTCAATGAGCTGGCAGCTATTACTTGTACTCAGAAAACACCATAATACATAGGTCTAAGTATATAGCAGTCGACTGATCTCGTCTAATCATAAACAATAAAAGAGAAAAGGAAAATTGTAATTTAAGAATATTTTTTGTTTGTTTTGTGTGTAGTTGCTCACAAGCTTATAAAATTATGTCAAATGTTGTAACTAAGGCAAACTGCAATTTTGCTGTCCATAATATTTTCCCATTGTTTTTTGTAGTTTATTTTAGCTATTCATTTGAAAGGCAATATGGATTATAAATCAATAAGACTTTCTATCACTCCAAAACTTTGAGGCTTTGTGTCCAACAATATATTTCCAATCCGAGTTTTTTATGTGGTACTTGAGAAATTAATACACACTTAGCCTATACTTTATAGGTATATGACTTGGAAACAAAACAACCAAATATACATATACATGTTATGTATTGCATTTTAATGACACAATTACAAAATCCAGCTTGTATTTTGCAACTATTTTTTAAAGTAAAATGTTACGATACTTTTAATTAAGTTACAATATAAGATCTTAATCTTTTTTTTTATATTTTATTTACAATAAAAATACGAGTACATGTACATAATGAAAATAAACTGCAATAGCAGTCTATTCCAAAATAATTTGAGTTTTTACATCTCCGTCCATACTAGGCTTATTCACTCTACATGTAAAGAATGGAAGATCTATTGAAATCAATTCTAAAACAATACTGATTAACTTCTTCAGAACTGACACTGTAAAATACATATTATATATTGAACTTTTGTCCTGGTGAATAAAATATTATATTTGAAATATGAGTGACATACTCATTCAAGTGATGTTTCAATGCTGGTAAATTCAGATATGTTCAATGTTTCTGGCCATCATGTAAAGATAAATAGGGTTCTTACTCGTTATACAATCTGGCAGGACATTCTTATTTTAGACAGCCCATGTGTATGTTTTGAATTGTCTTCCTTATGAAAGTTGTATATATACTATACCAGATTCATTCAATTTGATCTATACTTAATTGCTTGCAAAATACAAACTTTTTTCTGATGCAAGTTAAATCAATAAATAATTTAAAACCTAAAATATGTTTTAACTCTAGACCATATTTTTCTTGGAATACTCCGTCTTATCTCCGCAACAGCGTCCATGCGGTCTTCTACGTGATCCTGATTGTCGTCTGTCTTCACACTACAACAGCAAAAGCGCTTGAAAAATCTGACAAATCCACAGTCATTCTCTTTAATATCTTTTTGTTGTTCAAATGCTGCACTGTAGTCGAGTTCTATGTTCCGAACGTTTACTGCCCTTGTGATCTTTCCAAAGCTATTTTCTGACACTTGACCCGGAAGTATATATTCTGGTTCCGGCGGATGTTCCGCTGCATGTCCGTTAGATGGAATGTCTTTTCGACATTCAGATACATTTGCATTTCTCTTAGACCCTAGAACTTCACTGACTTTTAAGATCAAATTATTATTTGGTTTAGTGTATATGAATGAACTGCTTATGGTATTTGTGGCAGTATTGTTTGGGATTTTTTCTTTCACTTCTTCGATATTAATAGGAGGTAACCGAATTGACTGCAATGGTTTAAAATCTTTTGGAAATGACTCTGCAGGCATATGCGGAATGCTGGTGGTATGAGATGAACTGAGATCATGTTTTAAAACTGATGGATTATTTTCTATTTTTGATGTTGAATTTCTGTTTTCTTTCAAAAGATCTTTAGATGAAATACCGTCAATTATTTGATCTATTTCATTTACAGCTACGTCAGACTTTTTAAAAACGCTATCATTCTCTTTCTGTTGTTTCGTAACTGGATGATCGGTTTTTTGTGTATCTGTGGTCAAATCAATGTCAACATTTGAACTGGTAACCCATTTTGCTACTGCGTCTATGTTAATAAGCCCATATTTATCAAATGCTTTAACACACGTATCCTTGCGTGTTTTGTTCCCTAAATTCTTACTTGTTCCTGGCTCATTAGTAATTTGAACTCTGTCATGTCGGCGCATTGCATTATCAATTCCAAACTGAACAGTACTAGGTCTGAACTCCACTTTACTAATCTGAGGTTTGATAGCGTCATCAATCTCGTGCAGAAGATCCTCGGCTGTCAACAAAATATCCTCACTTACTTTTCTTTCTTTATCGCTACGGTCTGTTTTCCTTCTATCTGTCTGAAAGTTTGGAATGCCATATTTAACTATTAATTAATTGTGTTACAAAAAATAATCAAAGTTTGAAAACAAGTGTTTTCAAAAAGTAAGCAATAAAACTTAATATCATATCATTAAGTATATATGATATCTTAATTTGGCTATGTGCATCTTTTTGAAAGAGAAAAGTAGTATTATTACATAAAGAAAAGTAAACAAGTGATTGATTTATTATAGTACTGTACAGTTATAAAGTTAAGAATGAAAGTATAGGGTAGGAAAAGCAATACGGTACAAACTGGGATACCTTTTTACTTGACCCTGATTCGACAACAGTGAAATCCTCTCCTGTACCTCCATTGCTATTTCTAGTAAGAGTTGTTTGGTTTTCTGGCATTTCAAAAAGAAGTAGTTTACTCTGTTGAATGATAAAAAAATATTATTTGTCAAGAGAACAACACGTAACGCAGCATGCCTCCGCCATATTCTTGCTAATTTACATGAATATTTATGCTAATTTTCATAAATTTTTTCAAGAATGTATTTTAAAATTAAAACATTGTAAAGTGAACTAAGAAAGTAATTTACACATTGCAAAGGGTACTTAATTAAAATCCACGAAAAATACCAAAAAGAGACCAAAAGGTGCAAAAATAGCCCATCCTGCGTTAGTCACGCAGTAGAAATATGGTGAAAAATACTGCTACATCAGTCATTAATCGCACAACCTTGTTCTCAAGTTTGATTTTCTTGAAATAGTGTGGCTCATCTGGAGAGGCAAGCAGCTTTAAAATTGTTTAATAAATTTTAATATTGTATTATGTCAGATGTCTTCCCATATACATGTAGATTCAACTCCTTTTTATCATAATAAACAAAAATTCATCGACTATTATCAACCTCAGTTTTTCTTCTATGGCAAATAATTAAAAAAAAACTCATATTCCAAGTGAAAAATGAAGAAGTGCTATTTGTAGCAAAGCGTTTACCCAAACAAAAACATCTTAATCATATAAGCCGAGTTCATAACCACTGTAAGGTATCGTAATTATTTGTTTATATGCCGAATTTATTTTAGTTCGATTGTGTAGGAAGCTATAAGCTTATAGACACACTTTACAATCCGTTCCTGGAACCAGTACTGAGCAATGAGTGTAAAGTTTCTTGCTCAAGGAAACAACGACTTGCCCCTAACGGGGTTTGAACCCATGTCGTAATTATTCAATGCAAAGATCGGATCATTAAAGGCTTTGCACATCCAGACCGTCAATATTTAGACAATGGGAAGAAGTACCATAACTCTCTGTCTTTATAAAGGAAAGTACTTTGTACGTACTTTATTCACCCAAAGTAAACTTAAAGCAATTGAAATGTATGCTATACCCCCCCCCAAAAAAAAAAGAACAACAACAAAAACAAACAAAAAAGTGCTATACACTGGGCATGCAAAAGAACCAAGGGGTCTATTCAATAAGAGCTAGGGACTGGTTCCCGGATTCCCTTGTATCTTATAGCTGTCTCTTAAATGTATACAATGTATACCTGCTTAGAGTGCTCGTAATCGATCTTAAAGCAGTATGATGTAGAAGAAGTAGAAGTAGAAATTCTGTCAAAACGACCAATTAACAATTAATGGAGTTTTCGCTGATTAGTCAGATAAAATTTAATAAGTTAAATATTAAAGATACATACATCTAGGGAGTAGGCTTACCATGGAAAAAGAGCAAGTGAATAAATGCACTAGTTCTACGACTAGTTAAGCGTCATTTGCCTAAATGAATACATCTTTTTGCCAGTGTAAAATATTATGCACATTTCTAGAAAATCTATAGATACTTAAACAAAATATAATTTAAATTACCTTCCATGATGTATACATATCTGCTGAATGTCGTTGGCGCCAACGAAACTTTGCTCCTCGTTTCTATGTGACGTCATAAACATAAGATTTCTAAAATTAAATCGTTTTTCATTGGACATTATTAGTCACGTAAATAACTTATTGCCATACAGATTCTGGCCGGTCACCTTTAACCCTTTCGCTGCCAGAGGGTTATTTATTTATTGATCATCTATTAGCCTGAAGCTTTTCTAAGAAATTACTATATTATTAATTAATATAATTATTATTTTTTGTTATTATTATTTGTTATTAGTGATATAATCATTATATATGTTTCCAAATCTGCTAGTATAATAATAATTAGTGTCGATGGTATAATTATCTATATATTTATTATGATTATTATTATAATTATTATTATTATTATAATTATTATTATAGAAACGGCAAAAGCCGTCCATATGGCAAATACGCCGAAAATAAAAGGGACGGCATATGCCGTCCCTATGGCAAGGAAAACGCAAGTTCCTTTTATAAATAAAACCGTCTGAGCGCTATTTTATGATCGTTTTACATGATAGTCTACGTATACAATCATGTTAGATCTACATCTAAAACTTTTAAAATTGAAACTAGAGTTGATTTCTATATTCAAACTTACATTAATAATTGCTATGCAAAAAGTGGGCTTCGAGGCCACTAGCAAACTTTAACGTATGTCGGGGAAAAAACCTCGGACCGCAATACCTTAAACAATTGAACTAGAGTGTTCAAACTTCCACAGAGTGATTTGGGCTTTGGTTGCATTTGCCGGCTAAATGGCCAATGGTGTTAGACAAATTCACACCATTGCTTTACATTATCTGTCACTTTTGTCATATTTAATATGTTATGTACAGTATATGCACCAGCCGATTGTAATCCTAGTTCCTCCACGAAAAGCGGAGAGTGCGATTTTTGGATAACCATGCAACCCCGGTAAAAGTGCCGCTCTGCGGGAACAGTATGATTAATTCCCGCGAAAATAACCACAACTTGGACATATCCAGTGTTTGGACAACCCACCCATATCTGCCCCTGGACCCCTGCTACAACCCTGAAAAAAATTCAACACTCTAAGGCTTACTATAAGAAACTAAATACAAAACCACTGATAAAATTATATAAAAAAAATTCCACTATTAAAATTATAGTTATAGACTGTAACTATAATTTTGATTGTGGAATTATTTTTTTTTATAATGTTATCGGTGGTTTTGTATTTGGTATCTTATAGTAAGCCTATGAGTGTTGAATTGTTTTTTTTTTTCAGGGTTGTAGCAGGGGTCCAGGGGCAGATAGGGTGGGATGTCCAAACACTGATACTGCCACATGTAAACATATCCACTGTTATTCTTTGGCGGCAAAACCATTGCATTTACCCGGCTGTGCGGGACCGTGTAAAAGCTACAGGTCGCCTTGGACTGGGACCGACAGTCCCAACATTACAATTGACTGTAGCATTATAATATGTTTGGTTGGTTGGTTGATTTTACGCCGATTTCAACAAATGCTTTTGGTAATAACTCGACTGTCGGTCACCTATATAACAAACTTTCCTAGACTAACCATTATTTACCAATTTCTTAGCAAATGACCGACTACTTGTCACACATTATTTTCTTGATCAGTGGTGAGAGTAAATGGCCATTACACGTAATGTCCGAGATCAACTTTAAAGGAGAAATCACGCCTTGTCGAGCATCAAACCAGCGACCTTTGGACGATCTAACTTTGATACCATCATATTGAGCTATCTAGGCGGATGCCTTATATAACATGTACAAGAGAATTGCAATCATTTTGAAAGTTAGATCTTTAAAGAAGGCAAGGTGTAGTTTTAAGATTTGTTTAAGTGTCGATTGGAATCGTATTAACCATTTGGTCAATGAGACAATTTTAATGAAACAAGCTAGATATATGTAAACTTTTCGTTAACAAATTTATTTTTCAACTGGCTTGAAAATGAATCTATGGGCAAATATGTTTGGTGTATAATTGTGTAACGTTACAAATAACAAATTTGTGTGCATATAATTACTAGAAAAAATATGTAAACCCTTTTTTCTAGTGATGTATGGTCTATATAAAATTGTTAAGTGTTAATAATTAAGTCTGTTGAAGTTTGAAGATCTGTCAGTAATTATCTTGAAGCATCACTTTAATTCCGATAATTATTTAATTTCTATATACATACTGCTACATTAATACTTAGAACTGCACAGAAAATAAATGAAAATTTTACAACTCATGCATATTCAAATGGCATATTAAGGAGAACTACTGGTCCAACAGAACTTAACCACGAAATCAAATAATTGCTTGTGTCGTCTCTGGGTGATTTATCTAACGATGACACAGCAGACATAAGTTTATCAGTGTGACATGGATGTAATTGATAAAATGGCCTTCCTAAATAAGGATGTTCCGTTTGTGTCAGGAAGGTCCACTTGTCCTCTTCTAACCTCTCCCGGTAATACATCGGAACTAGTTCCCAAACCTTGGCCAATGACACAAGACTTCCATTGGAATTATATACATTAAAATAAAGAACAGGTACCGAATAACTTTCACTATAAAGCACGTGGTATTCAAAAGTCAGCACTTGCTTATTGCTACTTTCACACACTGGAGAGTCGTCAGTCTCGTCTGATTCCATTTCGTTGCATATCCCATGTAGGTCTTTACTTTTTTCACTGTCATTTTTAAGACTACAAATTTGTACAATTTTCTTCACAATATACGTACTACCGTTGAAATTTGACAGCTCCCATGTGTCTGATAAAGTCTTCGATCGCCTGTATAAGTCTTCCATGCAAGACTTGCACTCCTCTTTGTTTAATAATCCTGTTTTCATCATTTTTGGCTGCCAACTTATTTCCTTTGTACACTACTTTCACTTTAAATGTTTGATTTCCGGTTTCAGTTTTGTCATCACAAATAAATTTATTTCCGTATTTAATCTATACGTTAATTGATTATTAGTGAAACTGGAAGAAAATTTTAGTAGATATTTTATTTAAACACTGCTTTGGTCCAATAATTTCATTTAATCTAAGTTTTGTTTCATGTAACGTGATATGGACGATAATACTCAAAAGATTTTATGCGTAAATATATTATTTGTGGGAGTGTTTCCGGTTTAAAAATGGTAAATTAACATTTTGTATTTTTATTGATCACAGTGTAATTTAACGTCTATCCGATAAAATAAAAGTATTGAATTGCATATAATTAATCAATACATAGTTTTGAATGTCTTTCATAGTCCTCATTGTCGTCAAAAAGTAAATTATTATTGTTCAGTTATTAATCTAAATGTAAATATAGTGGGTGGAGTATACACATTTGCTAGATGATAATTTATTGATATAACACAACGCTTTATTACATAATTTGAGTGCCTTTGCTAGATGATAATTTAATAATATAACACAACGCTTTATTACATAATTTGAGTGCATTCGTTAATATTATTTTGATGAGTGATATCATTTATTTGTCTCGCAATCATTTTCTTAATTCCAGATCTACAAAAATTATGAGACAGAGTCAAAATATTATAATGTGCCATGTAGCTAGATTCTGAAATATTTTTGTTCTGCGCTTCTAGATATTGCCCATTCACAAGATAGCACAATATCTTATCATGTAGCATAATTAAGTGGACTACAAAAATTATTTATACATCATATATTAACTTGAATTTTGTACTAACAATACATTTTTTTCCATTTTAGATTCGGTTCATACTTATTCAAAACAGGGCTGGGAAGACCCGGCTGGCCAAGTGGTACATGCATTTTGATGATGATGAAAAACAGAAATTAATTGAAGAGGTCCATGCAGTCGTTACTGTCAGAGATGCTAAACACACAAATTTTGTTGAGGTTCAACCTTTTCTATACATGTATCTTCAATATATAAATGATAATAAATAAAAAATAAATAGATACTTCAATTTATGTGTTAAATTGTGTGATTTTATTTAGTTGTTCAGTATTTAGGTGTAGTTTACTCAAAATTAGTAAGAAGTAAATCAGCATCCAGGGATTTTTTTTTGGCTTATTTTATAGGCGAAATTCGGTCATATTCCCAATTGAAAATAGTATATTATTTTCCCAATCCACAGGAAAAAATTCACAATTGAAAGTTACAAAATAAAAATATTGAATAACAAATTCTAAAATCTTTGAAAATAAGGGCTTTTAATGTTATAGTGCTTAAGTGTTTGAGGATGCTATCCTAGACAGTGATTCTTTGCATTTATCTAATCAATGCAAAATTTAAGTCAAGCATTGTTCCCCAATTTTAAACAAAACATCGCTTAAATTTCCAATTCCATGGGTATGGGTCATGTTCCCAAAATCCTGGAAAAAATCGCTGGCATGGAAAACTAATAAAATGCTCAACACAAGAGATAGTATATTTTTATTTCAGTTTCGTAACTTCAAGATAGTATACAGACGTTATGCTGGATTATATTTCTGTATATGTGTGGATGTCAGTGACAACAATCTAGCATATTTGGAAGCTATACACAACTTTGTAGAAGTCCTCAATGAATATTTCCATAATGTTTGTGAACTGGATCTAGTCTTCAACTTTTATAAGGTATGAATACAAGTTATTTTTTATACTGATACTTATTTTCTGTTCTCAATTTAACTTTATGTTAAGTCTTTTATACAGACAATAATATACATGATTCTTTCCATACAAAAGTTTGCTGCCTTTCATACATAATTCAGTCCAACATGTTAATGTAAATACATGTAGTGATAACATTGTGAATAGTGTTTTTAGTAATAAGTAAATTAGTGTATCTAATGATAAAGATACCATATGTTTGCATAAAAAACCTAGTCAGAACTTTGTATGAATCGGTCACATTCAGGAATTTGACTAATGTTTTTATTGAATTGATGTTGTCGTTGTATATTTGCAGGTATATAGTGTTGTAGATGAGATGTTTCTGGCTGGAGAAATCAGAGAGACTAGCCAAACAAAAGTTTTAAAGCAATTGTTGATGCTTTCTTCATTAGAATAGTGCTTACAAAAATCACCGGGATTCTTCATTCATCATTGAAAAGCTGCAATCTAAGTTCTCAGCAATCTAAGTTCTCATGATAAATTCTACAAGTTAGGAAAATCACTGACTGTAGTTTATGTATAACAGTGATTTTTGCTTAACATTTAACTTGCTGTATTTCTTACATGTCCTTCTATAAATTTGGTAAAGTCCATTCAGACTATTAGGGATTTCAGTATCTGAGTGCATGTACAAAAATTGAGCTAACAATAGTATAGAGCCTGGCCAGCCTGAACCAACTTGTAGGCTGGCCTGGCTCCATACTGGTTGGTATGGATAGCCATTTTCGTTTCAGCTGATTAAAGGATTCCAAATACTAGGTACAACCTGTCATGTTATGGCGTTTATTGAATATCTATTTTTAAGAGTGATTGCAATGATTGATGTTTTGTTGAAATTTGATTATCTCAAATTTAAATTATTTAAATTTTTGAAAGATTATAAAATAATCAGAAATGCATATTAAACATGGTCGCAGTATAATGAACAACTTATTTCAGATAAGAATATGTAAAAATTTTATTTTAACTTTTTGATTATTCTGATTGTTTATATTTTTTAAATTCAGATTTATAGGAAGTACAAAAACTATTCTGATAATTGCTGATATGTTTTAAATGTAACAAGATAGATGTCACAGTAGTTTTACAATGGTTGCAAATAAATATTTAGGTGGATTTTATGAATTTGGTCAAACTTAGATGATCTTGTATATCATATCTGAGTCTACAATAAAGTGAAAACTAAATTTAGATTACTTTACTTTTATGTAAAATGCAGTGAAAAATACTTGGGACTTTTACAAGTTTTCATACAATGTAAATGTCCTATACATGGAAACACATTTAATACTATGTTATAATCTGTTTTTGTATGTTTTATTGTGCAATTTCTTAGATACAATACATGGAACATATTGTAATTATCTGTAACCATGTCCATTGTCATTAATGGTCCATCTAATATAAGGATAGTACAGTAGAACTTGTGTAAAAAGGCCACTGATATTTCTCTTAATGAAGTGTTCTAACAATGGATGAACCTGAGAGAACTATTGAAATAAATTCACAGATAAACAACTTTCAAATTAAATGAACTCCGCATTTCATGAACGTTTTTCTTCGTATTTGAATAAATCTACATTCCAACACTTTTCAATTTCAAATAAATTTCGTTCATATCATGGCGTTCATAGTATTATATAATTGTATCTTTTTGTATGCATGTAAGTTTAGAATATACAATTTTGTTTGAATAACTGTGGTTATAGGAATCACTGTACCTTCTTGTAGTTCATGCATTTGTATGGAGAGAGAACTTTCACTTATTTTGTACATAAATATTGTAATATATATTAATTTTGAATAGATTATGTTATAGACATGTACTTAAATTGTGCAAATAAACAATAAATGTGCATGATTTGTTATCTTGTTTAACCCTCAGTCTGCTAGTGGCAGCTGAAACCATTCTTGCAACCAGTATAGACCAAGATCTACGGACACATCATTGCCTTCTAATCATAGTCCGCACTGTACTTGATTTAAAATTTTCCTAAATATGATGAATGGATTTTGTCTAGATGGACATGTTTATTAAGGATATTTAGCATGGCAAGGGTTCAAAATATGACTTTACTGTTTTTATCACCATATGTCTATTCCATTAATAAAGTAAAGGCTAGTGTTTTCTTGTTGGAATTATTGTATTAAGTTGGTGTAAATCTGAAGGTGTGCAGTCTCGAGTGCTGCTTAAAAGCTCCACTGGAGCCCAACAACCTTTTAACATAATTTTAACTATATCAATCAACTGGCGTACTTGAATCAGACAATTACGAACAAGATATTAAAGGAATATACTCTGAACATTAAACTAAAAATAGATTAAAAGTGCAGTTATTGTACAATCAAAATGACTGCAATGGAACACCTATGTAAGATATGATCTGAAACTATGACACAAGTTATTGGTATAACCATTTTTTAGATAATCTTGAAATGTTTCAGTCATCTAGGTGACAGTACAGGATAGTAATATCTGTAGAAGCAATTTGGATTACATTCAGTAATATAAAACTGGTTTGTAGTCAGTCATTATAACTTTTCTTGTTGACATCAATAATCCAGTTAGGAATATCATATAATTTGTAAATCCAATCTACTATATCAAATGTGGATGATGGTCATTGATGTTTTGCCTAGTTTTGTACTGACAACATAGGTCTGGTACACATTTTGAGTTTCTTGCACTTGAAATTTATAAAGCCATAATTTTCTAATGTTTTAAGTAATTTCATGTAGATAGCTTTATTTCCACACCAGCTTCTGTTTGTTGGCAATGTGTAAATTGTAACTATACACGGCCTGCTGTTTAACAGCCAATTGATTAGATAAATAATGGACAAAACATTAAAACTATTACCCTATCTTAATTGGAAACAAATATAATAAAACACAATATATGTTAGCATGATTTAATGATAGATTATTCAGCAAAGACTAACATGTACAAGAAATTGTGGAGCAAAAGATGTAGACTAGATCAAGACAAACATTGTTAGACTGGCACTGTAAGATGCTTAACACAGATGTGCAGAAAGCTTTCTTTACATTATAAGATAAACATACAATTACTGACAATTAGTTATAATAATTTTGTTGACCAATACATCTAAGGTAAGAAAGCTAATAAATCTCAATGTTTAAAAAAATGTTCCAGCTTAATATGTAAAAACTTAACTGTATAATTATCACTTGAAAGTCCATTGTCAGGACACACCCTGCTGATATCAAATAATAAAGAAATTTGGGTTTGACCACTTCGACCCCCGAGATCCTTCCAAAGAAAGGTAGTTAATAATAACATGCGAAATATCTAACAGGTAGGCTCTTAAAAAGTAAACCACTAGGTTTCTGCTACCTCTTGATTGTTTCATTTGAATATTTCAGTATCTTAATGTTACATTTCTTCATAAATTTACTGTTACATAAATGGAACAAATGTTATAACATTGCATAGAAATGACACATTTAAGGTTTTCAATCCATACCTTGCATAAATTCAACCAAAACTCAGCAGTTTGTGTACCTAATATCTGTTTGAAGACAGGACTAAGCTGACCTTTTGGCTTTGTTCTTGTCCACATCTGTAAGAGTGATCTTAACTTACTTGATAGATCTGTATTTGACAGTACTGTAAGTCTCAAACTATAAATATCATGAAGGTATGACAAATGTATAACCTTAAGCTGAAGTTAGCCATAAGAACCCATTCACCATAATAAAGCAGAAGCAAAACCCTGTTTAAATAACCCAATGATTTTTCCCATGATTTGACTAGAAGCAAAAATAATGATCTGGATTTCTATTTTTTAATTGAGATTTATGAAAACTGTTACAAGTTATAATACTTGCTTGCATGTTATGATATACTGAATAGATGTAGAATGCAAAGTTGATGACTTACACAGTGAATTAACTTATCAAATGCATGCAAAGATGCCTTGTTTAGGCCATTAGTAAAGTAAGGCTAGTAAAGTCTGACAAGGCCTTGAGGTTGTAAAACATTTTCAGTGGTCTGCCTCAAATCTCACAATTTTCATTGGTCAACTGATATACATGCTGTTTTTTTACCAATCAAATACCCGAGATATGAGTATGACCTTCAAAAATTCTTTACAGCCTTTGATCTAGGTGCTTCACAATAGACTGCTTAAATTTAGCTCTTTTTTAAAAAAATAAGCATTTTAACATTTCAAAATACCTATTATTAATAAATGAAAGTTCAGGATCTAAGCAGAACACGTCCTTTAAAAAAATTTAACATGGTTAATATGCAAAAGGATATTTTTGTATTATACGAAAAACAATAATGGAGATGGGAAATTATACCAGACATGCTAGAACTCACTAAACTGACAAACAAATGTCATGAAATTGTTTATATAACTTGCATCTTGCATCAACTTGCATCTTGAATTCTTTAATCAGAATGTTACCATTTTTAAACATAATATGCAAAATATTTGCAAAGTATTCAACCAAATAAAGCTGATAATAAAATTCAAAATGTGCGAACTAAAACATTACTTTCAGATAGAATAATGAAATATTTTCAATGAAAAATATCAAATGAATTGAAGCAATCAATGAATCTTTCTACAAATGAACAAGAGGCCCACAAAAATTACAAGGAATCCAAAGCATCGTAACTAAACTCAGTCATAATGGCAATAAGAAATTTATACAGTTTGTAACCAAGTCTATCTTATAATAACTTTTCATGTTAACTTGCCCTTTTCTTCTTTGAACTTTTGACATCACTATATAAAGAAAAAGAGCACCGCTAGGCGGAGCATTATATGCCCGAAAGTGATTTTTTTTTTTAGTAAAGATGAAGCATTTGTAAGACAGGGGAGTAAAATAAAGTATTAACTCCTTCAAATAACAATCCTCCTTTGAAGTTTCAATATTGTGGTCCAAATGGAACTTAAGTTATGCCCCAGAAACTGTTTTCAATTCTAAGGTAAAAGTGACCTTGACCTTTGACCTTGTGACCCCAAAATCAATAGGGGTCTTCTACCCAATATGGACAATCATCCTATGAAGTTTGAACACTGTAGGCTAAATGGAACTTAAGTTATGCTCAAGAAACTGTTTTCAATTTCTAAGTAATAGTGACATTGACCTTGTGACTGTAAGTTATGTTCCGAAAACTGTTTTCAGTTTTAAGTAATAGTGACCTTGACCTGATGACCCCAAAATCAATAGGGGTCTTCTACCCAATATGGACAATCATCCTATGAAGTTTGAATATTGTGGGCTAAATGGAACTTAAGTTATGCTCAAGAAACTGTTTTCAATTTCTAAGTAATAGTGACTTTGACCTTGTGACCCCAAAATCAATAGGGGTCTTCTACCCAATATGGACAATCATCCTATGAAGTTTGAACACTGTAGGCCAAATGGAACTTAAGTTATGCTCCGGAAACTGTTTTCAGTTTTAAGGTCATAGTGACCTTGACCTTTGACCTTATGACCCCAAAATCAATAGGGGTCTTCTACCCAATATGGACAATCATCCTATGAAGTTTGAATATTGTGGGCCAAATGGAACTTAAGTTATGCTCCGGAAACCAAACTGCTAACGGACGGACAGACGGACGGACGCTGAAGGACGGACGGACGCCAGGGTGTATAACATAATATGTCCGAAATTGTTTTGGGCAAATAAAAATGTGGCACCTACTTCATTAACATTTTTAGTTACGAAGGTGTGCATCATGTTTCAAGGGTATAAAATTGTATGAGATCAATTCATTTTATATTGTCATGATTGTGTGAAGCAGTAAAAAGTGTAAAAAATATTACATTGTTATACAGTTTATCACCTATTGTCTAATGCACACAATTTCACTCTTCATTCCACTTCTGTCTTGCAGATAGAAAAAAAAAGAAAAGATATAAAACACATAAAATAGTACATAACAATCCATACTATATGAAAATTTGATTAAAAATATACACAAATATTTACTAATACAACACTCAATATGAGAGGGATAGGAAGATAAAAATAAAAGCTCTATTTACAAAGGTATATAAAGTCCTAGGTGTATTAACCACACTCTAAACTTTCAGCACCATTTAAAAATGTATGAGCAAGAATTTTATAAAAGTAAGTTATATAACCATCATACAGTCATGTATTATACTGTCCATGAAGAATGCTAGGTCAGAATACCATCCCTTAAAATTGTGGAACCAGTCCAAGAATTCCTGTTGTTTGTTTGGTTTAAATTACAAGTAGTTTTTTTTTAAAATGGACCAATCATGGAGCTGAACACTCAAGACTGGTTTCTAAATAACTCTTTCCTTCACTATGCTCCCAATTATCTATAACATATCAACTTATCTTGAAAATTCACTTCCATATAATTTGATTTTTCTAATATTTATGTATAACTCTTCAACAAAAAAAAATGGTGGCAAAATATGCAACGTAAAATTCAATAATAGCATATTAGCCACAGATAAACTGCCACAATTAATGCTACCCATGCCATGCCATCTGATCATGGTCTGCACTGTTCACTATTCAGTCAATATCTTAAAATTTTCCCTAAAAATGATGAATGGTTTTGTCCAGATTAAATGATGGACAAGTCCATTTAAGATATTTAGCGTGGTAAGGATTTAAACAAGAACCTTATGATTATGAACAATTTAACAAAACAGCTATAAAACTTTTTGCATTTGAAAATATTCACTTAAAACCAAAATGGTACTTTAATAAGAGCTACAATTCACTTGTCCCTCTGAGTAAATATCACATAGCAATTTTGATTTCAGTGTCAGTTTAAGATAAGCTAAAAATTTAAATGTGTTTCAACTAAAAAGTACAGGCATTAACAAACATTTTCAGGCAAATTTCATAGAATATACAAAATTATAAACATCAAACAATCCCCTTTGTTTAACAGAGATACTTTCTATACATGATTAAATAATGCTCATATTATCTGCTATAATATGTTTGTACATAGTAAATTTCTGTAGGTATACTGGATCATCTAAGAACAAGCATGCTTAAATAAATTAAAAAAAGGGCGTCAAACATTGGTAAGATATCTTTACAGGTTTTCAAAGTCTTCATTTTGTTGTGCTATGGTAGTCAACAAGGAACGTCTGTTACTTTTGACAGTTTTCGGTGACCTCATCACCTTACCTCTTGGGGAGTGTGGCGAGGATCCTAGTCTTTTAAGTGGTTTTATAGGAGATCGAGGTGACTGAACTGTTTTGAATATTTCCATGGGTGTTTTATTTGAGGCCGTTCTATATGCAATCGTATCTAGTGATATAGGCGTGGATAACAATGTTTGTTTCAAGTCTGGCATTTTATTAAATGAACTTTGTGCGTCATTCTCTTTATCCAGTTTTAGCTGCTGTTTCTCACAGCGTGGTGTGCAAACATCATTAGTGTCTTGTAAAGATTGATCAAGATTTATTGAAACTCCGCCCAGAAAGCTGGATTTTCCTTTAACGTCATTTGTAAAAACTGCATCATTCAGTTTATCGCAGGACATGTTATTTTCTTCGCATTCCAAAGATTCTATTGTAGTATTTAAGCTACCACTTATATTTCTAGACTTGTTTAATGGAGGAACAATTCCACCTTTTTCAGCATGGTATATACTAGGTTTACGTTTCAGTCCACATTTTTGATTCTCTGCCCCTTCATTCAAATTAAAATCTGGGTCCGATGGTTTTATCATCTGTGTTGATATTGGTAACACAGCAGTACCAGCCGACATTTTATCCTTTGAAGTATTAAAATAGTCAATGGATACATTCATACTATTTTCTAGATCTGTTCTGTTAAATGCTGAGGGAATTTTAAGACGTGTTGTGCCACGTTTACGCGTAGTTGAATTTGGGAACCTGAATGGCGAAGCATGCCGAGATTCGATTTCTGTTTTAACCCCACTTGATATTATACGATCAAACTGTTTTACATTACTTTTTACTTTACCCGCATTATTCTTTTGTAGGGCAATGATACTTTCTCTTCTAGGATTCAAAGTCTCTGCCTGCTTGATGAATGGAAACGAAGCAGGGACTATAAAATCATCCGACTCCATCTGAAAATCCTCTTTCTGTTCTTTAATGTAACCGGCTCTAGCAAGCAACTTGTGCGTTTCTGCTGAGATTTGAAGATTAGGTTTAGCATTGCTCTTCCTAGCAGATATACTAGTTTCAAGTAAACTCTTGGACCGTGAGACTCGAGTTGGTGTTTTTTCATCCCTTATAAGATCTTGCGAGGACACTGATTTCTGGTGAACAAGAGTTGGTTTTGATGCCTCAACATCGCTAACTTTCAGATCAAGTTTTGTTTCTGTTGGGTCAACAGTATCTACTTCCATCTGAACCTCACTGTCAACCTGACTTAGAATCTCTGTAGGTTTTGAAGTTACCATTGGACTGTCCTTGTCAATTAGTGAGCTTGAGATAGAGTCTAGTGTAGCATTGCCACACTCCTCTCTCTGTTCTTCATACATAGAACCCTTCCCACTGTCAGCAGATATAGATCTTGTTAGTTCTCGCTCCTTAAACATCATAATAGGTGACATTGTAGAGGATGCTTCACTTAGTAAACTGTCTTTACTTTCTTGTTTCTGCTGCGCCAACGTCTTCCTTATCTCATCATTAACATCACTATTTTCTTTAGATTCTTCATTAAGTTTAGTTTGAAGGCACATTTTAGGTTTAAAAATGGCCGTCCCACCAGATACTGTAGAGAATCCTGCCTCTGACTCATTGTCACATTCATAACCATCTTCTTTGTTTTTAGCTCCATTCGAAGTTAAACTGGTTGTTGAACTAACAGTTGACTTACACTCTGACACTGATCCAGGTGAGTTATTACATGTCTCTCCAGAATTCACACCATCATTTACTGCTCGTTCTGTTCTTGGTTGGGTATTGAGAAGATCAAAGCTGTTGTCAAGCTGTATATAGTTGTTATCATCCTCAACATTAGCTACGCTTACTGGAATAGGATAACCAATTTCTGATTTATCAAGACCGAAACTACGCCGCAATTTGTTTACTTCACTGTGATCACCCTGAAGAAGTCCAACTTTGATAGAATTCGGACCCCCTCTACGAAGACTCGATTTCCTTGTACTACCGTCTAAAGTACTATCCACAGAAAATGACCTGCTGTGACCTTTAGGGGTTTCATTACTCCTTGAACTAAGAAAAGTAGAATCTGAAACACTTTCTCTGGCGAATACATCATCTAACATGACATATTCTCCCGGATCATGTGAACCAGCAATGGCCGGTTCTGACATGATCCGAGTTATGTCTCCATCTTTTTCCTCGTTCATAATAAAGCCTTCATTTAAGGATCTACTTTCTTCGTCATAGGTAGAAATAATTGACTGCTCGCACATGGAAGCTGAGAATGAGTTTTGGGCAATAGCGGCTATTGGAGAATCATCTTTAAGGTTTTTACTGGTCGGCTGTTTACCGGAGGTTGAACTTTGAACTGATGTTACACTGATTGTAGATGTTGGACTTGTAGCTAAACGGTGACCGATCTGGTTATGACTGACAGCTTTCTGTACTGGGAAAGCCTGAAAAATATAGAAAAATAGTTAATTTGACTGGGTCTAAATATCAAATGTTGATAAATTATACTATTTTGAAAGTTTGAACCATTTACTTAAAGGGGCAACATTCGCTGCCGCGGCAGCGAGTATTTGTGGGTGTGACTAATCAGTGGTGTAAAACTGTCTGTTATAAACCATGAGCTAAAAATAGAATGCAGTGTTAACCTACAGAGAGAATGTAAACAAACAGCTGATTTTACACAGGAGAGGTTTAATGGATGTTTTATATAACTCACAGGTTAATCAGATTAATTAAAAGACATTATCAAGCCATCTTGTCCAGATATTATTTTTGAAGTCAGTTTTTTTTCATCAAGCCAGACAACTATATCCAAATCCAAAGGATGTGCCTTACATGGGACATTTCTTTTAGGAAAAACTGCTAAAAATGATCTTGACAGGAATTTAAAACATTTTTAAACTATTAATATATAAAAATTTTATACAAATGATAAACATTTGTGAAATTTTATTTTGACTACAAGATACTTACAACAAAATATATTGTGTAAATGAACTATACCTGGAAGTTACTTTTACTGTTTTCATGAAGTTTAAACCATTTAAATACAAGTTTAATCAGTACTTTGAAATTAAAAAAAATCATAGATTAATGGATTATTGTAAATTTGTTGGATATAAATACTTTTTGATAAAGTAAGATCAGTAAAGTTATTGTTTTTTCTTATCATGTATTCAGCATTCGAATGTGTCGTCTGCTGAAAATCTCTCTCCCTGAAATATATATATCGTCTGCTACAAATCTCTCTCACTGAAATAAACACTGCCACGTGCATCTGTTTACTACTGAAGGTTCATGACCTGTAATGATCAGTTGGCTCCTCCCATGGAAATTCAAATTTCAAATTTGACAGCCAGTATTTTTTTCCAGAAACACACTTAACAAAGTTTTATTTTGAATAATTTTGGTCAATCTATATCAAGAATATCTATGCCTACATACATGCCAAGTGTTGTTTAAATGCATTTGGTAATTAATCTTAAATCTTTGAAAAAGGGTCCCTGAAGTGAAGCATGCATAAAATTAATAAGAAACCTGCCCTAGCGCCATCTACTGGCTTTTATAGTCCAGTTGGGCCTTTAAGTTTCAATGTCACAATACAAGGCAAGGAGTGATGACTTATGAATGTCACCATTTTTTTGAAAACTAGAAAATTGTTTAAAAGATTTATTTAAAAACATGTGACAATAAAAAAAATATGAATAACTTAATCATCACAAAGATAAAAGCTATACAATGATTTTTTTTTTTATCTAACATTGTTGCCATTACTTTGCAACCCTGATACCTGCATATAACTTTTGTATATTATACATACATTTAAATAGGAAAGACAGACTTTGCATGATTATGATACAGCATAAAGAGTTTAAGACATTCTATCAGCAGAATTATATAATCACACATGTATATCTTGTGTTATTCTATTCTTTCTAGCGAAATCTATCAGAAATGCAATAAAGTATCATTGAAATATACACTGCCAAAACTTCTAAAGATTTCACTACATTTAATCAATGTAATATCATTATTACAAATACCTAAAATTTTGCCATTTACTAAAAGCTTCTCCTGATTTTGTTCGAGATTTAACAGAAATAACAGCATAAAACTAGAGCTAGTACAGGAGTGGCAAAAACCATTACCATCTATATGACACAAGATTTTATGTTGGTCAATTTATCATTATTTTTCAAGATGAACATTTATGCAATGTGACCAATACCTTGAAACAACAGTTACAAAGCAGGGACATATTCGAAGAAAATCCTTTAAGGTGTAAAGGATCTATAGAGGGGTCTAGAGATTATCTGACATTTGACCTTCAAGTGTGACCTTGAACCAGCATAATGGGGGAATGAATTCTGCATATCAATTTGTTCAGGTGAACATCTGAACCCAGTTTAAAAGAAAATCCTTCAAGACAAATAGGATTGATAGAGTAAACACAAAATTGTCTAAATTTTGGATGCAAGTTTTCTGTTTCAATAATTAAAAGTGATTTTTGTTGTGAATCAAGTATTTACATTATTTAGTATGTTGACATTTTGTATGTAAACAAATATACTCTTGTATGATTAATTGTTAATCTGGTTACTCAGATCAAGCAAGCATTAGGCAGTTTTGTATATACATGTACATATAGCAAAAAAAAACAGCACCTACAGAATAACACAGAATGGTGTGTCAGGTAAATGATGTGAATTTAATAGCTACCTATAGCCTAAATAGCAATATGTCATTCTGGAAATATTATATAAACAAAACTATTCATGGTAAAAAATGTCATGACTGAAGAAAACATTAGACAGGTTATATGGCATCAAGCTTATATCCCCCATGGGTTAAATAGCAAACAATAGACACACACAACCATAAAACCTATCGCAAGTCCTTATAACATTTTAACAGTAAGTTAATCACTTTCTTTGGGAAAAAAATACAAACAATTCATAAATACGCAAATGCCATGTATACAATTAATATAAATGGCATAATAATTCTTGTCCAATGAAAAACATTGTTACAAACATGCAGTATCATATTTCAGTAAGCTATGTACAGACTTTGGTTACCAGAGAATTATATCCATTAAGTGACAGTATGTTTTCATTATCAATAAACAGTATTTTTTAATCAATTCAGAAATTTTTGAGGGTATCAACATTTTGCGGTGGATAATTAAGCTGGTCGACTTATAAATGACATTAGAAAGTAGGGTTATCAAATGAATATCTGGAATAGAAACTAAAATATTACTTAAAGCCATTGCAGTCATTTTAAGTCAATGCCATGCCCATTGCAAAAGCCCAAAATTATCATTAAAATAAAATTGTTATGTGACTTTATTGGAAATAAATGCAAGTAGCAGGGGGCATCTTATCATTTCATGTCTGTGAAATAAAGAACTTGGCAAGAGATGCTTAAGTAAAAACTGACTATAAGCCAATAGCAAGTGATGTTTTGACAACATTGAATCAATTGCCAATTCCCTTGCAAACTAAGCAATAGCCATAGCAACATAACTTTGTACATATAACGACACAACACATACAAAAATTATGCAACAAGTCAATCTTTAACAGTTATTTATCGTCATGAACAGTTGATTTTGTTTCATTTACTTCTCTAATAGGTAAAGCTTGGCAAAATAATATCCAGAGGAAAGTCCATTTCACATGTGGGAGTTGGAAATTCAACTATCCACCAGGTTTTACAAAGATTTTTGTACAAATGCCTCAGCATTTGGGAAATAGTTTTATGTTCATATAGTTTGACTTTGTGGGACATCATTATTCATGTAATTCATGCCTTAAATGGGCAATGTTTTTCACTAAAGCCATACACAAACTTAACAAAACAGTCACATTAAGCAATGACAACAAATACGCTACCTGGTCCCCCTTGCTACCGCTCAGCCGGCGAAATATTCCCTTTGATTTTCCCGTTTTCTTACCAGCAGAGTTTAAAGATAGGTTCGTTGTTGATGAATACCTGATGATGAATGAACGATACACAATGATGATTAGGATAATGATTACACAGAAAATTAGACTTTCTCCATTACAATCTGTAGTTCCCTACCTGGGCATAGGTTTTTCAAAATACAAACATTTCTAAAAATTTTGCATTCAATTTTTTGCACAACAAAATAACATGGAGAAAATCTAATCATGCAAAGTGTTCAGAGTCAAAGAATTTGAGATTTGGAGACATTTTGATTGGCTTATATTCCATTCAAATTTTCATTGACTTATGACAAAAAATCATAAAAGTCCTGCATATGTATTAGTCTCCAATCTCTAATAAATAACCATGAACCAATGTGATTACATTATCTATGAGAATACAGGTTATATAAACCTACACCCTGTGCAAGTAAAACACTGCTTATAAGTGCTTACATATAATCTTAAATTAAATAGTGACTTTCAAGAACAAAATCTTAAACTTTGGAAAAAAACACTTCTCTGTAACAAATTGGATGATCTTTTATTCCACAATTTAAAAATTTAAAGAGGACTACTGACTACAACTTCTGACAGATGTATAGACTACCCCATGGTCATTTTGTAATACAGAGCTGATTAAAACCATGTTATAGCTCTGCAGACATTTTCACAAAAAATCTTACGACTATCTTAAGTGCAAAATCTGTCGTAACTTTACGATAGGTGTTCCCCGTTCGTAAGTGTAATTTTTTCTCTCTTAAGGGTAAAATATCATGTATCTCTTACCTAATCTGAATAAAACAAACAAAAAATTGGAGGACAAATATATATAAAGCAAACAATATGTTATAAATAACACAAATTAAGGTATAATTATTTTTCAACATAAACATTTGTGACGTCATGACTTGTTGATGTCACGATGAAGAGGGTTATGAATAGTTTAAATGTGAACTATACTGTAGTATTATTGAAAACTAATAATTTATACAATTTTGTGAGTTCGATTTTATTGCCATCATGTACTAGTGGCACCTTTTTATTTATTAATCCCTTAGCAATAACGTAGCTGAATCACTTAGATACATATAATTATTTTCAATCAAGATAGAAAATATATTAGTTTGAATCATTTTTTTGTTCTTATTGAAATTTGATTGTGTTCAATACATATTTCAAGCTCTTTATTACTTAAATTTTAAAACCGGAATCAAATATAGAACATGCCTATCAATATCAAATGAACATTGCTAGGGATGTTTTTATCGTAAGATTTATCGTGAGTGAATTTTTTATCTTAAGATTATCTTAAGATAAAATTTTAACTTACGAGTGGCTTTGTGAAAATGACTTAAGATTTAACTTAAGATTTTTTGTGAAAATGTCTGCAGAGCAATGTTTTAAATCTAAGAAGCCTAAGACTGTAATAATTACACAGCAGTGTTCAAGTTGCAAGTGAGTAGAAAGCAGTCAGATTGATAAAAATAAATCTTGAATAAAACTTTGTAAACATCATTCTAAAACAAGCAGTAACTGTAGAGTATGCAAGGAGATTAAAAACATAGAGCAGTCAAATATTACTGAGAAATTATATATACTGTACAGTAGCAGTTATATAGGTAAGGTATTATTTCTTAAATGAAACCTACTGAACACAAAGAAAACTTTGTGGTAAACTTAGCCCTAAAAGAAAAAGAAAGTGAAAAACCTCAATTCTGTATATATATAAAAATATTTTTAGATATATCTTTAACATCAAATTAAGATTATATTAAACTTTGTAAGCTTGACTAGGGAGAGAAAAAAGCTCAATACACTTGGTGTTACTGCATACACATGAATTGAGCTCAAAACGTTAAGCTTGTTTATAAGAATATTGCTGCAATTTGCATATTTTGAGTTTTGCAAAAGCATTAAGTTGTTGTTTTTTATATATTCTGTTTATTCTTAATTGAATTAGTTGGAGCAAATCTGAGAAAATATGAACGTATTGGGATAGCCCTATATTTTATAACAGCTTAACATAGGTTAATTAGATATAGTACACAATGAAATATATATTTATCACATAATCCACAGTTCAGGAGTGAACATAATTAAGCCATTTGAATAAAAACAATATTACACTAGCAATACCAATGCAACATGACGTCATTGGTGTTATTAAGTAGTGTAAAAATGCACTACTGTTGGCATCACACTATAGGCGTGTTAATGAAAAATGACTGTAAACTGTTCTCACTTTGGATATGTGATAAATATAATATTATATACATGTAGGTTCAATACTAAATTTATTGAACTTATTGAATAAAAAATATGCTCACCAAAGGCTCATATTATATGATTCATTTTATCTCATCCAATAACTTTAGTATTGAACTTATGCTCATTCAATATCCTCCATATTTTCAATTAAAGGTAAATACAAGATACAGATTATAACAAATGAAATTTAGTAAAATGTTGAACTCTTCAACCAGAGTTATATTTATAATATAATAAAATTATGGAAAAAAGTAAATAAAACAAAGATACATGTAGTTAGTACAAATATACCTCTTCTTCTTAGTTGTGCTTGCAGGACTGAACAATGTCAACTTTTTCCTCGGTGTTTTCATACTGTGCCTAGGTGTCATGTAAGGTCGTGGTGGCATGCTGGGAGTATCATGAACCCCACGTTTCACACCTGCATTACAAATTATTTTGTGAAATTCTATGTTTTTGATGAAATTAGCATACACAAATGGGAATTTTATATTTCTTATAGGAAGAAAAGAATATAAATGAACTTTCCAAACATTACGTAATTTAGGGCTTTTGCCAGAGCTGGGACACATCCTTTTAATTTGAGAGGAAACTATTCTTAAAGAAAAGAATATTAAAACAGGTAAGAAATGATAGTGATTACAAAACCCAATCTTGAGTGAATTTTACTGTAGACAGCAGATGAACTAAAAACCTGTTTAAAATTAACATCTTGATATCTATTCCATTCATAATCAACCAAAGATAGACCAAGTATGATCCTACCATTTAAATCCATCCTTTTCACCCCAGTAGCTGGTGTGAATGGTGTACTGGCAAGAGTGGCACCTTGTGGTAACTGATTCAATATAGCTTTTCTGAAGAAGAAAAAAAACAACAACAACAAATAAATAAATAGATAAATAAAACAATGGATACAAGTTTAAAGGAAAAACTAAAGGTTTGTAGAAATTTAATTGAACTAATTAACAATTTCAGAGATCGAAAATTTGTCAATTGTTTTAATAATTGCCTTTTTCAGGAGTTAAGTTTGAGAAACCCCAACATTTAACTTCATGCACAATTAATCTAGAGCCAATTGCCTTTATTACAAAACATATATAAGAAATATTTTCAAATCTTTAAATCAAGAATGTTATCATTACATATTACATAATGGATAGGCATTAATATGGAAAGAAAGAAAAAGAAATTGATTTTTAAGATATGATGACATACATAATATACTGTAAAACATTATTTTTTACTTTTTAGATGCTGAAAAAGCCTTCCCCTCAGCAAGATGTGTTGGTTTTTTCCTCCTAACAACTGGGGTAGCCTCAGTCGCAGTAAACTGATACACCTGACCATCATCTGACTGCTCTGGGTGTGACCTTGTGTGCCCTACACTCACATGACTCATGTTAGAGCCCTGACTGAAACCACTGGTGTTTGTTTTACCATCTGTACTTTTCCTCCACTTTGTTATACTCTGGGCTATGCTGCTAACAAACCCTGTATAACAGATATAACCCTAGAAATACCTAGCCAGCTCTACAGCATGCCAAATATTCAATATATTCCCATGATGATATACAGAAAATAACTGAAAGTATTGCTTACTGGATAAAATGAAAAATTATTGCATAATTTACAATAATGCATTCATGAAAGTATCTCCCATGTGACCTGACTATTATATGTCAGCAAACAGCCTATCATGTTTACAGCTGGCAATAAACATCAAAAGAACTAGAAATGTGTCCATAGGACACGGATGCCCCCACACGCCACTGTTCTGTCAATCTTATGACTCTAGGTCAAATATTTTTTGGACTACATGTGCCACAAGTTGAAAACTAAAAATCAACAAAGGGCCATAATTCTGTTAAATTTGGTCGCAGCAAAAATTCCTTCCTTTATTACCATCTACACATTAAGGTTGTTAATCCCTGGAAGTTTAAGCAAAATCTGCAATCCAGTTTAAAAGGAGTTGCGTTCACAAAATTTCTACATAGTAAATAATGAAAAAATAAAAAAAGGGCCATAATTCTGTTAAATTTGGTTGCAGCAAAAATTCCTTCCTTTACTGCCATCTACACATTAAGGTTGTTCATCCCTGGAAGTTTAAGCAAAATCTGCCATCCGGTTTAAGAGGAGTTGCGTTCACAAAATTTCTACATAGTATATAGTGAAAAAATCAACAAAGGGCCATAATTCTGTTAAATTTGGTCGCAGCAAAAATTCCTTCCTTTACTACCATCTACACATTAAGGTTGTTCATCCCTGTAAGTTTAAGCAAAATCTGCCATCCGGTTTAAGAGGAGTTGCGTTCACAAAATTTCTACATAGTATCAAGTGAAAAAATCAACAAAGGGCCATAATTCTGTTAAATTTGGTCGCAGTGAAAATTCCTTCCTTTACTACCATCTACACATTAAGGTTGTTCATCCCTGTAAGTTTAAGCAAAATCTGCCATCCGGTTTAAGAGGAGTTGCGTTCACAAGATTTCGGGAGGTACGGACTGACGGACGGACGGACAAGTGCAACGCTATATGCTCCCACATTGTGGGGGCATAAAAAGTTATTGGGGAAAAACAGTTTACCTTGGAAGGAACCACTTCTTTTCCTCTTTTTCTCTTTCTTCCTATTCTCTTTTGTATCATCGAGGTTATCTTCACTGGCATCTAACTCATCATCTGTACTGAACACCTCAGACATGAATGCAGTCTTTTCTGCCATCTGTTCATCTATCATTCCAACTTCTTCTGCATGCTCGATTAACAATTCTACCACAGATGTCTGTACCTGATCATAAATATCATGACATCAATTATTGTTTCAATAGTTAGTAAAAAAATACTTTTTTTATTTCTCAATAGTTTATTTTATACAAAAGAGAAGTACCCATAAGCTTAATGCCATGCTAAATGAGCAGTTATACCACAGATGCCTGAGCCCAAAACACAGAGTTATTATCTCTAGATTAGTAGTACAAAAACTACTATTCCTAGTGGTGTATTTCATACAAAATATAGTCATCTTAAACTGCAACCTTATGGCATAAACATAGTGCATTCAATTTTGAACTTTATTTCATTTACTTGAACCAATCCTCACCCCCTCTATGTAGAATGCACTTAATTTTGTCTTTCTCTCAAAATCCTGTCTTCATTCACATAACCACAAACAAAATATACCTACCTGCAGTAACCTCTCCTCACACGATTTCATTGTTTCTGTTTTGCTGTTCACATGCATTATATTTGGTGCTATAACTACAGCCAAATTAGTACTGTCCATTTTATTTTTCTCCGCATGTTGCGTGATTTTTGCCAACAGTCTCAAGGTGAACTGTAGCGTGCTTATATGCTCAGCTGGCAACAACAAACACAGTAACAATATTGCACGAGTTGAAAGCTCTTTGTCCTCGATTTGATGACATCGTACAAATGTGTCATGGTAAGTACTTGTAAACAGTGGTTCTGGTAGCTCCCGGAAAAACTGTTTTACCAAAGCTGTTACATCATGAACATTAGCCCCAACAAAACCTGTACCATTCTCCAATTGTTGCTGGAAGAATATTAAAAGTCAGAAATAACTTTGTAATATATACTACTTTTTTCAGCAGATGAAAATTGTGGAGACATACAACCCTTTTTAAACAAGAGCTCCACATATGAATTTATCATAATATGATATATTATACAAAAATATGTCTTAAAGAAATATAGCAAATTTAATATTATCAGATTATGACATTTCCATCAAATGTAAAAGATTAAAATACAATATATTTGCAATAGAAGATGAACATTATGACTTTATATATCATTTTCAGTACAGGAAATTAAATCAAGGTTGCAATGAGCAGTTTGCAACGATATTCAAGCTTAACATGTGTTTTAATATTACATACTTGCATGTCAAATATAAACACATTCAGTGAAATCCTAATCCAACTAATAATTTCACAGAAAATTTACTGAAAAGGGGCATCATGCTTCTAATTATTGAGACTGAGTTGATTGCAATGAAAATTGATCAGGAGTAGTTTTGATATTTCTGCATGCCAAATATAAACATAATCATTGAAATTGTTCAAAAGTTAGTCTGTTGAAACCAATAATTTCACTTCAAAATTGCATAAAAAGGGCAGGGACATAACTATATATATATCAAAACTGAGTTGATTGGAGATAAAAAATCATATTGGCCTGTGTTTTGATATAAGTTATAACTTTCTTTCATGCCAAATATAAACACAATCCTTGAAATTATGTAAAAATATGAGCAGCATTAACAACCAAACAAGTATAACCTGTTTAATACCTTGATTTCCTTTTGTCTACTGACAGCCCCAGACTTCCTAAACACACCTTCATTATCGATATTCTCTAATATTATCTCTGCAGCGTCTACAAGGAACCTAAAAGACATAGAATAAGATATGTAAAAAAATAATGGAAGTTTTTCCCACTAGACAATAGTTAGGTACACATAAGCCTTATATAAACTTATACAATAGCAACATCACATGTTTCTCATTTTTATAATTTACAGTATACTTTTTCAAATATTTCAGTTTACTCAATTTTATATAAACTTAAATAGCAATTTTTATTCACAGAACTATGTTGTATCATCTTGACATGTTCACATATCCAGTTATCATTTATACAAATGGACAAAATGGAATAAAAGAAAATATCTAAAAAATATTTCGTCACTTGGACTTTTTACAACAAGAATAACAATTAACATTTCTAAAACTAATCACATCAAAAAGATCCTTTAAATATCTTTGAAACATATTTAATCTATAACTGTCATACTTACTTAGCAACATATCCACAGTCTGGAACATGTACACAATGTACATGAGCTAAGTAATTTCCAAATATTTGTCCTTTATGTACTTCCTGAAAATATATAAACTTTGCTTTGTACAGGGATTTTTTTTGGCTTATTTTATAGCCGTTATTGGGTCATATTCCCAATTGAAAATAGTATATTATTTTCCCAATTCACATGAAAAAATCCCAATTGAAAGTTAAATAATAAAAATATTGAATAAAAATTCTAAAATCTTTGCAAATAAGGGCTTCTTCAAAAATGTTTGAAGATGCCATCCTAGACGGTAATTGTTTGCATCCATTTAAACACTGCAAAATTTCAGTCATGCATTTTTTCCCAATTTTTAACAAAACACCGCTGAAATTCCCAATTCCATGGGTATGGGTTGTGTTCCCAAAATCCTGGAAAAAATCCCTGTTGTAAGATAAAATTTACATCATTTCCTGTTCTTGACGTAATTTATGTTATATAAAAGCTTATCATAAGCAAGGCCTTCAAGTTTTATTCCATGTATAAATCATTATGCATTTAAAGTCTAAGAATAATACAAATTATAATCAACCAAATGACTAAGGTAATGTAATAGTCCCATTGGGTAAATATCCAAGCATATGACTATCAAAAAGACAAACAGGACGTTTCGGCCCCTGTGCAAAAATCAGCCCCTAGACGTTTCAGCCTTTTTCCGCAGACGTTTCGGCCCTTTTTTATTACATTTAAAAATTAATTTCTATATTTTAAATAGTAAAAAAGTAGTATATTGATTGATTGATGGCACACAAACATTAAGACACTTTAATCTTTAAATAATGATCCATTATCTACCGATCCCTTAATTTAACTATTTAGATAAATGTTATTTTTTTCAAGATGTAACAATAAATAAAGACACTTATTCCTAAATTCATAAGACAATTCATGAACTGCAAAAACTTTTAGATTAACAAAGTTAATTACAATAATACCTAAAAAATTCTTCTGATTGAAAGTCACTTTTATTGTAAAAAAAATGTTATTTATAAAAAATGTGTTTACAATGTAATGTTTGTTTTATTTCATGAAAGTAGAATTTTTTAACTGTTATGTGTTGTTTTGTATTGCTGGAGCTCGTCACTATTTATTTAATAGTTGTTCACTATTGTTGATAATTAATGTTTGTTTCATGTAATGATTACGTATTGTTCTGTGTCTTGCCATTTAATCGTTCAAATTCAAAAAAAAAAAATGCTTGTCGATAATAACCAGATAAAAATCTGTTTTGTTTAATAAAGTTTATGTTCTTTTCTGTTTGTTTTGATTACTACTATTTTAGCCTCATTCAATTACAAAATCATAATTTGATCAGGTTTGATTATTCAATAAATTCTCTCATTCCTTTTATTAATTCATTTGTGGAAATGCCATTAAAATTCTGGTATAAACCATGTAAAGGTAAGACTAGACTTATTCTAAACTAAATATGGGGTAGATTTGGTAAAGGGCCAAAACGTCCGGGGCCGATACGTCTTGCAGCTGAAATGACTCGAAGTTGAAATCATCAAAAAGTATCAAAGCTGGAAAATTCCACTTGTCTGCTTATATTTAAGAGCAGAATCTGTAGCGGGAGAAGAAATATGCAGTCTCCAGTCCTTGTTCAATTCTGAATAGAACAAGTGTAAAATCTAAAAAGTAAAACCACTGGAATGAACATATTTAATGTTAACATTTCACAAAAGAAATCCAGAACCCAAGCAGATAATTTAATGTGCACTGGATCTATAAACTGCCGCCAGTCAACAATTTATGGAAATAAAATGCATCATAATGTTCAAAGTTGAAGATTTTTTTTATTCATTTGATCTTTTTAAATTGATGATTTGAACCATTTTGCTGCCTTTTGCTGAAATTATGCATACTTTTTGGTGGCCGATTTTTGTTTTCAACTGAGTGCTACAAAGGTCATGCATTTCTGTCAAAATCAAAGCACCTCAATTTGCAATTTAGTATGTAATTTATTTCACATCTAGACTTGAAATATTCACCTGATTTTTTTGGCCGCCACCACGTTTTAACTTTTTTGCTTTTGGGACTTTGACTCCAAGCTCTCTTAATTCGTGGCGTATAAGGGCCTGTAGGTTACATAGATTATCGACACAACTGATGTGCTTCATTTCTGAAATAAAATGATGATCAGTTGCTAATAAATGGTGCGATCACATAATTTTCTAAAAAATTTCTCCACCGCAAATTTGGTTCTTCAAATATCGCTCCGCTTGTTTTGATTGGTCAATAAGCTTGACGTATGCGTCATTTCCGTCAAAGCGGTGTTCATGTAAGAAATTTCCAAGGAAAATTGTGCAAATTTGAGGCCCTGCTTCAATAATGCAAAGTGTAAAGCTCGTGGTCAGTTTAAATGAAACTTGCCGGGGATGTTTGTGAAATCTTAGTTCTTTATCTATAAGTATTCGGCGATATTCAATGACCTACTTTTTGTGGTAGGAGCTGCAACCTTAAGCATTGAACAACATACTTTATTTGATAAGCCATTGAAGATGAATAAAGTTGACCTTCATTTTGACCCCTTTTTTATTAAATCTACATGCATAATTAAGACGCATAATCAAAATTTTATATCATTTGACCTATATCCGAAACATGTGCCCGGTATTTAGTTATAATTACCAATATTAATTCTCTTTGTCAGTTAGAGCTTTAATCGACAGGTAAGCGATCTAGGGCCATCATGGGCCTCTTGTTTATTTATTTATTCATTGCATTATAAAGTAAAAGTCAAATATCGTATCGCATTGTCATGTGTCATGTGCTTATATCAAGTGCAACATATCATGCATTAATTAAAGCATTAATTGTTTGAAGCGTTATGCGTCGTCTTCCAATAGCATCATTTCTCGTGTAGGGGTCATACACCGCTTTGAATGGCACTACTGTGCCACATTGAAGGTTTCATGATGACCGCTGTATGAACACATCTGCGAATGTTTCAAATTTCCAAATCACCATTTTCGTGTTTAAATGTTGAATTCTGCTTAAGCCGGTGCTAGGTGGCGTTGACGGTGACTTGCACTTTGCAGTTCAGTCCATGAACAAGCTCAATCAAACCGAGCCTGCAATTTTCAATTTAGCCATGTTGGGCTTTCTTTAGGGATTCTGTTTTTTTTTCAATTTTGCCGTTTTTGAAAAATTCTTATTTACTCTATTTTGCACAGTGAATTCTTTTCTATTTAAAATTTGCTGTGCAGAGCATAATCTCGAAACGTTAAGTCCATGTTTATAAACTCAACTGCGGATGATGTCAACATTTTATATTTAAATATTTCATTCTGCTAAAAGTGCTGGGGAATATGGACGGTAGCTTGCACTAACCACTGCCGTCCATGAACAGGTTCAATCAAACCTGGGACAAAGGAATGCCTTCTTTTTCACAAGGGTTGCCTTCTTTGTCCCAGGTACTCAAACCGAGCTTGCAACAGTTTCAATTTTGCTGTTTTGAGCAAATTTTGATCAAGGATGACCTCGACGTCGCCCAGTGACATAATTTATGATACTGCTACATAAATGTAAAAATATTTGCCATGTAGAATTTCTCATGTGACCGATCCAGGATCATCGCGGCCATGTGTTTCAATAGATATTTCCTTTTTCATATTTTCGCATTAATGTAAAATGTTAAAGACTTCTGGTCCGAAACATCGCTTGAAAAAAAAAGGAAACATTCTTTTCATAGTTTTTGATGAACTAGACAAATGTCCTTTGTATATTTCTTTATATACATGCATCATATATACATGTTTTACAATGTCGGACATATACACCTTTTCTTAATGCATTAATTAGACGCAGAGACTTGATTTTCAAGAGATCCCTCCGTTGCCAAAAGATTTGTTGTTTTCTCCTCTTTTGTGTGAGATTAATCCTCAAATTGGGGGCGAATTTATTATTTATAAAGCTTAGACACAAAACGGTCCTTATTTGGCTTAATGCTGCATTTTTGTAGTCTCAATATTTCGACTGCAAGACCGACCGATTTTATAATTTGATTTTTCATAGATGTCTGTCTTTAGGGCGACCATCGTCTATATAATAAAAAGCCAGAAAGCGCACAATTTGTTGGGCTACATTTTTTGATGGCTAAATGGACAACTGAGTGTAGACGTCCGCCTTTCTTTGGGATTACAGTATATATGCATGTAGCTTGAAAAGTGCGTTTCGAAGTTTGTGATCCAAAAGTTATAGCTGAGCGCTCAGACAAGAATACCAATCTGATGCAATTCAGATCTTATTTTTTTCCATAAAACGTAACATTATTTAGAATCTGATTAATTGATTGACAAAAATGCCTTGATTGACAAAAAATGCCTGATAAAATGTGTTCGTGGATTTTGTTGCAGACAGGAACCACAGGCACGAGTATCGGACATGGGAAGAAAAGACACATTTAAGATGAATAAAGAAGTTTTTTATCAATGTGGTCCCAGGTCCGATACTCGTGCCTGTGACAGGAACAGAACGTCTTCATGGTCTGGTTGCTACGTGTACTTAGGAGATGAATAAAAACGTAAATTAGTGCTTCTGTATTTGTAGTTCATTATTTTATTCATCAGGATGTCTATATTTAAAGCCGATAGCATACTTAATTCGAACTGTTAACCCGTTTAATAGACGTGTTTTCAATATCAACTGTTGCGTCCATTTTTATTTTTAAGTTATGAAATATGCTTTAACTGTACTGTATGCACAGAAAATTTGGAAATAAACATCGGCCGTCCAAAATTATCTCGATGTCTCTTTGACTAGTGTAATTTGTTGGTGTTTCCATCATGCCACAATTTTAAACACCAATTTATTTTGATTAAAACAAGCAACAAAATTAGTCGCGATAGTGAGTATGCACAGTTACGATAATATATATGACCCATGTCGGGGCCTCATAATAAAAATTGATCACGGAGTAATCTATCAAGTCACCGCTTCATGTAAACAAATTGATTATCTCCCTTGAGACAAAAAAATCAGCAAATTAATTTGGAATTATCTCGGTAATTATGCATATTAGATTTGTTAATTTATCTATTGCATATATCATATATGCATATAATTTAAGATATGAGTATATTAAATGTATGCATTGTGTGAAATTAGAGTGCAAACTGAAATAATTTAAAATTATTCTGCTCTAATCATCTGGAAATTTTGTAACAGGTGTGAATATGGTGTCAGATAGGCATCATACTAGTAATTGAGTACTCCTGGGAAAATAAGTGTTTTAATCGTAGCCTTAATTTTTGACTCAGATGTTATAATTACATGTTTACATGTTGAAGTCACAGGGGGTAGAAACCATGTCATTTTTATCACATTTAGAATGATATTTGTGATAATTTGGGATTTTTTGCAGTGACTGGTGTCTTAATTTTTATTCAAACTTGGCCAAATTAGCATGTAGGTGTTCTCCTCATTTGGTTTGAAGTATGAAAACATTGTCAGTTGTAACCTTACCATTGTTGATTCAAATGTATCAATTGAAAATCTTTGTCCATGATTGGAAAGAATTAGGAACAAAGATGCAAAATTCAGTAGGAAATATATTAGGTACATAATTTAGTTAAAATAATTGTTTAGTGATATACCATAATGTCAAAAAAACAACTTGGCACTGAAAAATTTCTACTTTTCTAGACTAAATTAGTGAATGATATGAAGAACATATAACTTAGTCATGTTTATTATACATGTTATACTGTGACATTTAACTTGGGTTTTACTGTGAGGATAAACTTTGGTATTACAGTGACAAAAAAACTATCACTGTGACATTTAACTGGTGTATTACTGTGACATTTAACTGGTGTATAACTGTGACATTTAACTGGTATCACTGGTTTAATTGATGTATAACTGTGATTTTTATCTTGGATATAACTATGACAATTAACTGGAGCAAATACTCTCATACTTTGACATTTAACTTGGATATTACTGTGACATTTAACTTGTCTATTACTGTGACAATTAACTAGGATATTACTGTGACAATAAACTTGTCTATTACTGTGACAATTAACTAGGATATTACTGTGACAATAAACTTGTCTATTACTGTGACAATTAACTTGTCTATTACTGTGACAATTAACTAGGATATTACTGTGATAATAAACTTGTCTATTACTGTGACAATTAACTTGTCTATTACTGTGACAATTAACTTGTCTATTACTGTGACAATAAACTTGGGTATTACTGGGACAATTAACTTGTCTATTACTGTGACAATTAATTTGGGTATTACTGGGACAATTAACTTGTCTATTACTGTGACAATTAACTTGGGTATGACAGCAACATTTAACTTGTCTATCACTGTGACAATTAACTTTGATATTACTGTGACAATTAACTAGGATATTACTGTGACAATAAACTTGTTTTTTACTGTGATAATTAACTTGTCTATTACTGTGACAATTAACTTGGGTATTACTGGGACAGATAACTTGTCTATTACTGTGACAATTAACTAGGATATTACTGTGACAATAAACTTGTCTATTACTGTGACAATTAACTTGTCTATTACTGTGACAATTAACTTGTCTATTACTGTGACAATTAACTTGGGTATTACTGGGACAATTAACTTGTCTATTACTGTGACAATTAACTTTGGTATGACAGCAACATTTAACTTTTCTATCACTGTGACAATTAACTTTGATATTACTGTAACAATTAACTTGGGTATTACTGTGACAATTAACTTGTCTATTACTGTGACAATTAACTTGGGTATTACTGGGACAGATAACTTGTCTATTACTGTGACAATTAACTTGGGTATTACTGGGACAATTAACTTGTCTATTACTGTGACAATTAACTTGTCTATTACTGTGACAATTAACTTGGGTATTACTGGGACAGATAACTTGTCTATTACTTAGACAATTAACTTGGGTATTACTGTGACAATTAACTTGTCTATTACTGTGACAATTAACTTGTCTATTACTGTGACAATTAACTTGGGTATTACTGGGACAGATAGCTTGTCTATTACTGTGACAATTAACTTGGGTATTACTGGGACAATTAACTTGTCTATTACTGTGACAATTAACTTGTCTATTACTGTGACAATTAACTTGGGTATTACTGGGACAGATAACTTGTCTATTACTGTGACAATTAACTTGGGTATTACTGGGACAATTAACTTGTCTATTACTGTGACAATTAACTAGGATATTACTGTGGCAATATACTTGTCTATTAATG